GAAAAGAAACTCAAAGTAAATATAAATACAAAATTACAAGTACTTACATCTTCAACACGCAGACTTGTTAATTGATCTCTAAAAGGTGGGGTGCTACTCTTTGGGGCGACTAGGTGTACCTACATTCCCACCTTAATGAACAAAGGGATACATTTGAATTAGTGAAAAAATGAATAAAAAATAAATAGAAATAAAAATTGAGTTATTTGAACTGAAAATACGTACCATTGAGCTAATGGAGCGGTCTCGTCAATCAAATAATCTACTCTTTTTCTTTGTGGCGCGATCCTCTCGATCCGCTCATACGCCCATACCTAGTAAATTGCAATAATAATGTTAAAGTTTCAAATTATAACGTTGAAAGCGGAAAACAATTATAACACAAATTAAAAACTAATACGTACCTGTAGCAAATATAGACACCCAGTGGCGTCGTGCATGGTGTACTGTGATACGTCGCACAGTCCAGAGTACAAATCAGCCAGCAATGCTGATACCCAACTGTATCGACTACATTGATCCAAATCCTCAACCTGGGCCAAGAACTGCAGATTCATAGTGTTTTGCGTCTTGTTAGAAAACATGAAACTGCTAATAAAATGCAGTATAAGTGTCATGGCCCTTTGCTAATAAAATTCAGGTTTGAATTCAATAAGCTCTGCCCTCATACGGTTGTATTTCACTCTTGAAAGCGTCATGCCCATCTTCCAACATAACCGCTTCACCTTTTTGCTATTATATCGCGACAAAAGATTGCTGCGAACGTGGCGGAGGCAAAGAAAGTGGCCACCAACACCTAAATCACGCCATTCATCCAGCTATGACATTGCGCTCAACAACCCAGTATTTCAGTCAGATATCACACTTACGATTCTATCATACACAACCCACAACCTTAAATTCCTTATAAAAAATGTCCAACTCTCTACTGTCTCCTCATCCACAATTGCAAATGCAACCGGTAAAATGTGCTTGTTTGCGGTATAGACCACCGCAACGAGCAATTTACCCTTGTATCCACCACGCAAAAAGGTTCCATCGATACAAATGACCGGTGGACATTCAAAAAACGTCGCAGCCACCGGTGCAAATGACCAGAAGACGTATTTAAATGTCCTATTTCCCCTGTTCCAACCTTCTTGTCCCTCATTCCATTCCCATTCTACTACAGTCTCAGGATTAGTAAACTTAAGCGAAGCGATATATCTACACAACAACAAATCATAGTTAAAATATTTGAATACATGTAAAAAAAAAAAACACTAAGAATATTTCAACACACGAATAAACCTTGATATTTACCGTGGAAGTTCTTCGAAATTCGAGGTCCAATCATCATAGACCGCTTCTATAGCTTTCCTCCTCCCATGCCACGCCCTTTTCTATGTCACATCTACTTTCAATAAGGTCTTCACATCTTTCTGTGTCGAGACTACCGTATAATCTACGTTGTCCTCAACCTTTCTCCTGATGAGTCTAACAATCAAAGACGTGTGCACACACCGATTGTCATTATCATTCACGGGAGTCATGCAATCATGTGCATCATGCCATCTCACAATTTCATGAAGGTCGTGACCTTTCAAAGACACATGCATCTTCCACTCACATGGTGGTTCACCATCCTCACTTTCCACATTTAATATTCTGCACCGTACAGCCCACGTTGTTTGACTACTCGCGGCGACCGTATATTTCCTTTTATGATGGATGTTCCATAATTTCACAGCATGTTTTGCTTCTTATTGAGATTTGAAACAAACACCAATGTCCATTCCTTCGGGCGTCTCATCCCACATCTTAAGAGCAAACTCATCCTTGTCCACCCATGGGGCATCCCATTTCCCCATATTACTATATACATGGCGTCGGGGCAATAGATTATAATTCCTTTCCTCATTTTCCAACCTTTCATCAATACTTTCTTCAAAATCACTCTCTCTGGAGACATCACAGTCTTCTTCCCTTTCACTTGGAACTATGTAGTCGGAATCCGACTCTTCCCGGTAGTTATCTTGTGCAAATAAAGGTGTCTCCTCTTCATCACGGTTTCGAGAAATACTAGCACGTCCCCCCCTTGGAAAACTACCAAATGGTACGTTTTCCAAACTCACTTCTCTTTCTTCTTGAGTGATATCTTCCAAATCTATATATAAATCCAAACATGACATTGGATCTACACGGTTCATGAACTCTACATGCGAATCATTCTTGATCTTCACTACATGCCTACCACCGGGACTATCGAAAATCAAAGAAAGATGGAGTTTCACGTGTTCTAGATCCCAACCAAGTGTCATACAAATCTTACTAACCAATCTCTCATATGATAACCTTTCCTCAACAAACAAACCATCATCCGGCATATTCGAAAAAGTGTTGATGCTACCGTTCTCTATCACATACTTACTTGTATGATACAAATTAAGCATGTATGATACATTACGTGCCATTGATAACAATTAAAAAAAAAAATCAATAACTAATCATTTCTTAATAACAAAATCAACAAATACACCATACATACTCCATTCATAATTCAAAAAACCTATAAAATACTAAAATACTCATAAATCAACTTCCATATCTCATGAACAACTATGATTTCTCATCTCTAACCTCAAAATCAACACCTAAAACATCCAAACAACCAACCAACATAAACCTTAATCTATCATACATCATTTTAACAATCAAAGTAACACAAAACTAAACTAAATAACATGGTTTTGCAATCTAACCTCTTTCAAATAACGATTCCCACGTATCTAGAGGCAAGAATGCATCAAAAGCTCCAATTCGCCCTTGTTTGAGTTGCAAAAATAGAAAATCCAACTCAGTTCTCGAATGAGAACTGTCTGAATTTTTTTTTCTTTTATAGCACGTTAAACTCAGATTTACAAAATCCGAGTCCGTAAGTAACTTGGATTTTCGAAATCCGAATTACAGTAGCCTCGAATTTCATGAATCCGGATTAAGTCAATTCCGCATTATTTTATTCATTTTTTGGTCCTCCAATTTATGGCACATGCCTACTTCCACCAACCAAAATTAAAGGCAGTCGGATTTCCAAAATCTGAATTCATAAAACCGGATTACGGACTTCCGATTTTTGGATTCAAAAATTTTGCGCCGCGATTTTTTTTTTCTTTCTTTTTGTACACTATGATCTTTTAAATCCGAGTACTACTGTTCATTTAAGGAGTCCAGGTCCTGGATTCCTTATTTGAGTTCAAATTTTTCGCGCCTCAATTTATTATTTTTTAATAACATTCAGATTTCGCAAATCCGACCGGTACTGTTCATTTAAGAATTTTTAAAAAACTATTATTCAACAAAATTTATTTAATTATTATTTTACTATTAAATATAGACTCGGATTTTCAAAATTCGAATCTTTAATTTTAATCAGAACTCGGATTTCAGAAATCCAAGAGATATAATTCTGTCCACAAATAATCTGAAAAATTTAAATTTATCCACGTTTATTTTAATTAATTTTTTTTGGAAAAAAGCCCAAAAAATATATATCCCGCCTCACCAATCATCGTCGGTAAGTACTAGTACAAGATTTCTTCCATTGGAACTACGGAACCCATAATTTTGGGCGTGAAAATCCACCTTGATAGAGATCCCAGAATCAATCAAACTCAAAGCAGAGTTGTGGACTTGTTAGTAGTAGTACAAGTTTGATAGTTTCAACGTTTCTATTTCAGTATTGGACTATTCTTACTATTGGATCCGCTTTATCTTACAAGGCGGCCTCTGGGCTGTTCAAGTCTTTCGAGGGCTTGCAAAACTTTCCGGAATTTCCGTAGAGTCGTTTTGTAAACAAAGCTATTATTAAAGCTTATATAAAATTTCCGGAATTTCAATTTTTCAAATTCACGTGCAACTGCTTCGTTAATATGCTCTCTCGTTTTAGATATTTAGTACTCCCTTTGTCCCAAAATTATTGTCTAGTTTGATATTTCACATTTAATACAATTTGAACTATAAATAAAATTTCAAACTAAACAATAATTATGGGACGAAAGGAGTATAAATTTCAAAATTCAATTTATTTTTAAAAGCCTAGCGGCCTCCTCTCTCTCGTCTCCCTCTCTCAATCCATCTCCAAAAAAATCAATCTTTCCCCATCTTTTCACCATGGAGAATGGGAGAAATAATTTTATTCTAATTTTATAAGCACAGATTTTATTTATTTTATCATTTAATAAACGAGATTATTTCCCTTTTTCCATTGAAATTTTGTTCCTTCAATAGATTGTAGTTTATTGAGAGGGTAGGGTCCTTTTCGTTATAGTTCCTCCGGTAGATTGGTTGCAATCTACTGGTTGAGAGTAGGATTTGTTTGTTGAGGGCAGGATTCGTTACCTCGTTGGTGATGGTTTGTTGTACATCGTTTGAGAAAATCAGTCAATATAAATCTAGTTATTAGATTTATAAATTGGAGATTTCATATGATAATTATTAATATATTCTTAAGCGGATCTAGAATCCGGTACGTGATATGTCCTGCGTTGACTAGAATAGATCTGTATAGATTTATCAAATACAACAGTGTGATTGCAATAAAAGATGTAATAGAAGTTGTGAGTTGTGTTTTAAACTGTTTATTTGTAATATGAAATGTAATTGGGCGATTTCTAACAAATTAATGAAAGTATTTTTTTTTCAAAATTTAATTTGAACAATATTTTAAAACAGAATAAACAATCTTCTCACTTGAATACTCGGACATAAGCCAAGATTGAATAGACGATTTCTACATTGAGGTCGTTGTTTTTTCCAATGTTCAGATTTTTCTATTGGTAATTTTCTATTGGCACATTTATAGTTGTGTTTGGTTTTACATGTTTCAGTTACTTGATTGCGAATCTAAACATCATCTTAATTCTTATTTTTACAATATATCTCGCATATCCTACTGGTGTAACATCTATTTTATATACTGCATATAGAAAAAGACATTTACCGTGTGCCTCTCAATTTTTTGATTTGGTGTTTTCCCTTTTCAAATGACTTTCATTTAATTCGTTGGGAGTACAGTAGGGGTATAACATTGCATTTCCCTTTTCTTTTCCATATGCGCGCGCGCTCCACTGAAACACGGATAAACTGTAAAAATCCAAGTTCCAGATTGAACTCACCACCCCCTCTTTTCACACTAAAAAAATATCTCACCAAATCCTGAGATCAAACCTCAAAAAATGGAGACTAATTCATCCGCTAAGGATCGGTCTCCGCCTCCTCATCTCTCGTCCGAAAACGCCGCCGTTTCTTATGATTCTCCCTACCCAATATATGCCCTGGCCGTCTCAAACCACCACCGACGCCGCCGCCGTAAAATCGCCGTCGGGAGCTTCATCGAGGGTTTAAACAACCGGGTCGACATCCTTTCTTTTGACGATGAAACCCACTCACTTCAACCCATCATCCCTAATAACCTTTTCTTCCATCACCCTTACCCACCCACTAAGCTGATGTTCCATCCCAACCCCGCCGCCGCCGTTGAACTCCTTGCCTCCTCCGGCGACTACCTCCGCCTCTGGGAATTCCGGGAGGATGACGGTTCCTCCTCAGTTGAACCCGTCGCGACTTTGAATAACAGCAAGACCAGTGAGTATTGCGCCCCGTTGACCTCCTTCGACTGGAATGAGGTGGAGCCCCGAAGGATCGGAACATCCAGCGTGGACACCACTTGTACCATCTGGGACATTGAGAAACGGGTGGTTGAAACCCAATTAATTGCCCACGACAAAGAAGTTTACGACATTGCCTGGGGTGAAGCTGGGGTTTTTGCGTCCGTTTCCGGTGATGGATCGGTGAGGATTTTCGATTTGAGGGATAAAGAGCATTCCACCATCATCTATGAGAGCCCCCAGCCCGAGACTCCGTTATTAAGGTTGGCTTGGAACAAGCAGGACTTGAGGTACATGGCCACAATCACGATGGACAGCAACAAGATTGTGATATTGGATATTAGGTCTCCGGCGATGCCGGTGGCAGAGCTGGAGAGGCACCAGGGGAGTGTTAATGCGATTTCTTGGGCCCCACAGAGTTGTAGGCATATCTGTTCTGGTGGGGATGACGGGCAGGCGCTGATTTGGGAGCTGCCTACCGTGGCTGGACCTAATGGGATTGACCCTATGTCAATGTATGACGCTGGAGCTGAGGTTAATCAAATTCAATGGTCCGCTGCGCAGCCTGATTGGATTGCTATTGCATTTTCGAGTAAGTTGCAGATGCTTCGAGTTTGATTGGAACTGAACTTTTAAAAGGATTAAATGTCTGGTAGACTTTTTCAGTCTGTTGGGAGCTTGCCCTGTTGATTACCTTTAACTATTTAGATTTTCTTTTTCCTTTATGGGTTGAGTAAGTTGCATATGATTACGAGTTTGAGGTAGCTTTGAAAATGTATACATTGTTTATGTGTGTTCACTTGTCCAATTCACTTGTACGATTAATTATGAAGATATCAAGCTGTTTAAGGTTAGATTATCTTGTTTATAGTTTGCCAGAACTCGCCAAAGCAGGTGTTTTTTTTTTTTTTTTTGGGTTCAATATGTTAATGTGACTTAGTGTCTTCCTTACTGATTTCGTTTGTATGAAATTCTTGGTTAAGTTTTTGTTTATTGTCCCGACTCTGATGAGCAGGACATTTATTTCCTTTTGACTAGTGACCTTATGAGTATTTTATCTTTTGTATTCAGGATATCCGTGTTTAATTTGTAATAACTCGAAGAATTAAGTTTTTCATTCTAATTGTTACATGGACCTCTGTATTATTCTTGCCGAAATTCATTCATTGGTGCACATTGCTTGGTTTTGTATGTGTATTGTGCCAATGTTTATGTGAATAAGCTTGTGGTGGAGGATCTTTGTAATACTTATTCATGCATCATGATGGTCTAACTTATTATCCATGGGGTGTTTGGAACACCAGCTATAGCATAAACACTTTCCAGTTAGGCCAAGACCACTAACCACTTTGATTAAGGACGTAGAGTACTACTAAATCTAAATTTGACTGTGAATAGAGAAATTGTTTTAACTGGATCGGTCAAGTTTCTCCTAAAGTGGAATTTAGTGTTTAATACTTTTAGATGGGTCTATCATCTGCTGCCACTGTGAAAGTTTTTGCTTACCTGTCCTTATTTGCTGTTTGAGCTGCAATAAATGGATATGTTAACAGTTTAAGGCAAGGATTCAACACATGATTGACTCATAGTGCACATTTGTGTGATAGTTCATGGCATTGTGCTAGATGTGTGTAAGCCACTATGATAAATTGAGCTTTCATCCGAACTTCACGGGAGCCCAGATTGGTGTTATCTTTGCTGGTTCTCCACTCTTTGAAGTACTAATCTGTTGTTGGCTGAAGAATTAGGTTTGCGAAACGTTATGTTCTTTTTCATAAGCTCAAGGTATCTGTCTTTTCTCCTAGTGATGTGATGGGATCCTGCATACCATAGTCTCATTGTGATGCATCTTTGAATTACATTTAGTTTTTTCGCACACACTGTCTGCTTCTCCCATTTCTTTTTGCATCTTGTTTTCATCGGTGCCCGGAATCAAGGTTTTGTTTAAAGTCATCCCCGGTTTAAGAAATCAAGTAGTAGTAACTAGTAGTAAAGTATAATAATCCATCAAAATGATGGAAGGGTGTTTGGATCATTTTAAGGGCTGTTCTTTTTTTTGGGGGGCTTATCCAGATTTTTGGGAGTAGGGCAAAGAGATATTTCTGATCAGCTTTCCTGGATGACAAGGACTGTTGTTTGACATTTGATAGCATAGATAAGCTTGCTTTTCCGCAGGCGATGTGAACAAATTGATGTGCTTAACGCAAGGGTGCCTGATTCCTATGGGTCTGTTTGAATTTTCTGTGAACCAAAAAGTATTGCGACTAATCCCACGTAAATGTTGGCCTCAAAAGTCCATACATTTCACTCTTGAAGGTCGTGTATTGGAGACGACTATCGAAACACGTCCCCACACACCCAATTATAAAAAAAAAAAAAAAGGCTGGAAAAAATGAAAGTTTGGTCTTCATTTTAACTGAAACAAAAGGCACAATTACATTCTTATGAGAAACATGAAGCGGACAAGCAGAAGTACAAAAGCTCTATCCATGTAGTGCCAACAATATAGGAGATTCGAATGACGATAACTCTCGATGTGAACTAAGTAAATAAAATCAAATCCTAGCACATCTAAGTAATCTTTTATGCATTTTTGAAACTGCTCACAAATGGCTGTAACATCTCTGAAATCTCCGCACAATTGTGGAAAGACATAGAAGAGGCAAAATAAAAATGTAGGACTAATTCAAAAAATGCATTTGGGACAACCAAGCATCTATCCATCCAAATTAATGGAGGGACCAAATTCAAACCTAGAGTAAAAGCAATGGGCATGGGACCAAGGATTGGAATAAAAAAGCCAGCTAGAGATGACTGGAGATCAAGGCAGGCAGAGTTAAGTAGTTAACCAAGGGTTTTAATATGTGGGATCCACCCCCACACTAATTAAGCAGCCGGTGCTGAAGAAGATTGGGTCTTGGGAGTTTTGCCGTGATCAGTTGTTGCGAGGTTGTGGTGTATATATATGTATTAGTATTGAGTTTTATTCTTGCTCATCTCCCACATCTTCTTGTTAAAAAAATTATATCTGCCAGAGAAACCATTGGTTGGGAGAGAGGGTGACGGTCTTGTGAGTGTATACACACACACACACACACTAGAGATCGGAAATCGGATCATCAAATTCAAAATCAATGGGGGAAGAATTGTGTGGTAATATAGACCCTTCATTGGTCACTTTTCCCATTCCAATGAGTAGGTTGGGTGCTCCAACATCTGTGGATGCTTACAGTTGCCCAAGAAACATGGCCAACCATAAAGAAGATGATGATGACGAGGAGAAGGAGGAGGTGTGCGCTGTTTGCTTAGATAAGTTGTACGACAACACCTTATCAAACTCGTCGGAGGAGATGAATGAGGTCAGACAGCTGCTTCACAGTTGCCGCCATTCCTTCCACAAAGTCTGCCTCCTTGCTTTGGTTGCCCAAGGTCACCACTCCTGTCCCCTCTGCAGGGCTAACTTCTCGGCTGTTAATCAGACCGCGGCCCATCATAAATTTGGGCCAAATGAGCCACGCCCCGCTAATTGGGATCCATGGAGGTTGGAGAGGATGATTTACTTATTTGGAGAGGACGTTCTGTTTTGATCTCCCTCGCCCCGCTAAGAACGTTCTATGTTTTTTCCCCCTCTTTTTGCGTGTTTTTTTTTTTGGGTATTATTTTCTTTCATGTGGGATGTGGAGCAATCCAGGAAAAAAAGTTACAAAAAAAAGGTATAAGGTAGTATTATGTAATTTTAATCTAAATTATTTGCCTAACTTTTAATATATATTAGTGTTTACCCCGCACGTTGTGCGGGTTGTTCAAAAATAATGTTAATGATATAAATTATAATTGTATAATTTTGAATATCAATATGTTTTGTTATTTTAAATATATTTGGAATAATTTTCAATACTTGAAATGGTCCAATATAACTTATTGTTCATCTTTTTCTTTTTGTTGATTTACGGTTTCATATTTATTAAAAATATTCTCTTAATTTTTTATGATCTCTTTAAATATTTTCACCGATGTCATATCTTTTAAACTCTTCCTATAACGAAAATTTTTGTCATTATTTATTTACACAAACTTATCCTTATTTTTCATCTTCCTATATACTTTTGCAACATTTTTTTAGAAATTTATTTGTACATTTTTCCTATAATATGGTATTCTTCTTTTTTTCTTAGTTGCATAGTATCCGACTTTTTTTTTTTTTTTGATGACTTCTCTTAAACATTTCATTTCTTGAAAAATTTGTTATGATTATTTCATTTTTCACTATTACCTTGGTTCCTATTTTTTTTTTTTTTTTGATTCTCTACATAATTTTTAATCCATATAATTATTCTAAATATCTTAATATACTTTTTTCTACTATTTGTCTCCCACAGAGATCTTTATTCTTTTCCTTTATCTTAATATGCTTTTCTTTTCCTATTTATCTCTATGTTTTCCATTATCTCAATATACTTTTCTTTCCCTATTTATCTCTATGTTTTGTTTTATCGCCACAACTTTATGTCATATAGAAAAAATAATTATGAATATATTATATTATTATATTAATTTATCGGTAATTATTTATTATATTATTTTTATACTATATTACATTATACATAATATAATACATATTAAAATACTGAAAGTTTATCGATTATTATATAATTTATTAATAGTATTAATATTAAACAACAATAATCGGTTATTAGTATTGTTAGTTAAGAGAAAAAAATACATTACCATTAAAAAAATGTTTACAATAAAAGCACCACCAACTGAAATAAAAACTTATACACTAAACAATAAAAAATAAAAATATCCGATTGATGGTTACACTTTATCACATAACTAAAGAAATTAATATTGTCGGTGAATTTATTTTTCTCTCATGGCCATCAAAATTTTATTTTTATTTTTCTACATCGGATTGTTCTTTTCTTTTCTTTTTTTGATTTTTTATTTCAGATGGTTATCTTTAGATTTATTAGTATTATTATTATTTTATTTTTTTTATTTTCTAATCTTTACACAATATAATTATCGGTAATCATTTATTAGTATTCCCCATGAAGGGGTAAAAAAATATATTTCCCTATGCTTTTCTTTCCCTATTTATCTTTATGTTTTGTTTTATCCCCACAACTTTAACTTTTTCTACAATTATATCATATAGACAAAATAATTATGAATATATTATATTATTGTATTAATTTATCAGTAATTATTTATAATATTATTTTATACTATATTATACTATGTATAATATAATACATATTAAAATAGTATTAATATTAAACAACAATAATCGGTTATTAGTTGGTGGGATATCAAACCAACAAATAATATTAACTTACTTCCAGCAAACGTAGTATAAGAAAGCAAAGTCGTCTCCATAGACAATGGTGGATTCGTTTCTTTTAAACACGTAACAAAATGAGGGGGAGGGGTTTGGATTTGATTCTAACTTATAAAAATAAGAAAAATAGATTGAAATAAATGAAATGTTTAAGGAAAGCTCTAGTCAAAGAAATCTAATCCATCTTGTTTCCTATAATGATCGTCGATACAAAAATAAGCATTCAAGAATAAACTAAAGATGACAATGTACAAACCTGTATATCACCAATTTTTCTTTGTCGAGGCAATAATCGAAACCTTGAAAATTACTTTTACCAAATAGAAAAATCCCCGAAACCTCGCAGGACTAACAGTTCTAATGGTTACTGAACAAGGAAAATTTAAAACAAAACATTAAACACCAACGGAGGTTTATGTATGTAACTTATTTATTTTCAAAATATAGTTTAAGTACTTAACCAAGTAAATAAAATATATTAAACGCCCTCTCAAATTTAACAAAACCTTGTCTAATTTGATTAGCTGTAAATCGTTTGGCAAAGATTGAAAGCTAACCAGTACTCCAATTTAGCTGCTAACAATTATATTAAATGTTAATTGTATTGCGAATATCACAAGCTAACCACTTTATCTTAATTGTATTGTATTGATTAATTATATAAGACCACTTTATCTTGGACTTTAATTTGGGCTGACGGGAGCATGTTGGAGAGAAAGCAAAATTTGGCTTGTAGTTAATTATTAAATTGAGCCAAGGAATTAAAGAAGTGGTCCCCTATCATTAAAATTTACCGTTAAGAGGTAATTTATAATTTTAACATTAAAAGTTTACTATTAAATGATGGAGTGATGTGGTTGCGATATATGGACTTGGGTATCTAATTTTGCGCCACGTGGATTAGTTAATCTAAATTTGCGCCATGTGTCAAATTGAAAACTCTCCTTTAATATATTGGAGATATATATATATATATATATATGTGTGTGTGTGTGTGTGTGTGTGAAAAGTGTAAAATGAAATTAGAACTCTATGTGAAATTAGAACTCTAAAAATGAAATTAGAACTCTATGTAAAATGAAATTAGAACTCTGTGAAATTAGAACTCTATGTATAAAACTCTATGTGAAAAGTGTAAAATGAAATTAGAACTCCAATATTAATGTACTCCTTCTGTCCTATAATTATTGTCCAGTTTAAGTTTTCATTTCTAGTTTATATTGTACTAAAAACGAAAACCTAAACTGGACAATAATTTTGGGACAGAGGGAGTAAGTCTAAATGTGGATGTTTTGGTATCTAATTATATATGAATAAAACAGGTTCAAACGGCAAAGAACAGAGAAATTATAAACCATGAACGACAGATTTGGAAGTGACAAGATTAATCGAGCAAGTTTTTGATGCTTTTGCATGCTTCCTTTATCTGAAAAACATATACTCCGTATAAACAACTGGAGTATCTATATATGTAAAAAAATAAAATAAAATTGATTACCGTTCACACATTTGTTGTGGATTTTGTTCTTGATAGAATAGACAAAAGGATGAAAAGATTAAAAACAAAGATGGCAGTATAAAAGATCGTATATTTTTTGTAAGTGGTAAGATATTTCTTATTTGACCGATAGTATATAGTACTAATATATTTCTCTTATTTTATTTTAATTTCAATTTTTGCGAAACATATAGTACAAAATTTTTTCTATTGAATGGTACTATATTCGAATATTTTTATGGTTGGATCAATGTTATTTATTGGCATCAATTGAAAATGAAAATAACTAAATAAGCAATGGAAAAGATTGTACTTCAAAAAAAAAAAAAAAAAGGAAAACAGAAAAAATTAAAAAAAAAAAAAAAGCAAAAAAGAATGGCGGGGAATAATGGGAGATTACAAAATTCTGATCCAAAATGATGATGCTTCCATGTCGAGTTATGGACCTCTTGTTCTTCTTCTTCTCCTTCCCGTTTGTGCTAAATACACCTTATATCTCCATATACAATATCTTCTGCAACTACAGTATTTCCTAGTCCCAACTTTTTAAATTCTCAAACTCTACTATTTTATTGTTAATTTTTAAATTTCTTTAACATCAACTCATGTTTTCTCTCTCGCCGCCGCCGCCGCTGCCTCCGTCACCGTCGCCGCCGAAGCACCACCTTCCCCTCCAGCAAACCCAAACATACAATACTCATCTCCACAAAAAACCCATCACTTCTTCAATCCCTGACTTCATCTTCACCGCCTTCTCAATTTTCTTCCTTTTTTCCTCCTCCTCCCCAAAACCCACATCCGCCCCGGTAAACGTCATCCACAAATTCCCTTTCCCTCTCAACCCTCGTAAATTTTTCAGAATTCCCATAATGTCCTCCCCTTCTTCTAGAGCCCCAAATCGATTCCCTAACCCTCAATCCCTTTCCGATTGGCTCAAGCCCCGCCTGCCCTCCGATTCATTCGCCTCCTGGGGTGTTAAGCCCGGCACCAAGAATGTCCACAATCTCTGGCTTGAGCTTTCCGAAGGCGAGACCACCTTGCTTGCCGACTCCACACCTCCCATTCGAACCGTCGATGTCGTCATCGTCAGGGTGATCGGCGGCGAACAGAACAACAAGCTTCTTCTGGAATCCCATCAAGAGCTTTCCAACGGCCATGTTCGTAATCGGTGCCGGCCCTTGTCGGAGAAGATGAAGCCCGGCGAATCAGTTGAGGCCGCCGCTTTCCGCGCAGTCAAGGAGGAGCTAGGCTCCGTACTCCCTGAAGGACTGGATGGGGATATTGTTAAAATTGTTCCTAATTCGTATTCGAAGAAGGTGGAAGAGAGGGCTTCTGCTTCGTATCCGGGTTTGCCAGCTCGTTATGTGCTTCACACTGTGGATGCCGTAGTGGAGGGATTGCCCCACGGCGAGTTTTGCACGGAAGAGCTGGAGGAGTACGACGATTCTGATGAAAAGAGAGCAGCTCATGGTGCCGTTTCCTGTAAAAAGCATTACTGGAAGTGGGTTGATTCTTACTCCGATGCAAAGATCTAATTTTTGAGGTTCGTCGGAAGTCAATTTTTATGACCCTTTTTCCAGATTGAGTTATAGTTTTGTTAGTTAGGATGATACTGTTATAATTTTACTAACCAAAGTTCGAAGATTTTGCGTGGAGAGTATTTTTGTTCTGTGTTTTCACTTTGAGTTGGAATGGAACTTATAGATTTTACCTGGAAAATGGGATGTAGTAGGCAAAACTTAAATAATGATTGAGAAGACTAAGGGGTTGTTCCTATGCAGCAAAGTGAAATTTTGTTTTTGCTCTAGTGAAGGCTGTGTAAAATTTATTATGCAAATCTTTTTCGCTGAAAGAAAGAAACTTTCTGAAATAACTTTTGGTTATTGTGCTTTTGCACGTGTTATGCATTTTGTAAGGTTCAAAAACTTTCATAGCTATCTCGTTTGATGCAAATGACTGCTCAAATAGTTCTGTTATATTCATAATACTCTTCCATCAAAGTTTCAGACTTTCTGCTTCAGTTATATCATTCAGATTGAGAGCATGATTTGGTATGGAGGTAGTGATACAGCTCTAGGTGAGTGTGCCTTTTTTCATCTACCTTTTGCTTCCGACTATTGGAGTTGCATTGCTAGAACCAAGTTTATGTGTTTTCCCGTGAAGGTTTGCCATTTGCTCAAAGTGTAGGTTTTTTGACGTCTGTCTTTAAGCCGGGACGTTTCCTTCTCATTCTTCAGATTTTTGAAACTGCTAACTGGTGTTTGCTTGACCGTTTGGTAGAAAAAAAAACACTTGAAACTGCAGGATTTATAATTTTATATCCTACATAATATCCTGGACCAATTTGAATGTCGGGGGGAATAGAAATTATAAGCATACCACCTTCGACTTATTTTGGCTAATCCATCAAATCAACCTTAATCCTACTATCTTAGGTTACCTTCCGGTTGAAACCAAAGATCTCCAAACTCTTAACATGGTTTTGGATTTAAAAGTGAGATATTAAGTCTGGAGAGTGACGACTCAAGATTGGAGACGTTGAGATTGGTAGAGTAGGGATGTGTGTAATTTTTTGAAGGTGAATGAAGATTGAGAAGGCTTGAGAGTTGGACCCATCTGCAGGTAGCCGGATTGCCATGGAACCCTCTTAAGATTCCTCTCTAGACAGAACCAAATTAATTTAAGAGTAAAATTTTTCCCCTGCCTGCCGGATTCTTTATTTTTCTTCGCTTTACTTCATGGCGGAATCTCTTTAGCCTGTTTGATGCATATCCTTGTATCTGTTACAAAAGACTACCTAACGTGCAGGCAGTTGTTAACAACACTCTTGATATTGCTTCTAAAATGATCCCACTTGCTCAAAAATTCAATTCTAACCAATGACTCCTCCACATTTTATCAACTTTTCCAAAGAGTCATCTCTCTTCTGCCGTTCCAATTGCGAGAATACTTTCTTACAAGCGAGACAAATATACATAATAATCATAATACGATGTTTAGCATCACTGTACAAGTTTGCTACAATCTGATACACAAGTTCATCTGCAAGACTGCAAATCCATTAGAAGCAATCTACTTACATATTCAAACCATATCTCGAGGAAACAGACTGGAATAATCTCATCTTACCTGAGAAGATGTTAATCAAAATATACTAATTACAAGCCTATAGATATGTTAGATACTTCAAACTTAAGAAAGATGTACATAGCAGTTGTATATAGGCACTGTGGGATACATATCATAGCATATGCTACGCCATCCAGCCATTGTCTGTCACTAATTTTATAGAGCCGAACCAATAGGTAGTTACCAAAATTGATTCTCACCTCCAATTAACATGCGTGCCAATCATTTTATCAACCAAATCATGTATGAGTAGCACATGCACAGTGTAGTGAGATGGGAGAACTAGCTTTGGTTATTACCTCCGAGAAAAAGCAAATGGAATCGACATTAAGGTTGATAGACTAAATAAACAATGGCACAATTACCTCACACGTATACACACATACATGTAGATTGTGATCACGTGATAGTAGTCTCAGAGGGCTGTGGAGCACTGAGTCCCTTGCTTGGTGGTCAACGGCCCTGTTGGCAAAGAAGAACCTGAGAATGGCAATATAGCTATGCAATCCACATTGAACCGATACCTGCCGGATACCCAACTTCCAACTCTCCATCTCAGCCGTCCATTGGCCTTAACACTAATCACCAGATTCCCAGAAGTACTCTTATCCCTCCCTACTTGATAACCAAAAGAAGGAGCCACGGGAAGTCCTTCCCCAAGTAGAGAAGCTGAAAGAACATTGCTTTCCTCATGCCCTTGATAAAACGGAGGAATTGAAGTGTCAAGACTGATCTGTTGGCCTTTGTATGAAGCATAGACTTCCAGTATATCGTAGTATATGCCGACTTTTCTGTTGGGATTTTGGGAGAAGAGGGTGACTTGGATAGAGGAGTTGAGGAGGTGGGGGAAAGATGAGAGGTTGAGTTGATAGATATCGGTTTGTTTGAGTGAGAACTGGGGTTTTGTCGGGTGGAGAGTTAGCCAAACAAGGAGAATGAGGGCTAAGATGGTGAGCAGGAGGGTGGAGAAAGAGTAGAATAGTTTTTTGTTGAACTTGTGAGCTGGAAAATGTGATTGTTTTGCAGCACAATGTTTGGGAGATTTTTCATGGATTTGAGACATTTGCAAGTGATTTGGAGAAGCAAGGCAGACAGATAGAGGAGTATGGAGGTTTAGAATGCTAAGGAAAGAAAGAAAGGCGAGGCTTTTGGAGGCTTATAAGAAGGGAAAGAAGAGCTTTTCAGGAAGGGGTGGTTTGCTTGAATGATTGGGGCTCATCAACGTTTTTCTTTCCTCTCTTTTTTTTTTTTTTTTTTTATTTATGAACTAAAAGCTGGCTGTTAATTCATATTTCATACACCCTTTTTCACAGTACTAGCTAATACATATTTCTACGAGTTTCTTGAGAGTTTCGCTTATTGTTATTGAGTAGAAGCCTTTCGCAACCATAATTTTGTAATGGACGATTGTTATTCACGAGTTGCCTTGTGTATTACGCATCATTTCGTCTTTGGGTGATGGACAAATAAAACTCGTAGTCAACAACACCTCCATGATTATTAGCCTTTTGAAAAAGTGATGGAAGTGGTAATAGGTTTCTGTCTAATAAACAGTGTGTATTGGAGGAGTTTTTTGCTTAGTTTTCTGATAATGGTTCCGTTTGAGTCTTCACATACGCAACATTGAGCCAAAAACAAAAGAAAGCATAAACAAAAGCATATTAAAAGTACACGAGCAACCAATGAATCCGGTAACGGGTTTTATTTCTTGTTGCTAGTAACACTAGAGAGTAGTATCTCTTGATTGAGTTATTCCCTTCTCCACAGAGTTCATCGTGAAATAAGAATAAGAATTTCCCGGTTCAAACCATGAATGGATTGCAGATGAGCAAAATTGAAGAATGGACTGATCCCATATAGTTTTCCTCATTACTAATTTACTATTAGCCCTTGTGATAAGAAAGTGCATGATAAAGGGTATCATTATCATAATACCCCTTTTAGAACACGTAAAAGGTAAAACAGAGATCCAAGGGGATATCTCTCATAGAGCCGGAATCTGATGGGCTATATATCAGAATTATTGCTGGGAAAAGTTGAATAGCCTTTTCTTAAAGTGTGTTTATAATTAGCAGAGACCCGAGATAGACATTATAGGCTTTCTCATGGTTGATTTGAAAATTGGTGCCCCCATCCTGTCTTCTTCTTGTTCCAGTACTAACGCCAAAATCAAAAAGTAAGAGTTAGGAAAATTTAACTGCCCCCATTGTTGATTAATTCGTTTTGAACTCCAACTACTTTTTTCTTCTAATATATACTCTCCCTGTCGTAAAATTATTATTGAGTTTATACTAAAAGTGAAAATCTAAACTCGATAATAATTTCAGGACAGAAGGAGTACTTTTATTATACCATGTGTAGTCCATGTAGAACGGACTGACTTCGGTTGGGGATCAGTATGTACGTGTTCCGCGTGCTGGTTCGAAGTGTCAAACACGATAAATCTATTAGGTGTAATTAGTGGGCTCAAATCTATTTTGTTGCTAATTGAACAACCAAATAGCGTAAAAAAAAACATACTGATGAGCCCTTTGACAAAATTGTATATGCATGCTGCCAACTTTTGCCAGTCAGTCATAATTGATTATTAGAAACTAATGGAGCCAAAGTGGAGATATAAAGGTTTCAAAAGAGAAGAATCTCATAAAAATTTCCTGCACTTCATACTACTACTATGAGGAGAGGCCATTAGCTTTCTCATGTGTCTTTTTTTACCTGTTGCTACTTCTACTCCATTGCTTTTGAGTTAAGAAAACGACTTTAGAGGCAAAGGGCTTGCAAGTCAAATCTGCTGAATTTCATGCATACCAACCACGCTTTCCCTTGAACATCACTTAAAAGCGTGGTCTTTTGGGTACCAAAAAAAAAAAAAGAAAAAAAAGACGGCACTTGCTTCTTCGGTCAACAGTAACCCCTATCATTTCAAAGTGATTTCTAGAGAGTACGTTATTATATGATTATCTTCAAGAGTTACATTATTGTGCTACCGTATCTACGTTACTTATTGTACCCCCTTGACGAAAATTAATATCGTTGTCCATTTAATTACTTTTTATGTATTCCAATTTATAATATTTGTCTTTTAATCATAGTGAAGCAACGAGTAAGACAAGGTGGTTCATACTAAATTCTATTTCTACAAGAGGATACTTCATTGGTAAGAAAAAACTCTTTCAAATTACGCTAAAGAATGAATCAAAAACAAAAGAAAAGGTTAAATTCATGGTTTGTCTTCAAATGTATGTCTTCAGTGTGATCGTACGTCTCCATCTCAAATACCTCTATGATTGGATCATTCATGCATCGATTGAGAGGTCGGAAGAAGTTGATCTTTATAATCAATCATGGCATAGTAGTCTATCCATCAATGGACTGGCATTTATAGCTCTCAGTGATTCCAAGTAGTCATTTCGTTTTCAAGCCTTTGGATTGTAGTTTTGTGTTCCTTCCCATGATTTAACCTTCTTTTTTTTTTTTTTCTTTTTCGGGTGCCAATAATTCTTAGTACTAGTATTTCCATACGATGTTGATGATACATATTTGAAAAACCAATCAAGAAAACATAGTGGACAACTATAAATCAAATCTCAACGGAACTCTTTTGTCCTAAAAGTCACTTCAATTTGAATTAGTGAAGCAGACCTCTAAATAACTGGAAACTGGAAAGAACAAGGACACGGTGAAAAAGGGTTGCATTGCATCTCCCAAGGTCTATCATACATATACTATCCTAGAATCCTAGTCGGTTATTGGGTTTCTAAAGTTCCAACTGTTTGCGCTCATAATTTCAAAGAAAAAGGAAAATCACGTTTCAAAGACTATGATGAAAAGGAATGGAGGCGTACGAAACATCGCTGAACTGAACATTACGGCCAGAAGTCTATTTCTAGCTACAAATGAATCTGCTGCTGTATAATCATGTACTTTGTTTTACAACCAAGATAACCTAATTGTCATCTAAGTCAAGCAAGCCAAAAGTTAAAGGGTCACTGATGACTAACTAACAACTAGCTTACTTTGATCACAACAAGGCCCCTACAAAAAAAAATTATCAAAAGTGGCAGCCCCTCATAAATATACAGAAAGCCACGATAAAAGAAAGGAGATATAGGATATATGTTACAATGACTAATCGCTAGGCTACATAGGGAGTTGGCAATAATCTTTTGGAGCTTTATCTAGATGGACTATAAATCAAAGCCCCCATTTTGTGCTTGATCTCTTGGCCCTTTGATCTGCATTCGCATGCCTATTTATCCAACTGGTGTGTTCCCAGGTGGAGATTCTGCCACTACTTGCCGAACAAACTGCCCTTTAACTCGTGGCCGCTTCTCAGCAAGTTTTTTCCTACTTTCATACCGTACCTGATGACAGAAACACCAGCAAGTAAATAAGAAAGAGTCAAGGAGAACACACCTCTTATGCATAAATCAGAGGAAGTTGAAAGACACGGCAAAATTATAAATGTATCTGTCAATTATATTTTTATTAGTGTCATGATCTGCTCTAAGTGCAGCACTTACAACTTAGTAAAGAAGCTAATTCCGGTCACTGGGATAATGTTCAAGGAGCACAGTTAACTATTAATTAACAAAGAAAGCCCTGACATATTTACCTTTTTCTCGAAGCATCTTTCTTTCCTCTTTAAACGGAACTTTGTAAGCGCAGCTTCTCTTTGCATGGATTTGATTGAGTTCCCATCATGATGCGCTCGAAGTGATTCTTCGTTGCCACATTCTGCTGCAGCGGTTGTTGACATGTAGGGAACCACAGCATCCATCTTTACTTCATTGTTGCTCGCTCCACAATGCAGATTGTTAAGGTGATTTACTGTTCCATTGCAGAAACTACTGTTGCCACTCTGATCTGTCGCAGATGATGTATGTCCACGGTCCTCTACAGTCTCCAATTTATGCCCCTCGCGGCTCTCCATTTGATCAGCCATATCACTCCGGTTCTGCAAAAGGCGGCCATGATGATACTGCTGTGACGGATTCGCAGATTGATGATGATTCAGCTGATAGAATGCATTCGCATTCGCCTGAAGTGAAGGCGAAGCAGTTTCTGGGTTGTTAACTGAACTGGAACTCTGCATTGCTGATAGGCCTGATTGTGTACGAAATAGTTGGTGCATCAAGGGGTTATAACCATTGCTTAGATTGTCCACTCTAACGCCTCTTACTGGAACCGGAGCAGGTAGTAACCTCTGTTGAGGCCGAGGAGGAGTTGTGGACTCACTTTCTCCAGGCTGACCGATCGCCAAATGAGAAGAATGATCCCTCTGTTGATTGCAAGAGGTAGGTGATGCCAACGGTTGAGGCTGCAAACTCCTGTTAACGTATCTGCATATGAAATTTTATATTAGCAGTGCTTAAATGGATGGATTCTAATTGTTTTGAGATTAGCTTCATTGTCTTGCTTAATCTTTCTGAGTTATTTTTAAGTAAGAAAACTGGATTTGGTTACTTATCAATGATTCAATGGTTTCCATCATAAACTATGGCAAAAACCAGGATTTCTTTTCTATTTCAAAATGGAACATTATGATTCTTGCAAGGAAGAGAATGTTTAGCATATACCTTTCGTTTCACTTTTACCACCCTAAAAGCAGGGAGAGCAAACAAAGAGCAATTATTTCACAGCCACTGTTTTATATGTGGTGGTAATACACAGATGAATATCTTATATACATATTTGGAATTGACAGCTCCTGAATTTGAGTTGGAAATATAGAATATAAAATCAAATAATCAATAAGCCCTACAGCCATACCAATAGAATATTCGGCCTCATAGAAAATTACGAGATCCTATTTACCATATTTATGTTCCTCTTGGAAGGCAATTTTGCATTTATATTAGACGTCTAAATTTTATTTCTCTTTTAGACTCCAATGACTTTAGGAGTACAACTATAGCTCAAAAAAATAATAGGAATAAAAAATTTAAAAGTTTCTCAGTTATACAATTAAAAATCTTAAGAACCGACCTTTGAACAACAGTACACTGCAGACTCCGTGATGTAGAAACAAGAAGTTATTAACTTATTATATGTCTCTTATTTCTGGGCAGGGGATGGGGAGTAGTACTAAGAGGTGTATCAATCGACACAGGAAATATGTGACCATCCTCACGGTTGAAAACTGTGAACTGTTAAGCACTATTAATTCAATTAGAAAAAATGTGGGATGGTACGTACTATGAACCAAGTTCAACCTCTTCAAAGTGAGTATAAAATTAATGACAAATCATAAGCAGGGCGAACAGAAGTATGGAACTAACCTTGAAAAGGCGGATGCATCTGAGTGGTTTAATCTGTGCTGCTGCCTCTCATCTGTTTCTTGGTTTACTGAGCCACTTGTATGTCTTCTTAAGGAAAGATCTAATTGAGGCAAAGTATCAACTTTGCTCGCAGTAACAACATTTGAGCCACTATTTCTGTGAGCGCATTTAAGGTAGTTATCAAAAGCCCCTATTAAGTCAATGACTTCCCTAACAGAATCATTGCTGACATAATTGGTTTCAAGACCAAGACCGGTGGCACGGCCAAAATCCCAATGGGAGCCTGAATTTTTATCTTCCACGCTAGTCATCCTTTGTGCATCTACCCCGATGGCTTCCCTTGATCCTGCATCGTAGTGGAAAGCATTGAGAATCTGGCTGGGTCACTACTTATCATACAAAAAGAGGATATCAAAAACCACGAGGCATATAAGAAAAAGAAAAGTACCATCTGCTTCATTATCTGATGGCTGCACTTTCTTGTTTGGAATTGCGTGGCTCTCTTGTTTCTTTGTATCCATGTCAGTAGACTGCAATTTGCTCCATTTTGAATGTGACAGCTCCTGCACGCATTCCGTGTCTGCATGTTCAGCATCCAACTCTGGTTTTGTACAAGAGCTCTACACCAACCACAGATATAATAAGGGAATCCGCATGAAACTCCATTCAGGTAGAGACATTTGAAAAATTATGAACACTAGAACACAGCATCCATTGAGGGGTTTCTGGTATGTTTTGAAAAACTTCAGAAGGTTGATCAAGTATATAATTACCTGGGCATCACTTCCTTTTTCCAAATATTCCCGATTTTTCTGAATGCAGGCCATGTCACATGAATTATTACTAATAGCATTGTTTTCGGCCGTGGCTTCAACCTTATTATGTTGTGCAGTGCTCTCGTCTTGAGGACCCACTCCACCACCACTGCTTGACTGAAAATAACAAATACAGTACTTTATAAGTAAATAGAGAACTGTGTTATACTTGCGTTATCAAAATTCAAAACAAAGATGAAATCCTTACAGCTTGTCTCCGCCAGACATGTTGCCATAAGTTCCTCAGTTCATTTTTTCGAACTGGTTTAACCAGAAAATCTGCTGCTCCTCTCAACATGCATTTATACACCGTGCTAACTGAGTCCTGCGAAGACATCACTGCAATGAAAGGAGAAACAAAACCGTCATTGGAATTAAAGGACAAGCATATTTGACGCATTTATCAATCGAAAGTTAGGAGAGAATTACAGATCATCATGACATACTTATTACTGGGATGTTTTTGCAAATCTCATGCTCCATAATCAATGTGAGCAGAGCAAATCCTGAGATGGCTGGCAGTTCGACCTCAGTCAATATGAGGTCAATGTTGTGGGGTCTTCCCTTCAGTACCTCCCATGCCTTTAAGCCATCAGAAACTGCAGCAACTGAGATAAAAGTAAAGAAACACTAAAAATTAGGAATTTCGAAGAGTCCATTCATCTCAGAGGGACAGGAAAAAGGTGTTCAAAAATTCACCCTAGACATATAGCCCCGGTGCTAGTTGGTGGAGAGATCTGACCAAATGATAGATATCAAAAGGCCGAGGCTAGCCACATTTCAAAACATAGATAAATCAGAGAACAGGCATACATCGATTATTCCTATCTAACACACCTTGGGTAATCTCATAAATTATAAGGCAACTCATCTCTGACTTCAACAGCAAACCACACATCAATCAAGGTCCTTCGATATTGCGAAGCAATGCCAATTGAGAAACTAAGCTATAAACAATGAAACTACCCAATGTCTTTGGAAAAGAATTACTGAAACATGGAACCAATATTTGAAAGAATCAGCCCCAAATACAAAGTTAACACCATAACCTAAGGAGTAAGGCGTTAAGTATTAAGATTCTGTCCAGTGATCACAGTAATTACCCCAAACCACTACTTATTAACCAGTATAAGAAAACAACACTAAGCATAAACATAGTTTTGGCTAAGTCAAAGAAAAATCAAACTTTGAGAGAAACATATATCGATTAAAAATTCATTCCAGAGCCCAGGGAGAAACTTAAAAAGGAGAAAAGTAAAGAGGTAAAAAAATGAAAAGGATACCTCTGTAGCTGCATTTCCGGAGAAGAGCGGCAATAATCTGACGGGTGGAATCGTCAGCTTCAACCAGCAAAACCCTCAGCACCATCTTTGGAAGAAAGCTCTCCCACCTAACCACCGCGGCGGCATCATCTCCGGCAGCTGAAGCAGCTGCAGCTGCTGCAGCTTCAGATGATGCGGCGGCGGAAACATCACCGCCAATGTTGTTCTTCTTGGTCCCTTCTTCAACAGCAGCCATCCCATTATTGCGTTCTTCACAGCTTAGTACCACTTCCCCCATTTTTTCTATATGGCAATAAAAATCAAGGACATTTGAAGGAAAATTCCGAAAAAAGGAAGCTATAAGAATGGTGGTAAAAATTGGTGCCACAAGTTTAGAGACAAAAGGAGTAAAGAACCGGGTTCTTGGGAAGTTGAGAAAGTTTAGAAGCTGAAAAAATATCTTCAAAATCCACCACTCCAATTCAAAGTTCAATAAATTAATCAAAAATCTTTTTTATTAATTAATATATAGTATCCTTAACTAAGAGCCACCCAATCTTTAAACCGCCTTCACATTTAATGGTCTATATTTTTTGTGCTATCACAAGTGACCCCCGTTGTTTAGTTATATTTTCAAACAAAACTATGATTATGGATAAATCATCAATAACACCCTTCTTAAAACCCGACCTAACAGGTTGACCAATTAGCATGGTTAGGAAATTAATAATTGATGGAGTATAAAGTTATCCAATTAATTTATATCTTATTAAAAAGTAATATGTAGATGAATTTTAATTTTTGATGACACTTATTTTTTTTTTCCAAATTAGATATACAAGTTTCACAAATTCATTTATTTAATTGAATCTTTTAAGAAATTTTCCTGGAATAGATTTTGTTAAATCATCAAACGTAAATTATTTTTCCTCAGTAAAGCTGTCGATATGACTACATTACTTGACTTCATTACGAACATGGAATATTTTGCATCGGATAGTTTTCTTTCCCGATTACAACAAGAAAAAATAATTTTAGGGTATGTTACATAGTTTTATAGAAATATGTAGACACTAATGCGAAGTTAGTATTAGAGGTCTGATTATCATCAGAGTGGGGCTATAATAATGGTGAAGAAATAATAATAATTTTTTCATTGGTGGGAGAAGAAAAATATTTAGAGGTGGTAAGAAAAAGAAAGAGACAGAAAATATCTAGGGGGCTCAATCCATGTGTATGGCCTTAATTGTCCACGTGGAGTCCTTCGTCCTCTAGGGAAGGGAAAAAAAAAAAGTGAAAGAAAGAAAAAAAATTTGAAGTAAAATTCTATCTACGCCTTTCGTTCGGGTTGGTGGCGCTAATTTTTGAAATGTCATCCCTATATGGGCCCACCTACTTCTCCTCCTTTCTATTCATGGACGATTTGTCTATCCTGTATTCTTCTTTATTCTATTTGGTACCCTTTAAGATTTTGTCTTATGACATTGACCCATACCCCTTTGTTTTTATTTTTTCTTTCTCTCTCTCTTTCTCTTTTATTGTTTTTCTTGGTTTTGAAAAGGTGTTTTGGTATTTTGATGAAAGTAAAGTTATTGCATAAATTCATTGAGTTTGTTATTTTTGTTTAAGAGACCAAACAAATAAACATTAATTTTATTTCTATATTGTCACTGTTAAAAATTTGTGAACTCGTGATGTTGAATTCCATGAATGATGGTAGTACAAATACTAAACATATATTGTGTAAGTTATAATCCTAAGAAGTACTCAATTTTTATATCACGACAAGCAAGTCAAGCATTTAGAAAAATAATCAAGTTTTGAAGAGTACTTCGTAATTTTTTAGAGGGGAAAAAAATACTGTATAGCATATACAGGGAGCAGGGAGCAGGGAAAAAAAATATTGTAATAGTTTTAAACTTTCAAATTTTGTTTTGTTCTTTAATGTTATTATGTTGGTGTTGGTAGATGTACAAGTAGCAGGCATCTGTATAACATGTAAATTGGTGAACGTTTTGGCAATTTTGGGAAAGTAATACAATTTACATTTTACCTATAAAAAATAAAAAATAAAAAAAAACTGCACAGTGGGAAAAAAGCTAAATCCCACAAAAAGTAGGGATCCCTTTTGACAATAAAATGAATATAGTTGGATTTTGTGAGTTACCCCCCTAAACAGTGACGATAATAATAAACACATGCACATGTGGTCAGTGGTACTTTAAACTATTACCACAAGTCCACCCCCAAGAAGTCTAATAATTTAATTAATTTTGGTGAAGATATTTTTAAGGACTTTTGAGTGTGGTGTGAGAAATGGTGGACCCTGGTGGCAGAAGATATTTTGCTTTTTAAAAGCATTCGGAGTTTAATGGACAGGAACGTGACACGTGGAGGCCTAAAAAAACTTGAAGATCTTTTGGTTTGTGGCTTCGAAGTTGTGAAAAACAAAAGCTATCTTTTCAAATTGCTACCCCCTCCGAAATCCAATATCCAATCCAATTGGCCCTTCTTCAAATATCAACACCTCCAAACTTTTTCCCATTGGCTGCCCCGAATAAATGGAAATTCTTCTTCTTTTTTATTTTTTTTTTTAAGTGGAAAAAAGTGTACTAAGTACTATGATTTTTGATTCGTGAAATTAGTGGTTGAAGTTGGTTTTGGTGGAAGACGAGAATGCCCCTAGGATCTTTTTAATTTGTCTGGTGATGAGCTGGAAGCTGATAAGCGGAAGATACTAGAATTGGATGGATAAAGGGCAGTTTTTAAAGCTCCCTCCTCTCAAAATATCTCATCCACTGTGTGTGTATTATTATGACAAAAGTCTTTTCTCTTTTCGCCATTCGTTTTCTTATTATTTTATACTAGGTGTTAGACCCGTTCGATGGACGGGAAAGCCATACACATTTAGACATTTTTACATAAATTTTGTATTTTTATAAAATATGTAATGACTTCAGTTTTAAACATGATTACATCTGGACTTACAGGAATTTGTTTTTTTAAAATAACATTTTAAATTCACTGGTGATAAGGTTTATGCAGATCTCTCTAAAATTTGTTAGGATTTGGTACTCTCTCCACTCAATTTCTGTGTTAGGATTTGGTTCATGAAAATAAGGGTTTGGTTTTTATTATTTTGTTTTTTTTAAAATTATTTTAGTTGTTTTTTTTTGTTTTATTATTTTGTTTTGTGTATTTTAAGTCTAAAAAATTAAGAAAATATCACATAGGATTTAAATCCTATATGACATGTGCTCCATGTCTTTAGTTTTCTCTCTCTATTTTTTACCTTAGTATAGTATATAGAAGATTTGCATTAACTTTTTGTTTAACCCACTGGAAAATATGTAAACGATGATGGCTCTACTGAAACTAAATGAATCCAAAATGTGTCACAAAATTCACAATGTAACTATAAATTTTTAAAATTAATAAATCATATTCCTCCTCCTCTCAAACAATCATAATAATGATAAGAATTGAACCCTAATTATTTGTCATCCTACGAGTATCCATCCAATAGATGATTGGAATTACGGCCACTTGGATTGAAACACCCAAATCAAACCCACTTGACACCTCCTTATTTGGTTTCACTTTCTGTCTGTGTTTGTAGCTCTCTCTGTTCTTGTCAAACCCTTCTTCATGGTTGTGGAGTGTCTTTCATTTTCTCTTGGACCTATATTTGGTGTATAATACGTTAGAATTGTGCCATTTTTCATTCATCCATTGGATATTTTGCTTTAACCTATCTGGGAGTGGAAATCTCAACAATTATCAATTCTTTTTGGTTTATACCCAACAAGGCAGTGGACATCTGTCCAACTAAATCCTAGGTTTGTCTTCTATTTACGAGTAATACAGAACTACAGAAGGAAGGAACTCTTTCTTCCCAAAAAAACAATTCACTTTATTATATTAATATATTAATTTAACAACATAAATTATTTTTTTCATGACAAAGAAATTACTTTGTTTAGTGATGTGACCTACAAATTTAAAAATAATAACTACGAGTTAATTGTATATGTTATTGCTATAACGAAATTGTATTTTAATTTCTAAATCACATGGAATGGATTGAGTTTAAAAAATGTGTACTATGTGAAACTTAAGACAAATCAAAATGCCTTATATTAAGAACCGGAGGGCGTAGTTTTCTGTTCATTTTACTCAATTATGAGATTTATATAAGTACTTATATATCATATTTATCCTCCCGTGATGTTCACATATAGAATTATATTAGGTCTATAACCAATACATTTACCTCACGGATATAAATTTGAGAAACAAAATGCAATTTAATAACCTTTTTTATATCTAAGAACAAGCTGTGATTCAATGAGCCCTCTCAGTTCTCAGGCAAATCTCACTCTGCTACCCCAGGTCGCCCCCAGTTTGCAGATATCCCACCATTATCAGGAATTCGAGTTTAGATCCTATTCATGAGTAATGCCATTTCTTATTCAGTGCTTTTGTTTACGATGGCTCCGCTGCGCAACGTTGTAAATTATTTTATTTTATTTTTGCCAAAAAAAAAAAAAACATAAAGCAAGAAAATTCATCCAAATACATGAAGGTGCATTATGACCCGAACTCCTGACAAGTAGTAATAAGAACCCCCAAATACGAACTTACCATTTACAAATTATATGGTGGAGCGTAACACGGGCCTTCTGAGGCCCTTTTGCTGTTGGACTTAAACATGTAAAATCATTCTCATTCTTGCAAAATATATTGGGACGGACAAATTTGAAATAGAAGCAATGAAATGGGTACTACTAATACTGTAATTAGGTTTCGAGTACTGTAATAATAAACGATGCGCAGTAATAATGGTGAGTATCCTCCAAATTCCTCCCGTTGGATCCAAAATTGTAATTTACTTTTTTTTTTTTTTTTTGTCTCAAGCTACAAAACCCAAATTATTTTAAGTTAATATGTTAAGCGCAAAAATAGGAACATTAAAATAAACGGTGGTAGTGAGAGCCCAAATCCAAAAGTTTCAGATTTAGTAGTGATTTACCGCCCATATTATCCACTCTAACACTTTCAGTTTCAGACAAAGGAGACCCATGCCATGACTCATTTGACTTCCTCGGAGGACCCACCTCCCAAAAATTCTTATCCAATTCCTCCTCCCCGTGGGCTCTGGGCTGTCTCCCTCTGCGTGAGTCATTCCGGATTCTTCATCCTCTTCTTTCTTCCCCCTAGTTCATCATTCACTGAATCTTCAAACCTAACATCCTGTTACTTGCTATTTTCCCTTTTTGTTTTTTTCCTTTTTTTTCACTCACATTCTGTACTTCTGAAGCCAGATATTCAATATCCCTCTTCTTGTTGCGATTTCTGGGCATTTCGATTTTCCCTTTCCATTTGTATACAGAAATGTCGATTTTATCTCCCACTTTACAACAGGGTCCTCTCCAATACCCTCAAATCTCATGCTGTTCTTCTTCCTCTTGCTCTCTTATCGCCCACAAGCCTCAAGTTTCGTCTATCTCCCCTGTTTCCACCACCTTGAGTAGCAGTTGCAGCAGTTTTTTAAGCTCTAAGTTGAGGGCTCATTATGTTGCTGTTAAGTTCCTGCTTCCTCCTCCAAGGCCATTCACCATTCGGATGGCATGGGATGGTCCCCTTTCGTCCGTCAAATTAATTGTTCAGGGCAAAAATTTTGAGGTGCTAGTTTTATATATCTGCGGATTTTTCAACAATTCTTTGATTTTTGGGGTTTCATTTTAACATTTTGTTTGTTTGTTGTTTTGCTAATAGTTGTCGCCAGCAGTGAAGACTCATGTGGAGGAGAAGTTGGGGAAGGCGGTGCAGAAGCATAGCCATCTGGTGAGGGAAGTTGATGTTAGGTTGTCTGTCCGAGGTGGTGAGTTTGGCAAAGGCCCCAGAATTCGCAGATGTGAGGTATGCTTTTCATATACTTAAACCTTTTGTTACATTCAATAGTCATCTGAAATTTAGTGACCATAATTAGATGTTATCATTCTGGAAAATTGAAATATGTCACTTGGATGGTGGATAATGATGAGGGTTTGATTATGAATCTTTAGGATTCATATTCTTGTAAATTTGGCTTCAATAGTTTTTGAGTGTGTGTAGGGCAGGTCGAATAGGGATCGATTGGATCATATCAAATTGACCGGTTTATCTTTAGGACTTGTCCATGAGTTTTCACTGTCCACTACTTTTGCCTGTGTCTTGGATAATCTTCTTTGCTAAAGTTTGTTTGCTTATCAATCGCTTATAGGTGACTTTGTTTACCAAGAAGCATGGTGTGGTTCGAGCAGAGGAGGATGCAGAAAGTATGTATGCAAGCATAGATTTAGTGGCATCGATTATCCAGAGAAAGTTGAGGAAGATTAAGGAAAAGGATTCAGATCATGGTCGTCATATGAAGGGCTTTGATAGACTCACCTACCGAGAAGCCGGTGGCCCCCTAGGTGTTGATCCCTTGGAGACAGTTTCAGATGGAGAGGAAGAGACTGTTCCCGGAGGAAATGAAGATGAAGTAGACATTGCCAATGAGGTCAGTTGTCCATTCTTTTTATTTTCATCTGACAAATGATTTGCTTTACCTTCAGACTAATAGCATGAAGGTTTAATTATGATATAACCTAACACGCTTTTGGATCGCCATTGTTGTCAATAAGAAAGATTTTATCATCAATTCGTGATATTTTCTATGAGAATTGAGAAGCATATTCTGATCTCCTTATAAAGCAATAGCGATAGTCCATACCAATGTAACTGAGGTAGATGTTCTTTAGCTCACTCGAATCAAACCCTATATGCTTGTCATAGTGTTACATTTACTGATGACAATCTATTAGCAGTCAAGTGACTGTCCAGGTGTTGCCTTTTGCTGAGAGATCTCTTTCACAATATTTCACTACTAACCAATGGTTCTGTTGAATTTACGAGCATTGGTTACATGCACATCTTCCATGAAAATCTTACCCCTCTTAACTGGCTTTACAGATTGTTCGCACAAAATACTTTGACATGCCACCTTTGACCCTGAGCGAAGCAATCGAGCAGCTGGAAAATTTAGATCATGATTTCTATGGTTTTCGGAATGAGGAAACAGGTAAAGAATGTGTTGCCTCTTTTTTTAAAAAAAATTTTCTTCTCCGATTGAATATGAACTAATTCTTTTATGGCTTATTGTAGGTGATATCAACATTGTTTACAAACGAAAAGCTGGAGGATATGGAGTTATCATTCCCAAGGGCAATGGTAAAGCAGAAAAATTGGAGCCAGTGACAATTGAGCAGAGCCACGTGAGCTAACCTTGAACGGCAGAATCAGATGCAAATTGGAGCCAGTGACAATTGAGCAGAGCCACGTGAGCTAACCTTGAATGGCAGAATCAGATGCATTTGGTATTAATTTTGTTCCAGACGGTTAATTACATGTATAATTCAAGGGGATCATGATCTTGTATAGAGAGTTTAAGATACTTTAACAAAGGCTCTTGTATTGTGAGATTCAGCATGGCTCTTTTGGCTGTCCTTGGCTGGAAACAAGATAAAGAAAATTATAAAGAAATGGATGCTAAATGTTCGAAAACATCAGTTTTCCATACAATCTGCTAAGCATTTTGGTTTAAGCTTTCATGGGAAAATGTGAAAAGATAATTTCGAAATGAGAATACAATGAAAAATTGTGAGCAGTGATTTTGTGATTCCTCTCCAAGTGTAATATTTGCAGAAATGGTTTCAAATGCATATCCTATGAGAATTGAAGAAATGGAAAGTTCGACAAACTATCTGCAGCGCTGAAGATGCAGTTAACTTCTATACTGAACTCAAAGCCAAGAATCACAAAATATTTACATAGCCTAGATTAAAATGATACAAGTTGAATACTACTCATGGAGGTGAACAGATATGTAGTCATTCAAATCAAAGCAGTAACATAGTGCATTTGCCTACCGGAAGGTAACCATCCTCATCATTGAAGGGAATTTCATTATACTTCAGTCCCTCAAACATTTGTTTTCATTGGAGAAACTTGCGGCTGAAACACTCAATAACTTGTTAAGAGACATCCCTTCACCCAAAATATTCTTCTTCATTTCATATCTAGGTTTAATCCTACCATCTAGTTTATAACCAAGGAATGCAGGGAAAGCCAATAATTCCTCCACTTCACGGCCCATCTCCTCAATCAAGTAGTTCAGTTTCTCTTCAAGCGATTCATAATTATACTGCAATATCTGAGGATGTTTCTTGCTCATCTCCAAGATATCATTACAAGTTAATCCGTAATCCAAGAAAACCCCTACTACCTGTTGCAAGTTCTTGCAGCTGGTTCGGGTGACAGCGCCCATTGCCGTGGCTATCTCCTTAGTTCGGTACTTGTACCCGATCTTGACCAGGAAAACCAGCTTGCACGCAATGTTCTCTTCAAACGATAGGGCGACAAAAAGAGGCGCTTTTGTCAAAAACCGATATATTTCCTGGGAACTCAAGCCACATTGCTTCAAGAATTCAATTCTGGGATGGAGCTTCCTTGTCCTGCTCGCACTGAACAAATTCGGGTAAACCAGGACGATTCTGAATATTTCACTCTCAGTTAATCCGGCAAATGATTTCAGGAACTCAACGTGGTCGCTCAGGTGATCGACACTATACGCCACGAGAAATGGTAGCTTAAGCAAAACTGTAGCAGTGGCAACCTCATCACCCCCGCTCAAATCCAACAGGAAATTAATCCTTGGCATCAGCTGGCTGTCCAAATTGCAGTTCAGGATCGCGGGCCGTTTCAGGATCAAATCCACCCCTCCAAAACGGCCAAGGAAAGCAAACATCCGATCAATCTCTTGGCTCGACTTGACGCATATGGCCTTGATCAAGTTGATTTTGTTAAGAACATGAACAAGCTTCTCATGAGGAATCCCATTTTGGATTAGCAACCTTACTTTAACATCAAATCCCGGAAACAACAACCTGGGTTCAGTTGCATTGATCAGGAGATGCTCAATCTGGGCAGGCTCTATTTTCCCTTTCAAATCCAAATCATCATCTTCATCACTGCTCTTAAGTAGAAACGACAGTAGAAAATCCATTTCTGGAGCCGTTAAAACTTGAGACCGTTTAAGAATGACTCGATGGAGAGCGATACCGGTGACTCCCAGAGCCTGTATACAACTTAACCTGTCATGAATAATTTCGTAAGGCGTGACCCGGAGAGCATGGTTAACGTTCAACAGCGTTTCGACATCTCCAACGTCGAACCCCAGTTGCCGAAAGAGCGAAAACAGCGTCACAGCTGAAGTTGAACACGAAACAATAAGAAGAAACAACACTCACAAAAAGCACACAACCTGTTCGATGAAATGCCGAAAAGAAATATTGAATTGATAAAGTGAAATAGCTCACCTGGATCTCTGAAAATGTCCTTAATAGTGTTAGAGGTTTCCCCACTGTCGTGGAAACCGTCCATTTGTCCGGTGCATTTAAGGAGTAAAGAGTCCCTGCTGCTACTCTTGCTGGAAAGGGTATATCTTCGGGAAGGGAAGCAGCAACCCTTTAGACCTAATTGTAATGGAAGTAGTGAAACAGCAGCTGCTAGGTTCGGTGCATGACAACGGCAAAGGTAAGGAGAAGGAAAGACGGGGTGAGTGGGTATGGTGGTCAGGAGGTCGGTCATAGCTGGAAGCCTGGAATCTCGAGTCGTCACTGTGTGTGTGCGTGTTTAGATGTCGAAGCTTACAAAGATAGCTGCTTCTGCTTTAATTGAGAAGAAGAGAAGATTAGGAGAAAGCAGAAATTCCGACATTCCGGAGGAAAACTCTCATTTTGGTCTGCAACACACTTTTTTTGGTACAACACTTTCTTCTTCTAATCTTCCTTCGGTAAACAAAATCAGAGACAAAGATTTGCTAATTGTGAATGTTTTGGCGGGAGACCTGAATCTTCGTATAATATTAGCTATTGAATGATTATTTATTTGCAGATAGTGAGAAAAGAATCCATTTAAATAAATTTGGTAATATATAGATATATATGTTTAACATTTAAGCTCAAGTCGGTGAGGAAATAATGTCAATTGTATATCACTACATCATTAGTTTGATAAAACAGAACAATTAGAATCACACTTTGTACAACACAAAAGCTCCAAAACGCGACAATAGCGTTTGAAGTTAACACCAAATCCACCAGCCTAAGAAAGCAAATGCAGAATTGAACATATTATTGGTACTAAGTACATTACAACGTTACAACTTACAGGCAACATTAGGCATCTTGAATTGAATGAAACAAAAATCTCCTCAGAATGCCGAGGAGGCCAACAAAATGTTTTCACAATTCTCACAAATCTGGCATTTCTTCCCCTTCCATCAGGAAGCAAAGATCAATACAGATTTCCTGCAAATGTTTATGTGCTCCAATTTTGAACAAGGAAATGACCTCATCATCATCTCCCTCAAAATGAAAATTGATGGTAGTTGGCAGAAGACCCTTTTTCTTCATTTTTCTGGGATTGAAACAGGTGATCATGAATATAAGAATAAGAGTTTTTAACATTAAAACATGTAAATTAGACCTCAAGTTGTGTTCGAGTTAACTTTAAACAACTTTTTGGACTGCTTGTACTGTGTTTCTTACTTGTGGGTATGCTTTTTATGAGAACAACAGATGAGCTTCCTTTCCCTGAGTCCCTGAGCAGCAGGATGTTAAATCAAATGAGTGGCTACTCCAAAATGTGAATGAATATGTACGATAATAAGAAGTGGATATTGAATTCTCTTACGGTAACACTTGCTTCTTTTTCATAGGCTTGCAAAAGTTATCAGATGTCATTGCGTACGTTTTCTGCAATTTATTGCTCTGGTGATGTCCCTGTAAAAGGGAAAAAAAAAAAAACAAGAATTACCCCAATGTGATCTTGAGCAAATGATCAAAATTCCCTCCAAGTTTACCTCTATAAATGGCAACTATCAAGGGAAAACGAACATTATTTACAATGATGCAATGGCTCATATCTTCGTTAAAGGAATTAATAAATGAAACATGCCAGGCTGCTCAAGCAAATGCATTAAGGTAGCCGCTGAATTTATCAAGGAATGTGCAGCCGGGCAAAATTCACGATCCAGAGCACAGGGATGTTACATTTGTCATCCAAAACACAATGGTACAATCCACGTAGACACAAAGGGGAATAACAAATGAAAATCCAGAGAGCGTGGGTTTCTCAAATGGTGTACTTGAGAAATAATTAGTTCAACGAAAAAATTTCCATAATGCCTTTGTACTACATTGTGACCACAAGAACTAAAAAGGACATTGAAGAGAAAAAGAACAAGCAGGGCATTACTACACTTTTCATATCTAAATTAAGTTGTATAATACTAAACAAGACACAGAAAATAAGATAAGAACCTTATAAAGCCTTTTAGATGGCATTGCCCTGTTCATATCAACAAGAGGAGGTCTATAGAGCCAACCCATTTTCAGAAAGCCTTAGATGGCATTGCTGTGTTCATAAAATCTGTGTAAACTTTAACAACAAAGAACACTATCTCCATAACCAGAGATCAAAAAGCATAAAGAATTTAAGACATATCAAGCAATGTGCTTACTTCCTGTGATGCTGCTACCCCACACTGCACATCCACAACCTTAGCTTTCTTGACACTCCCACCACCAGAAGAAGCATTCTCATCATCATCACCAACAGCATGGTTATCATTCATTTTTCGCTTCTTCTTTTTTGTAAGATTAGCCGTCTTACTACCCTTCTTATCACGCACTTTCCAAACATTCTTCTTCCTGAACAGCATTTTCTCAAATTTCCAACTGGCAACGCTAGTGTCGATGACAGTCACCTCAGTCCTCGAAAACCCAGAAAGATTAAAACTTTTACCCTTGCCTTTGGCCTCCTCATCCTCGTAATCTTCTTCCCCGGAGTTGAGATTTTCCACAAACTTGACTAAGCCCTCATTGCTCACCGGCGAAGCGGAGGCACTGTGAATCTTCGCGGCCGGATGGTCAGTACTCAAAGCAGCAGCATCATTATTGTTAATGCAGCTGAAAGCGGGAGAATTTAGGGAACCACAAAACCTAGGGTTTGGTTGCTTGCGGGAGCATTTCAATTTAGGGACGGCGTCGCTCCCTTCCATAACGAAGAGCTCCGCAAGTACATTGCTTACAATGTTGCACATAGCGTGCTGATTTTGACTTGGAATTGGCATTCCGGCGGCGGGGTTACGCCGTGAGGAGCTAGGTTCCGGTTGGGAAGGAACGGCAGCGTTCGAGGAAACAGAGAAGAGGTCATCTTGGGCGTCTTTGTGCTTGTGATGTTTGGTGAGGAATTGGTCGAGATTGAGATCGGTGTCGGGCGGGAAACCTTTAGAAGATCGGAGCCGGGATAACCAGCCGGAAGTAGATTTGCCGCTTGAACCGGGGACTGAGCAGAGCATATTTTTTTTTGTATTTACCCGATCGCGACTATTGCCGATAAAAGTAAATTTCAAATTCAGTCCTTTCTTATTACATATTTGCACAGTGTTACTTTTTAAAATTTTCCTCTGCACTTAGCGGATTAAACGCTTACAAATGTGACCGACAAATTTGTGACATGATGACAATCCGATCAATTGAGACTGAGAACAGAAGGACATGTTCATTTCTTTTCAATTTTTTTTTTTATTGCATTTACATCATTTTGTGTAATAATAATCGTATGGACATTGGAAATAAAAGTATCCGAATATGATGACACATATCTCGTGGGGGGGTGGATGCTAACGGTTTTCAATGTTTTGTTGTATAGATATGAACGATTTTGTTTAAGGGATGATCCTAGCACCACAAAGTGCCTTGGTCAACACTTAGCAGTTCGACTGAAGGATGGCATTATTACAGCCATAAACTTGTATAAGGTCGAGGGCTAACAAACAGGATGCCCGACTCTGCTTGTAAATCTTTAAACTTTTGCTAAATCGTTTACAAAACAGATAACTTGATCACGACGTGCTTTATTTCTGCAGGTGCTCATTAATCAAGAGAGAAAGAGGTGAGATTTTTTCACCGTATAAATATGACACATTATTTGCAATTTTTTTATTAATCACTACCAAAACATCCTTTTTTTAGTAGAATCTATATCGTATATTCTAATGCGTGGGGATTATCTTACTGGTATATTAAACAATATTTTTAAAACAAGAGTTTTTTTATTTTTTATTTATTTTTAGTTTGAAATGAATATTTGATTTGAATTAAATATCCCCTCCATTCTAATTCAGTAGATTCATCTAAGTATTCACGTAGAAAATTGGGTAACATGGTTTAGATAATTTACTCAACGTACTTCTGTTAACTAATGGTTGCTGGTTAAAATTTACTGTCTGAAGTATAACTAAAATATTCTAGAAAGAAAAGTTCATCTTTGAAATTAAATGGAAGGAATATTTATCATGTAAAAGTAAAAGAAAAAAAAAAGATAATTATTGCTTCTGTTTTTTATTTGTCAGTTTAGGGCATACACGACTGTTAAGGAAGCAATGATTGAGAATTCAATTTTTAATTATAATACATTTCTTGTTCTTTATTAAAAGTATTGAACTCTACAAAGATTTGAAATTGAAATGAAAAATATGAAATTATTGAAGGTTATTAAAATTAGATAAATATAAGGATAAAATTGAAAAAAAATATATTCAATGCTGTATTAGAAATAAAGAGCGATAAATAAACAAAAAAAAAATAGATTCACCATGATACGACGTGATTTAAAAAAAACGGAGGTAGTCTTTTGAAACAGGAGGAGTTAAAAATTAGAAATCTATAGTACTTAATTAAAGCAGCAAACAAAAAGACATGTGTCAGCACTACAATGAAAATTTTCCCACCAAAAACCATTTTCAGTACAAAATCTTTTTTCGACACGTGGCACTCTAACTAATCAGGAAAAAAAAAGACAGAATAGATAAATACATAAATCCCTTAATTATAGCTACATAAAAATATCTTAATTATAGGTATATACTAATCCTTAAAACAACAATATTTAGTTGATAAAATTAAATGTATGGAAATCCCCTTAATGTCTTCCTAATCCTCAATTTTAAAGAATCTCTTCCATTCCGCTCCTATTTCATACTCGGGCCTTTAAATCAATTACTTAAAATCTGACATCAATTATCAATCTATCTATTTGTACAACAGAGAAAAAATAAGTTGTCATGAAAGAAATTTGATTTTTTAAGGATGCTTTTTTTTTATTCTTCTGTTGTAAATATTAGTTTATAATTTATGTAAACCCGGGCATAAGTTAATTGTTATAAATTAAATGTTGTAAATCTGGGCATAGATTTATGTGTAATAACTCACTTTTTGTCCTTTCAATCAATTTTTTATTTTTTTAATTTTTTTTTATTCTTTTAAGAATTATTCGTATTTTTTATTTAATCAATTTAAAAGTACAGGCGACACCCCGGACATTCGCACTGGGCAAGCATCTAGTTGTGATGGTAACAATTGGAGTTGGTTTAGTTGGAAGTTTGAACGTTGGAGTCATCAGCAAAAGAGGTTAAACTTAGTTACGACAACTACTAGAACAGAATGGAAAAAGCGTAGAATAGTCAAACAAATCCTTTGAGGCTTTTCTGATGCTTCTTATCCATTCCAATCCACCGAGGCATCAAACGTGGAAAAACGAGTGAAGCAGAGTACAACACTTTTGACCCTTTTTACTTTTATTATTTAGAGGTGAGAAAATAATTTACTGTACATACTTAAAAGATAAATAGTAAAACCGTAGATATGTCTGCCACAAAAATAATCGCTGAAGAAAACGATAACACGGAGGAAGACATAAACCTCGCGAGAGAATTTCACAGGACAAAAATAATAATAATAATAATAAAGCAGAAAAAGGACTTTCTGGAGCTTTAAAACCAACGGAACCAGCTGGATTGATATAATTTTTTCTGGTTACACATTCGCCACTTTTGCCTTCTAAATTAATTGAGGCAAATTTGGTTTTAGATGAGGACGGAAACTCCATCCAATGACATGACCCCTGTTGATTCTCTTCCAGTTTCATTGCCTTTGCAGCCATTCATGTTGCTTTCCTTTTCTGTCACATAAATCTTTTTTTTTTCTTTCCTTTTTCCCGGTTTATCATTCTCCTCTCTGTATATATCCTTCAATCTTAGGTTGCCGTCTCCTCTTTTCTTCTCTCTCGTTTATGCTTCTCTTTTCTGTTTTTTAGTTTTTTTTTTTTTCTTTCCCTTTCTCTCTTAATATCAATAGTAGAGATTTCTTATTTCTAGATAAAGTAGTAGTCTTCGACATCGAGAGAGATTTCTAAATATTATAGGTGGTTAATAAGTACATAGGAAACAGATATATTATCTGTTATATCATGGCTGCTTATTTAGAGGATGCATTTATGGAGATTCTGAGCAGACCCACAATCTGGGGAATGATCCTGGGGATGATAATGCTATTGGGTCCTGTTTGGATAGGTTTTCTTGTAGGCATACTGGCTGGATGGGCATGGAAGCCCAGATGGGCTACCTTGAGGAACTGCAATAAATTCGACTTCTCAGCTCCTTCTTCCCCTTGTTCTTCTCCTTCTTCTTCTGCAATGATGAAAGCTACTGGTTTTGGTCCCACCCCCACCTCCGATACTGCTTCTTCTTCTTCTTCTCCCAACCTGGACGATGATAATTTGGTGGAAAACCAACAGATTATTACTCAAACTCTGTCTCATATTCCTAAGTCCAGGTTAGCCTTTCTTTCTGGATATCCTGCAAAAAGTTTGTAGATCTTTATTCTCTTTTTGTTGGTTTGAACTGAACTCCTAAATTGATACAACTTGCATTTAAAACTGAATTTCAGCTTCGACCCAAAAAAAAAAAATGAATAAAGAAAGAGCTGAATTTCTGCTAATTGGGTGTTGATGGAAACGAATTCCATTTATGTTGAGAGTATTATGTTTGGATTGTTTCGGCTCCTAAGCATAAATGTTGCATCGGTAAAATATAAAAACTCTGTTCAGAGAACGTCTCCTGTTGTACAGACTGTTTCATTTTCTGTTGGTTGAAGTTTAATGGTAGTTTCTGACCTAGGTTATTTTGTATGTTCTCCTTTCAAGTTTGAAAAAAAAAAAAATCACTATGTGTAGTCAAAGATTGGGAATATGAATCAGCTGTGCGCCTGTGCCTTTTCAAGAAGCTGGCTGCCTGACTCAGAATGTAAAAAAGTTGTTTCGCCCTGTTACAACCTCTAAGTTCTTAACTAAAATTAAATTTATAGTTTTCTGATGTTAATGGTAACCTCTGAATGGGAGAAATATAGTTATGTCTTGCCATTTTTGTGTGGTCTTATGAAGTTACAACATGAAAAAAAATTTTATGCGATCACTGATGAATAAATGAAACACTTGCGTTGTCCATCAAAGTTGAGCCAAAATAGCTGTTTTGAGAATTTACAAGATTTACGTTACAGGCTCTAGTTTATAGTTGTTCTTACATTTTCTTTTTTCTGATTCTGTATTGCCCTTTTTCTGTTTAGTTCTTCCCAAGTGAAGGAAGAATCATTAGCAGTTACGGATGAAGATATGAAACATTTGTGCCGGTTAGTCGAGAGGAAAGATTGTGGTCCTCCATGGAAGCATATGATGGAACGTTCTACCTCAGATATGAGCTATCAAGCATGGCAAAGAGATCCTGAGGTACTGTTGCTATGGTTGTAGCTTTAGATTTTGTCAAAGCCCTTCATTCTTCCTTAGTGTTTCAACTCTAGACTGATTGATGAGGTAATTTTTTTTAGACTGGTCCTCCGCAATACTGCAGCCGAACAGTTTATGAAGATGCCACCCCGGAACTGTTAAGGGACTTTTTCTGGGATGATGAATTTCGAGTTAAGTGGGATGATATGCTTGTGCATGCCAAAACTCTGGAAGAATGCCCAACCACGGGAACAATGATCGTGCACTGGATACGTAAGGTGAAGGAAGCTCTCCTCTATGTTTTTTCAGGCGAATGTTTTTGTCTCTGGTTCTAACTCTGTACCGGGATTTTTTTCTTCTTTCGAGCAGTTTCCGTTCTTCTGTAGTGATCGTGAGTACATAATTGGACGACGAATATGGGAATCAGGAAGATCCTATTACTGCGTGACAAAGGTCGGTTACATACTGTTTTTTGTTTCTTGCCTTAGCTTGGGTATGAACGTTTTCTGCTTCGGGAAGCTTAGAACTGGTGGAAGGAATAGTTAGGTTTAGCAGTTGCAATTCCATGAAGTATGTTCTGACTTTTGTCATAAGCATCTCTTAACATGCTTGTTCCTTCGCTTGAAGTGTATGCTTCCCATGTTTGTGGATATCACTGACTCCTTATCTTCTTCAGGGAATACCATGTGATTCCATTCCAAGGCGGGACAAACCAAGACGTGTTGACCTCTATTATTCAAGTTGGTATATCCAAGCAGGTAATTGAGCTAGGTTCTCCTTATTTGCCTTTCATAGAAGTTTATCTTGCAATCCCATAGGAGAACACAGATTAACATCAAACCCTTTACTTCTTGTTTGTAATGGACTAATTTTCACACCCAGCATTTCATTATCGATCTTCAACAACCCAAGTGAGGAATCATGGTAAATATCATAACCAAAATAAAGACAACAATCATTGGCTTTTCAAATTGCAATCGCTCCCCCTCCCCCCCACCCACCCCTGTTGATGCTGCATTATGTTCTATACTTCCATACCATTTCACTTAGTATATCATCACATGGTTGTTAATAGCCTTTGACGAGCTGTGTAATTCACGATGCAGTTGAGTCTCGGAAAGTGAAAGGGCAACTTAGCGCGTGCGAGGTAATCCTCTTCCATCACGAAGATATGGGCATCCCATGGGAGATTGCTAAGTTTGGAGTCCGGCAAGGTATGTGGGGAACCGTCAGGAAGATTGAGCGTGGGTTCCGCTTGTACCAGAAAACAAGGTTGTCTGGGGAACCAATCTCGAATTCAGCATTCATGGCTCAGATCAACACGAAGATTGACCCGGATTACCTCAAGTCCCTGGATCAGGAAGAAGAGGCACCCGAAGCCGGATTAGCGGTTGAAGAATCAACTAATGATAAACCAAGGGGTGGACTGAACATACCAAAACTGGTAATAATAGGTGGGGTGGTTGCACTTGCTTGTAGCCTTGATCGTGGGATGTTTACTAAGGCAATCATCTTTAGTGTTGCGAAGAAGTTTTCAAACGTGGGAAGAAATGCTTCACGGAGGACGATGTAGACAATTTTGAATCGAATATATTGTACAAATAAGCAGCTCACCGAAGAAATTAGTGTACTATATTTTGTTAAAAAATTTCGTTTATACGTATACCTATCTTTCCTTTATGTTAACTTCCTGTCTCTTCAGATCGTTACTCATTATCAAAATTTGGTATGCGTTTTTGGGTTCAAGAAGTCACAAGAAGACAACTACATTCTTAATTTCGAGTGGCCTGCCGAGGTCGTCGCTAAACTATTTTAACTACTGTTTGTAGTGACCTTTTTTAAATTAAAATTTGATAGTAATCAAAGCTAAGACTTCTTCGTAATTCAGTGACGATTCTGGACTCTGGAGCTCTTTAGTTTAATTTTTTTCTTTTCAGCACCTCTCATGAGTCGTGAGTCGTGTATATGTACAACAGATTATTTGGCGGCGTTAGCGGTTCAGGAAACCGGCGGCGTTAGCGGTTCAGGAAACCGGTGAATTGACACTTTTACAAGCGTCTCTGATTAGAACTTTATAAGCGTCTTTGATAAAAACTCAATTATGACTAGATCATGATATTAAGGGAGTTTCGTACCCTAGATTTGTGTTAAGCGAGCACCTCAAGCATTGTCGCCCACGTAAAATATAGACAATGCAACTGATTTTCTCAAACAACGCTGGAAAGATTAAAGAAACCATACATATTATGCCTGTCCCATGGTTAATAAATACAAAGTATAAAGTAGTTTTGTTTAAATTTGTGCTTTATACATTAACTGGAAGATTAAGCCGAGGAAAGAAATTTGAACATATGCCGTTGGGTGGGGAAGATTGACATCCTAAGGCAGGCATAATTTTGTTTAAACAATGGCCACCCCAACATGTCGTATCCCCGTATTTTGCTCCATGACTCATGATGGTTGATGTTTAACCCGCTAGAAATTTTGGAAAGGAAAAAAAAAATTACTTACACATTATGAGCTTTTAAGTTGTGGTAGTAATCACAATTAAGACAACTAATTCATTATTTGGTGATACTAATAATTACCAAAAAATTTGTTTGGACGGCTATCTATAACCGACAAGTTGATATGTATTCGGTGTAATCCGTAAATAATTGGAGGTGGCGGCGGTGGTGGGGTGGCATCATCCACCATTGACCTTGTTGACCTTGAATTTGGTCAACAGTGATGGAGTTTGAAAATTAGAGGAATCAAAGTCATCAACAATCAAGCAATTTAACTGAAGCAATCACGAAGAACAAATTGTGTAGAGATGAATAGGAAAAAGAATCTATTAGTAAATATCAATATGGCATCTCTTTACAAACAAATTTGGGTGTTGGGGGTTACAAGAAAAAAGAAATCGATTCCACAACACAAACTTGGTTGGAAATCATAATTCTTCAATCCTGATAAGGGTACTTTAGATATAAAAAGGATCAATAAGGAATGATGGTTTCGAAACAGTGGACCCCGTCTAATTCAACTGCAAACCTCGGCCTCCTTTTGACCATCTCTTTCTGCTGCTGCTGCGGCTGTTGTTGAGGCTTCTTGGGATTTGATGTGGAAGTTGCCTTCCCAACATCATCAATACTGCTGCTATTACTTGACGATGAAGACGGCCCCCCTTGTGCTTTGTTAACCGCCGAAGAAGGAGAAGAAGAAGTGGGCGTGGCCCAGGAAAGGCTAACCTTTTGTCCGAATTTCTCAGCAAGGATGGCGTCAAAAGAACTGAATAAAGACATGGCCATTATGGTGGAGTTTTTAATTGTTGAATTGAAGAAACCAAATCTGAGAACTCTGGGAGTTTTTGGAGATTGAAGAAGGAGGGATTTGCGTGTGGGATTGAATGCTTGCGAAGGATTTCGTTGATTGTATGTGAAGGAAGGGGGAAGAGGGAGTTATTTATACCCCAGAGGGGGAAAACGTGGGAAGACTGGGAAAGAGAGGGAGAAAATTCTGGAAGTTGCCTGGATGTGGAAGTTAGGAATCAGTTTCCTTTCTTTCTCTTTTCCTAACCTGTTTTGGGAATTGGGTAAGCGGTGAAAGTTTCCTTCCCCGTTGTTTGATTGAGGCAAATTGCCGCGTGCCACGCACGCACACGCAAGCCCGCCGACTCCCGAAACTGCTTTGCAACGTGTCTGGCTTGCTTTTCCTTTTTTCCAACTCTTTTTAAAATGCGTTAAATTGAAAACACACCAGTTGCAGCAGTGGTGTGTAACAAGATAGAGAAGAAAGCCATAAATAAATCGTGGTTAATAAAGAAACGCCGAAACCAACCTACTCATACAACGTGTCACCAGTTTCCTTCCTCCTTGCCTTTTTATAAACTGTCTCTGGAAAACTGAGGAGAGCGGCTCATGCATATCACAGCTGAAGGCTGAAACGACCAATGTTGGGGTGTATTTTCTTTACTTTTTTTCTTACTTTTGAACCAGGGTCAGGCGAGGTGAATTCTAGTCAAACGTGATAGGAAAAATAGTCAAATAGAAACTAGTGCCGCGTTCACCCCCGGTGGAACCGGTCTCCAACCAATCCATCAATGCAGCCAGCCACTAAGGACCAGCGCTGACCCAGTTGGTTTGTAGTCACCGTGTGAGCAACCAACAGGATCGACTCTTCTTGTAGATGTAGTGAGAATAGCAGTAAATCCAATTCCATTTACCAGTCCAAATCGTTACTCTATTGGGCTTCAGCAAGCACCTGGCAGTTTTCAGTTACTATATTGGGCTTCAATGTATTTTTACATTATGATCTCCTGCAGTAGAAGTAGTCGATCATCTACTCCCTCTCAATACAGCTAATTCTTTTTGCTTTACATAGGTACTTCAAGCTATAAAAAGCGTACATTGGAATTGATCACTGATCATGAATAATCATCCCGTGAATCTTTATTCTTGTCGAATTGTCCGACTAAATCATTTTTAGTATGCCCTGAAACGTGAATAGGATTGATTTTCACTAGTTTGTCTAAATGGGATTGCATTTAAGCAGTTAATAAGATTGATTTTCACCAGTTTGCCTACATAGGAGAGAATCTCCGAGTCAAAGAAGAGCAGAGCTCAAAAGCCAAGTAGCAACAAATGCTACTGAGCAAGAAGAAAAAGGCGGATTGAGAATGAGATTCTATAGAAGGGATATAGAGGAAAAAGACCAAGGCCTCAGGCTCTTTAGACTACCAAGTGAGCATTCCTAACCCCCTCGTTCATAAAAAGGCTTCAACGGCTTCAACGGCTACTAAGCCGTGGATCCGAAATGCAACAGAGAATTTGAATACAACCCCAAACACGATTTTCATGATATCAAAACACTCTAATCCTTTCAGAGAGACAAAAAGAAACAATGAACTACCCAACACACTTCCAACGTAACAGAGCAATCATCATACACAGTGTTTAGTTAATAAACATTCCTATCTACGCAACAGTTGAGGGTTCAAACTATTATGCTGAGTAGCAGCAATGTTAATCACTTGTTGAAAACAAAAGCAGAGTTTTAACTGCATCAATTGAACTTTGTTAATCAATAGCAGTAAAGAATTTTTTTAAACATACCACCATTCACAAATAATTATATTCTTAGATCTAAACTACTAGTATAATTTTCATAAAGAAGTAATGGACTCAAACCACACCACAAAAAGTAAATCGTCACAGTTCACCTACAGACTAACAATAAAACCATCCATCCCCATCACTGTGGATAAAAAGTACACATTAACAAACTACGTTTCAACAAAGCACAAGTATAAGAATAAAACAATGGATAATGCATCTAAATCAGATGGATGGTTTGCTATGTGTACTCAATATGAACTCTCTCGACACCAAAAACGATTCCTCCAGAACATTACAAAAGATAAAGCAAAACCAGATGATAACATAGCAATCACCTTGAATGAACCAAATTTCACAAACCACCAATTCCATAACTAAGAAAGAAGAAGAGACTAGATGCCATACACAACAACTGGGGTTTGCAGCATTAGTGAATCTACAAATAGGTAAATAGCTTAGTTTTTATCGCTATCAGACATTAGCAGCAAACTGTAATCACATAAACTAGATGATCAGAAATTCAAAAAACCAAAAGCAAGAAGCCACTAGATGCCATATCACAAACGCAGCAGTGTGCAGCTCTACGAGAGATTTTAGCAATTAATTGTGACCTATATTGACCACAATCCGCAAAATCTGCCATCACGCATCACTAGTTAACTATGGAACATGTAGATACCATTACTTCAAGAAACAGAAATATTTGCACACTTCATATGATAGCTATCCAAAATTCTTGCGTCATTCAATATAATTCAAAAGAAAGCATTCCTTAACATCCAAAACAAAAATCTCTAAGAGAAACCTTCCTAATTCTTTTATCTAATGGGATAAAACAGATGAACAGCCCTGATAGGAAGCTCCACACCTAATCAAACAAGCTGAATCCCATGTCATCATCACTCTCTTCCTTGGGTTCCTCCTGAAAGACAAATAATGAAAAACCAGATTGTAAGAATTTGAAATTAGGTTTACCAAAGTAAAAAACGAGAAAACAAAAATTCGAATATGAAGAGTTTTTGTCACAGACAAAATAAAAATAGATGTAATACCTTCTTCTCCTCGGCAGCTGGAGCAGCAGCGGCTGCAGCGCCAGCACCAGCGCCAGGAGCGGCAACAGCTACGGGAGCGCCGCCACCACCGGAGCCAACATTCAAGATGAGATCTTCAACGTTCCTCTTCTCACAGAGCTTCGCAAAGAGGCCGGGCCAGTATGATTCCACAGAAGTCAAACCGGCAGCCTTCAACAAGGTGGCAATCTTCTCGGACTATTAAACAAAATGAATTGTATTTACACACTATTGACAATAATTAAACAAAAGAGAAATTCATCCATCGTAAAATATCATACAAGAAATAAATGACTGATTACGTACAGTAATCGGAATGCCATCGTCATGAAGGATCAAAGCAGCGTAGGTGCATCCAAGTTCTCCGACCGACATTTTTCCTCTTTTTCGAAAATCGAAAACTACAGCAAACGATCAAGAAAAAAATATACTAAGACATATGAATCGTAACAGAAGATGATCAATAATCGATGTAATATCAAGAGGCTGGATCGAAAACGATGCTCTTACCTGCAGATATTTAGGGTTTCTGCCGAAGCGAGATTCTCTGCTGCAGCTGCTAAAATGAAGAGCGTTGCGACGGGGGAACAAATTTATAGGGTTTTAGGTTAGGGCAACCGGTTCTTCAGTGGGCTTTTTTTATGTTAGATGGGCTTCTTCTTGAAGAATGGGCCATTTTATTTTTGAAGATAAAAAATGGTACTATAATTAATGGGCTCGAGCCTCTGAAGCATTTGATTTAAATGGGATTTCCTCTTCTTTTTTATTTTTCTTTTCTTCATTTTTTTTTTTAATTTATGTTGCGACAAAGGAAATACTCCCTCCGTCCCATAATTATTGTCCACTTTGCTCAAAAAATTTTGTCCCAAAATTATTGTCCAATTTGACTTTTTATGGATCAAGTTACACATTTGTCCTTAGTAAAAAACATTATTCTTAAAATCTTAGTGGTTAAACAATTACTTATGTAGGGGTATATCCGGTTGTTTAAGGTAAAATATAGTTAAGTTTGACCAAAAATAAAATCTTTCATTTTAGTAAAACTGGACAATAATTATGGAACGGAGGGAGTACAATATTATGAAACTTATAATAACTAGATGGATTTTACGCACTTTGCGCGTACGGTATATACATAATAATATTATACAAATTTTATAAAAGAAATTTGTTCATAATAGACAAATTTTGACTCACGACTACATTACAAAATCTATATTATATAAACACGGCACTTTTGATTTCAACGACATAGTATTCCAAATGTGAGTAGAAAAAAAAAGGATATATAAACTAAGTAATAAAATACAATTTAATTTATACTTCATCCAGAAAAAGGAACAACCTAAAAAGGAAAAATCGAATCAAGATAAAAACTAAATAATAGAAGGGAAAAAAAGAAGATGAAGATGAACAATGAAAAATGACTACCTTCAAGAGACTTGTAATGCAGAGATCACAAAACATAAAAAACAAAGATTCTAAGAAAGAAAAAGAAAGATACGAAAAAACTCATACACTATCTAGAATTATATATATACTGAAAAATTTAGAATACAAGGAAGAAACATACTAAGGAATTTAATAATATTAGAATTAGCAGAACTGTTTTTCGGCCTATCAAATCCACTTATTGATGAGAAATGAAAATATAATTTAATAGGAGGGAGATGAAAGGTGAAAAGTCTACAAAATATAATGCAAAAAACTATGAAATTTAAGTTAAAATCGTTACAACTACTTTTGTGATGTATCAAATTCTAACAATAATAATAAGTAGTAAATTATCATAAATTGTGTATGTTTCATTCTCTTCTAATATTTAATTTTCCACTAAACATTAAATTTCACACAAATATAATGAAAAATCAAAATAAATGTAAGAAAAAGGATTACCAAAACCAAGATTACATTCCCCAATTGTAATATATGTTGATAACTTAAAAAGTTGTTTCTTGAATTGAAAAAGGTGGAAACAACTACTCACTTCATTATTTTTTGTTGTCGAAATATATAAGTCACGAAAAAAATTTCACAAAGAGTATCGAAACATTTAAAAATAAATTTTTTTAAAAAACACTGTTGAAGATGCCAAACTGTCCGTAATGAGTCTCAATACAAGTGTAATTCCTGGTTTCGAAAAAAAAAAAAAGTATAATTCCGAGAGTGACTTTATTTCGAACACCATTACAATTTTCAATGTATTAAATGTGACAAAATATGCCTAAACTTGCAGGTTCGGGAGGACGATGTATAGAGTATAGTAATGACAAATTTCGGTCTGGATTCCACTTGAGATGAGCTAGAAGGGCCTACAGAAGCAGAGATTAATCCCAGCAATCAACTTAACCGATTTAACTGTGCATGATAAAGAAACAAAAGTAACTTTTTATAAGAATTCGTTATGTTTATATATACGCATTTATAATTATGCTTACGATTGAAAAGAAAAAACTTGAAAATTATCTCCTATCTCGTCTGGTAGTACTCATGATTTAACACTCGAGCATAACATCAGCAACAAACAGCTTGCAAATTTGCAACATGTAAAAGCAAGTAAAATTGTTGGCTGATCTTTGCACAGGGCTTGAACAGAGCTATAAAAATAAAACCAACACAGCGACTCTAAACGCACACTGCAACCCATGAGTCCTGACAAAATCTGCATTAATCCGACACTAAAAACTGATACGGTAAAACAGAGATACCGATGGATTAAATCTTAACTCCAAAGTTCACATCACTAAGCACCAAATAACTGGTGTTGCAAACATCTTTAGCCATTACAACTGACGGGGGATCCAGAATCCCAATCAATACATGAGGTGGTCCTTTTGGATGCACAACATCTCCAGTGAAGCAGCTTCTCAACATCCCCTTCAGGTGCTGATTGCAATAGAATCAAGCACTGCCAGAGCGTGCCTGAAAAGTGATAATGTCATTCCAAATGAAATTAATTCAGATAAAGCTGGAACTTTTCAATTGAATGTTTCGCATCCAGCTGGTTCAACAGACGAGCTCTACAATTGCTTACCTGCCGGGGAGATGCAGACCTTGACCTGGATTTAGCTCTGCAAAATGTAACCAAACCAAAAACCCAGCTCGTCAATGGAGATGACATAATGGAGAACAAAAGAAAGACAAGACTAGTAGAACCCAAGACACAAACCTAGATGACTTGACAGGAGAAACAGATCTAGACTTGGAACGAGATCTGGAAACAGATCGCTCGGGTGTTTTGCTGCAGATGCAAGCATTTCACATTAATATAGATAAATGAGGACAATACACAATGCTGATCTTAACCTGACTCAAATTCTTACAAACCTTCTGTTCCTTCTAGGTGATCTGCTTCTACTGCGGCTCCTACTTCGGCTTCGTGATGGACTGCCTTTGTGTTCCTTAACCTATTTAGGGTCAAAAGGGGAAGAACCATGCCATTACTTGCAAAGAGGAGGAAATAAAAACAATACCCGTATTCCCACTTTGTTAAACTAAATGCGAGGACAACAGTGGCCAAAAGAATGCTCATTGCAAAAGTTGGATACAAACAATGAATAAAACTTACCCTGATATAAGTTTTGGTCCAAGGATTTCTGAACTCACTGTCATCAAGTTTCCGGATCTGGACCAGATAAGAGGCACATTAATGGCTAACTTAAGGGAAAAAAAAGCAAGGAAAAACATTAATAGCCAAACTAACTTACAGCATATTTCATGTCTTCATAGTTAGTGTAATCAACCAAACCGTAAGTGCCTGCATACAACAAATATGAATAAAATAGCAATTTTACTGAGTACACAAGAAGCTGAAAATTGCAATTGTATATCCAGTGGTACCCTCCCCATCGCGTGAAACTTCTGCGAAACAAACATCCCCAGCTTTGCGCATATGATCCTGAAAGAATTCCAAGCAATGTCACTCCAAAGCTTATTCACTAAAAGCATGCATCAGAATATCTCTTGTTTCCCTCACCTTCAAATCTTGCCAAGAAGCGGAAGAAGGAAGCCCACGAACAATAACTGAATAAAAGAACGCACATGTAAACCCCAATTAAGAAGAATTACAAGAACATTACGATGTACAACCAAAACTATCAAACATGGAACTGGATTACAGTTGGCCATACCTCGGAATTCTGAGTGGCGGGAAATACCATAACGGTTGCCGCCGCCGCCGCCGCTGCCGCCACCACCACCACTATAGCCACTGCGCCGATCACTCGACGAAGACGGTCCTCTGCCACCATGGGCAAGCTCAACCTGAATTGAGGGCACTCAGAGTCAAATATCAGAAAACAAACAAACTCTAGTAAAAGGATACTGAAAGCTCAGGCACTCCCCACTTACCCTCAACCTGCACCCATCATAGTTGTATCCATCTCGACCCCTAATAGCATCCTCAGCATCACGAGCATTATCAAACTACAGAGAAATCATTTTCAGAGTCAGAAATCTACTGAAATGGCTAAGCTTTAATACAAGAATAAGATGCTTGAGAAGTATATATACCTCCACAAAACAATAGCAAGGAGGGCGTGGTGGAATCTTCAATTCGATGTCCAGTATACGACCATACTGCAATAATGCAAAAAGATTGCAAAAATGTCATCAAGAAGCAGAAACTAATTGTCACTAACTGTCACAATTAGAAAAGAACGAGACAAATTTGGGAGAGCCAAAACCCAAAGGAAAATAGTAGAGGTAATAGCATTAGAAGCAAGTTTCTTGGAAACATGGACCAACACAAATTTGATATAGTTCTCAATTAAAAAACAAAAGCAACCCGAACCTTGTAGAACAGATCCTCAACTTCAATTTCCTTTATGTCAGAGGGAAGGTTACCAACATAGATAGTGCGTGAGAAACGACCACTCATTTTCACTCACAGAAAACAGGAACAGCAATGAGGTATCAGTCTCTCTCTGCTGCAACACTGCGTGTAAGATGTTACAATTCATGATGGTGTTAATTATCCACAATGGCAAACTTTTGAAAGCATAAAACTACAATTTCTAATGTGTTATTATGTTGCACTCAGCTTGACGATAAAAGAACCAAATCAGAGAGGGGGAAAGAAAAAAAAAAGAAAAAAACTACAATGAAGCAAACCAAGAGAGCAATCCTTGCGGTGAGCGGTGCTCCACAAGCTCCATTGCTCATATGCTCCAAGAAGCTCCAAAGCAATAACATATTCCAAAGCTCCAAAGCAATAATACATTCCAAAGCTCCAAAGCAATAATATAATCCAAAATAAATTTTGTCTCCTCATCCCCTCAAAAAATTTTGCAGTTGTATAGCTCTCCTGAGATTCGAGCAACACCTCCAATTTTAAATAAAAACCCACAACTCCTCCCAATCCCAATCTACATCCCTATGTATGATTCCAAAGCTCATACTTGTCCAAGCGCTTGACATCTATCATAAACAAAGCATTTCCGTCATGATGTGAGGTAACAGTTCACATATTGACGCATTTACCCTTTTCATAATTCTATTTAACCTTTGAAGATTTTCACCCCCGAAAACATGTAAAAACTGTCCATTCGAGATTAACTGACTCACACCCTACAGTCAGGGGTACCTTTATATCATTCACCTTTGTTCTATTGGTTTACACCAGCATGCACAGGCTAAAAATTGATGGAGGGAAAACCAGAAACCAGTTTCATTAGATAGCAGAATCATTGCAACTATGTTGTCATAATTTGTTGTGTATAAGCCAACCATAGTTGTAAGTTTAAAACTTCATGATTGAAACCACAGGTCAAAATGGGCATCAAAAGGCTCCCAGCAGCAGGTAGTTGATAATAATACACTGCTTAAGATAATTTTTTACCCTAAACAAAAGTAGATTACTCTCTAAACTGTACAGGCCTTCTTTACCGATTCATGGATAAAACACCTGAATTAACTCATTAAGAACCGAAACATATTAAAAACCATTAAAGAGGAATTAAGTCCATTTACCAGACCAGGACATCAATAATAGAAGCACAGCAAGCAACATATTGGAAGATCTAACCACAAAATACCGAACAAAACTCTCCTTTTACTTTCAACATTCATCCACACACTCTCAAATCCTCCACCACACACTATAGTCACATTGATACACCCTTGCATATTTGATATTAGAAATAAAATTTTCATAAGAACGCACGAAATGATGGAAGTGACTGATTGTAAATGAAATCCCGACACTCCAAAGTCTAAAACCCCTAAAAAGAAGAACAAAACACCCTTCCGACCAATAGGTTCTTGGCGTATATCTTTTTGCTTTCTCCAAGTTTCAACATAAAAATTTAGCTAAGCATACCCGATTCATATTCTTGCTTAGTGCCAAACTATACATTTGTGTAAGTAATAGGCAGAGAGTTAAGTGCTAAAATTGCTTCATTATCTACAAGGGAGAACTTAAAAAACAAAATAATGATTGGGCGGGAGAGGGAGAGTGGGAGTAAAATATACTATCCAGCATTACATCCCTAATAGTTCTCGTTACCGGGCAATTAATAAACAAGAAAAGTAGCACCATACCGAAGATAGGAAGGCGGAAATTCCAATTTTCAACCTTCCGGATCTGCGGAGACGAATTCGACGGACCTAGGGTTTCTTCTTTCAGCTCCAACTCCCCTCCTGTCAAAATCTGACAGAAATGACATATAAACAGAATTAAGTCATAGAAATCAACATGCAACAGTGAGATGAGCTATACTACGGCAACAGCGAACGGAAAAGATTAATTCGCACCTCCAAAATCAGCAGGAGTTGAAACCCGGAATGCGGTCGAAGAAGACGATGGGGGAAAGAAAGAAAATAGGGAAATGCTGAATACTATTGGATCTGGAAGCGGTGGGTTCGCCTTAATGGGCCTTTTAGCGGGGCTCGTGAAATAGTTCACTGCTAACTGTTAGCAGATCACAAAGGGACGGTCTAGATTTATCCGAATCTTTATGCGGTCAAAGGCGTGAAGCACATCGGACCAATTTTTTATACTCTGCCGCGCTTCCGTCCTTTCAATATTTGAAATGATATCCGGGGAAAGTTGTCTCTCTTCTTTTTTTTTGGGGGAAAAAAAATAAAAAATAGAAGGACTTGGCTACTAATCGTCTAATTCCAGGTTTAACAAAATAGAAGGACTTCCAATTAAGTAACTCATGTTATAGTTGCTTATGCTAAATCGCATGTAAAAAATAATATAACTTAGTTTAATACATCAAGTTATTTATATCATTCAAGACTATTGTTTAGTTTGATTTAGTTAATAAAATCAAATGTAAGAAAATCCCCTTAAATCAAGTGAAACACCAGTAATGTTTTCCCAATTCTCAATTTCAAAGAATCTCTTCCATTCCGCTCCTCTTTCAAACCCGGGCCTTTAAATCAATTACTTAAAATCTGACATCAATTATCAATCCATCTCTTTCTACAATAGAGAAAAAATAAGCTGTCGTGAAAGAAATTTGATCTTTTAAGGATGATTTTTTTTAATTTTCTGTTGCAGATATTGGTTCATGATTTATGTAAACCCGGGCATAAGTTAACTGTTATAAATTAAATGTTGTAAATCTGCGAATAAATTTATGTGTAATAGCTCACTTTCTGTCTTTTTAATCGATTTTTTATTTTTCTAATTTTTTTATTCTCTTAAGAATGATTCTTATTTTTTATTTAATCAATTTACAACTACAGGCGACACCACAGGCATTCGCCCAGGGTAAGCATCTAGTTACTCAATCTAGGACTTGTTTGGCCAACATTTTATTTTAATTTTTTTATTTGGGTTTGAAATGTGATTTAAAATGTGGTTTGAAATAAAATTTGAAAAAATTATTTAGATAATATTTTAAATAAAATAACAATATTTTTAGATCACCACCGGCGCCGCCGTCGGACTGTCCACTGGATAATTTTATTTTTTGAAATTTTTTTATTTTATTTAATTGGAAAAAAATCCATGTTCACCCTGGTAGTGGACATACCTTATTTATCTTTTCTAATTTCTGTGGGTATTATGCTTCCGGCTCATGTTTCTCAATCTAAAGAATGCAACCATTTATTTTCCATGCTTTATGTGTCGGCTTGATCTTCTCTTTCCTACATAGTTGTATATTTTTTGCATTATTTTCATGTACATAGTAGTTTGTTGCATCGAGTTCTTGACTGCTAATTAATTCAGGGGAAGGTTACTGATTGGCTGTAGTATAAATACTTTGTTAATGATAGATAGTTTTAATATATTTATTGGCGTTTCCTTTTGCAAAGAGGTTCATATTATTTGAGCTCTAAAGCTACTTTGCAAGTAGTTGGAGTTACTGTATGCTGACATGTCTTAGTTTTGATCTATGTTGATTGCTTAATTAGGCAACAGGGATGAGCACAATGATCAGGGAAATGTCCCACCACAAGATTAAACTAAACACAATTGTCTACGAGAGTTCAATTATGTTTTTTTCAACTTTTTAATGTTAGAATGTTGAGATTTTATCACGATAGTTGAGCAGTGTTGTTTAGCTTTAGTACATCTTGATGTCAAAAACTAATATTTACTTTTTAATATTTTGACAACTGTAACTGTTAGCCTTGCAGGATTTGCCCAGCGGAAGAATCAATTTTCCTTACGAATAAGTTCTAATGATCAGTTGAGACAATTACGTATCCTTAATATTATTGTTTTTCGTAGGTAAATGTTATTTTTTTCCAAACTGATTTAAAATATGGGTGCTCCGGACTTTTGTCCGGGACAAGTATCTAGTATAAATTAAATCACAATACAAAGTTGATGTTATTAGTTAATTGTTTTTCTGGAATTCCAATTACTTTATTTAACCAATAATTTTGTCTACCATTCCAATTAATAAATATTGAATTGGAATGCCAGTACATAAACTTATCCACAAAAGAAGTAAAAAATAATTTGAAAATCATCAATTACTCAATATAGGAAAATTTATAGAGCCGCGTAAAAAAACTGGAAACAAGTTAATATCATCAATCAGTTTCCCTAAATGTCACCTATCCAACATGCTTGCCTTATCAATCTAGTTACTGAACCAGTCGATCTTCTTTTTAAAAACTTAGGACTTGTTTGGCTAACACGTTGTTTTACTTTTGTTTTAATTTTTTATTTGAATTTGAGATATGATTTAAAATATAGTTTGAAATAACATTTAAAAAGTTGTTTGGGCAACATTTTAAATAAAATAATAATATATTTAGACCATCACTAGACCACCTTCACCACCAGCGCCGTCGCCGGAATCCGGCCGACCGATCGGTCGCCGGTCGGTGGCCGTCCGGCGGTGGCGGTAGGTGGTCCGGTGGCGATGGAGATAGTCCGCTGGTTGTGGATGAAAATTGTATAAAAATAATGTTTGAAAAGTAAATTAAAAAGTTGTTTAAATAGTGTCGAGGTTTGTGTATAAGAGGTGTTTTAATAAAAGATAAAATGAAACAAAAAGGCAAAATGAGACTTGTCCAAACAAGCCAAACTGTTTGTAAACTTTGTTCCCCCTTAAATTTGAAACTAGTGCTCCACCATTGACATGTTTACGATTTTGACTGTGTATGGGGATAGTAAATCAAATGATGTGGTTTCTTAAACGAAAGAATATAGTAAATCATAATATCGCCATCGAAGTAGCCTGCTTGGCCAAATTGAGTAACTCCCTTGTTCAAGAAAAACAATGCATAACTTGGCACAAACAGTAATATGCATTATTTAATTGGACAGGACTATAATAAATAGTAGTACTCTCTTCCTTTTTCTTTTTCTTTTTTTTTTTTTGAAAAAAGTAATACACGTTAAGTTTTAAAATTTATAATTCTCAATTGTATAGGTGCGGTTTACTTTCGTGGGACAAAAGACTTTTATCTCATACATTTGATATTAATAACTCACAAACAATATATTCGTGCACTAAATAAGCCTCATGAGCTATCTTGCTCGTGCTAAACTGCTAATTAAACGTGGAACGATCATTATCACTCAGTTACCCACTGAGTTACCATGCAGGCATGCACATACCCTGCATTTAAATTATAACCATTAAAATTAAAGCATAGTAATTGTGTCAACATAATACCTAATATATAAATAATGAACTTTATTTAGATAGGATCATTTTTTGTAGGTGAGGTTTCCCATTTTTTAGTATTATCATATGGCCCAACATGAAAAAAGTGACGGAATAATATTAACGGATCAAAACTCACACAAGTATGAAACGTCAAAAAGGAACAAGAAAGAAAAGATAATGATCATCATCATCAGTATCACCAATTTTTTTTTTTTGATAAATAGCTAAACTTACTGGAGTTGATTTATGACTGGTAGGAAAGCAATTGCGATCCTTTCATATTGGTGCCAAATAAGGCCAATACCCAATAAAAACTAACACGTGGAGGACTGTGGAGGCAGATTGCAGGTGCAAGCAGCAGGTGTGTGTGTGTACTGCGACGTACCAAAACCTTTGCAGTTTGATCAGCAAAAACGTCGACTGCATGTGTGTGTGTGTGTTCCCCCCAGCGAGCGCCGAGCGCTTCTCAGCAGGTACGTACGACTTTTACCCCTTCGCGTGGCTTCAGCACAGGCATTATTTTCCCCCGCTGTCCCCTGTCATTCTTTTTTTCTTAATTTTTTTTTTGGTCTCTTTTCCGTTGCTCTTTTCGTATTTCCAATGCGTCTTTCCGCAGTTTGATATCATTTGTTTGTTCCTCCTCTCTTTTTTCTCTGTCTCAACATGAAAAATTATTTTTGTCACTCATAATATAATCACAAATAGTAGTGATACTTAAAAAAGTACCTACTAATTGGCTGATCACAAATTGTGTTTCTCTAGGCGAAATTAACATTTGTTGTATGCAATTATCTCTCTGCCCAATCTAATTTCTACAGAGGCTATACGTACAAAAGTATAAACAAACAAGAGAAAACGGACTTCGGGGTAGTAGTCTGTTGCCTGATGCTCTCAAACAGTAAAACTGGTACTGGTGGGCTGGTCCCGGTTAGGAAAAAAAAAAAAAAGAAAAAGTAAAAGGAAGAGAAAAAGATGAAGGCTGCAGCCTTCAGACGAATTTTGTTTTCTTGTGTCACCTACTTTGCATGTCCACGTGTCCCTTGGTACCACCATCTACCTTGTACGCCATTTTTTTGATGATGATTTTTATTTTTAGGCCTCCTCCTTTGCACGAATTATTTACTCTCTCTTTTTTTTTTTTTGCCCTTTTTAATACCCCATTTTTTAAATACTCCAGTTAGAAAATTCAATACCCTTTTGAAATAATAACACGGTGATCAACTCTTAATAAGTTTCATCAAACCACGCAGTAGACAATATCTTTAATTGGATTTACTAACTGTTAATATTGACTTTTGCATAAAATATTGTATTTTATTTTGATGATGATGATGATGATGGTTGATTCAGTCCATATGGACTGCTTCCAATTTTGCCTGTTGGACTAAATGTACAACGTTTGTTTCCAAGTTCCTAAACCAAACAATCTTTCCACACACCATTGTATTTTTCTCATCGTTATCTCATATTGATTGTTATAATTGATGAATATCTTATTAATATAACAAGCGTTATTATTATTCAAGGCGGAGAAAATATACGAGACAAATTATTATATGTTGAGATATATAATATGATCAATTCCGTAAAAATGACTAATCATTTTAGTTGAATATATTAGAAATATACATAATCTAGAGGTATCATTCACGTCCGTGTAACATGTGAAATAATAATAATGCAAAATCATCATGGATATGGGTGTATCCAGTTAAATATGCTTCTCCATCCACACACCATGTTTAATTTTGAGACTCGTCATCTGATGAGTTCACATGCTGATATTTATATTCACATTTTTTTTGAAGGTACGTATTATCTTCATCCAATTATGACGAACACATATACAAAACGTTACAAAAGTTGTATGTTTTTTATGCAATTATTAATTTATTACTAACGAAATCGTTAAGTAATTACCTTAGACAGTACAATCCCAAGGGGCCAGCCGGGGAAGGTGATCTGGGTTGCCACCGGTTTCCGGTCGATACAACAGACTCCTCTTAAGGCAGTAAGGCGTAGTAGTACTATAGTAGGTTCTAGGGAACACCGTACGTATACCATGGTTATAATTCATTTTGTAAGCTAGTAGTAGTACTCTTTATTTTTTAACCACGGTTTAATTGGATCCAACAACAATACTCACGCATCCATACGAATCACAAGACTTGAAGAGCTGAAGAGATACATATGTCATGTCATCAAATTCAACAACAATTCACGATATTTGTGTCTGACTTGACAACTTTTTTTTCTTTATCTCATGAGGATAGATGTAAAAACTCGTAGGAGCGAATAATTGCGTTTACAAAAGGCTCCCAGGTTTCCTTTTTCTTTTTGTTTCCGGTGAAAATTATAATCTTAATTAATTAATTTCAAGGGCAATTTTATACAGTAATTAAAAAGAATATATTTAAAAAAGGAAGGTAAATAAGTTTGAGCAGAGTGCAGCGGACAGGGAAAGGGCAGTTTCTCAAAACTCGTCTAGAATTATTTTTGTTGAGAATTTTGGTTGGGAGAAAAGAATGGCCAAAACGAACGATCCGAAGAAGCCACCAGTCTGTTTTCATCGGTCTCCTTTTCAACTTTTTTCCGGATATAGTGATAATAGGAGTATTATACCGTATGTATATATATAGTCGATAAAAAAGAAAACAAATAAATAATATACTTACCATACATTGTCCAGATTCGCACAGCTAAAAATCGTTACTACAGTTTTACTACTACTTTTCAACAATCCCCTATCTTTTCTTTTTTTTTTTTTTTTTTTTTTTACTTTGTTGGGTTTTACAGTATCGTTTTCCAATCTTTCCCCAACAAATCAAATACAAAAAATCAGTCATAAATTTACCCACTGCTACTTTTGTACTGAGAAGACGATATATACTGGAGACGAGAGAGAGAAGAAAGGCAGAGAGAAAAGTTGCGGTGTGGTTTTTAGTTAGTTATTATTAAGCCCAGCCGGAATCCCATATCTCCAGAAACTCCTTTTCTTCTTCTTCTTCTTCTTCTTCTTCTTCTTCGCGATCCAATACTCTGTTTCATTCATCAAATGGACACCATTTAGGTCCGCCTCCGGCTCGCTGTAAAGGTACTATTTTTATAGCTTCCTTTTGATTAAACAAATGTTAATACTATGCATCGGCCTTGGAATCATCACTGGGTTTTTCATTCTTGTTGGATTTCTTATTTCTTTAGTCTTTTTTTTTAATGGTTTTTGTGTTTGGGTGCAGGTAAAGGGAGGAAAGAAATTAAAGAAAATAAAAGTTTCTTTTGTTTGCTTACTGGGGAAAAAAAAATCCATTAAAAAAGGGTTAATATTTGCTTTGGCGAGGGACCGGACGGGCTGTCAGTCTCGGAAATACCAAGATTCTTTACCGATCATCATGGCGGTGGTTGAGAATGCCGGAATCAGCGTTTCTGGGTCATCCAATCGGGCTGCTGACCCGAATGTTCCTGCTCTTGCCCACGATGACGACATCGCCGATCACTCTCAGTCAACTAAGCCGGTGACGACTGCGAACCAAAACTCTTCTTCGCTTTTGAGGTCAACAACCAAGCCGGGGCCGGCGACACCGCCGTCGTCGGCCGATCATAGCGTCCCTGTGACCCTTATGGCTCATCAGCAGCCGAGCTCCGTTAATGGTCACCCGCCGGCGACGACCCAAATGAACAACGGTTCTGGTATCCAGCAACATCATCACGGTATCAACGGAAATGGACTGCCGGACCGGAATCATTCTAGCAATTACCACCACCACCACCATCATCATATGAACGGCGGAGGAGCGAGCGATGGCGGTTCCGATGATGATGCTCGGGAGCAGGGGTTTAAGAGGGAGATGAGGGATTTGGAGGAAATGCTGTTTAAGTTGAACCCCATGGCTGAAGAATTTGTGCCTCCGTCCCTAGCTGCGGTCAACTACCAGAGACTTTTACCACCACAAGCTGCTGCTCTGGCTGCTGCAGGGCCCTTTGGGTATAATGCTGCTAACAATTATCTAATCCACCCTAACTCCGGGATTCCCAATGGGAATTCAGCTAGACGGGTACTACTCAAGTTTTTTCCCTCCTCCTTTCTTTAATCCTTTGTTACCAAAAAGTGTCTTTCCATTGCCATATAGATTTTCCAAGTTTCTTTGTGCAATGGGAATGCAAGGGAACCAATAGTGTTATATTTCTATTCTTATCGTTGCTCTTGTGCTGGGTTTTATGTTGCTACTGTGCTGATGGTTTGAGTGTTGTATGGTATGCACAGAAGAAGAGCAACTATAATAATGGGAAGAGGCGTATGAATGGCCGAACAAGCATGGCTCAGAGAGATGATGTAATTAGGCGGACTGTATATGTGTCTGACATCGATCATCAGGTCAAAAGATGATTCTTTTTCCTAATGCATTTTCATTCCTTGCATGCTTAAAGGTTCTTATCATGACCGTTTATCTTTGACCTGCCTTGGGTCTTGTATGATCACAGGTTACTGAAGAGCAGCTGGCTGCACTTTTTCTTGGCTGCGGACAGGTGAATGTGCTCCTATCTGATAAATATGCTTTTTCATATTTGAATGCTGATTTCCATTAACAGAGTTTACACAGCTATAAGCTTTAATTTCTTTTGCAATGTTAAGGTTGTGGATTGTCGTGTCTGTGGTGATCCTAATTCCGTCCTTCGCTTTGCATTCATTGAGTTTACTGATGAGGGTACGTTGATTACCTATTTCTTAGATCAGATTGCTGTTGCTTTTGGTGTCATGATTACCTAGACAATGCCCACTTTCTATTGCAGAAGGTGCAAGAAATGCTTTAAGTCTGGCAGGAACTATGCTTGGATTTTATCCTGTTCGAGTGCTGCCTTCTAAAACTGCTATTGCTCCTGTGAACCCTACATTCTTACCCAGGGTGAGAAAATTTCTTTTTCTTTGGCCACTAAGTAATGTATGCTTCCAAAATGTATGATGAATGAGTCCTGATTGCTGCTCCGGAGATATTCTAATGCATTTTTCTGCCTTATTTAGTCTGAAGATGAGAGGGAGATGTGTGCAAGAACTATTTATTGTACAAACATCGACAAGAAGGTATGCTGGGACTCGATACAGTATTGGTGCTTGCAACTAACATCAAATGTAGATCGTGGACATAATATTCTCGGTTGTAATGCAGGTTACTCACGAAGATGTGAAGCTCTTTTTTGAATCCATTTGTGGAAAGGTTTGTAGCTGCTGTTATGGTAGACCTATTACGGTTTTTCTTAGAATTCAAGGCTTACTATTTTTCGTTTTCTGACACAGGTTTATCGCTTGAGGATACTGGGTGACTACCAGCACTCAACTCGTATAGCTTTTGTTGAGTTTGTGATGGTAATCATCATCTTCTTACTTAGTTTCCTTGCTGTTCAACTTCTCTACTTGCGTGGTCTTCTTGTTGATCGTAAAATATAGCTCAGTATTGGTCACTCTTCTCTTGGTTTTGTGTGATGTATACCTTACCATCGAATACTGAATTCTACTGAAATTACATTTAAAGCATGCTTTTTTTAATCTGGTAACTCTGTGTAAGCTTTGGAACTTAGATGCACTCACTGACAATGCGTTAATTTTGCTTAACTTATTTCAGCTTTCTGCTCCGTTGTAAGTCAACAACGTTTGTTGTGTTCTTCCCTGCTGATTCCCTTTTGTGGTTGTCATTCAGAGTTCTGTTTGCCTTAGTCTGTTTCTTTTGCTTACTGTGATGTAACCTTGTAGGTTGTAGGAAGTTGTTGATTGAGTTACTATGTGGAATCTGTCTTTCGAGTTACAGTACTTATTGTGCAGAATTTTCATTTTAGGTCGTGAGGCCTTGAGAATAACAGATAAGTCAAATTCAAATTTGTTTTAGTATCTGGATGTCCGACTTCTTATTTTTGTTATAATATGTATGGTCTTCCATTGCTTCTGAGCAGCTTGTATAGCCTTGCACCAGTAATGGTCTTCCTTTACTCTTTTACTTGCACATTTTTTCCAATCCCTTTAAAAAGTTAACTCTAAAGTGGGTAACTCGTTTTCATGTTTAATGGAAAAGAGTATTTGCAAATCATTCTATCTGATGGTTTTTGTGACGTGAATATGTCTGAAGGGCATGGCAGAAACAACAATTTTTTTTGGAACCATTAAACACAATGATATGATCACATCTCATAAGAATTCTTTGAATGCTCTTGTTAGAAAATTCTAATGTTAATTTTATACATTGGAAACTGGGGCCTTGCAGCATGTGTTTTTTTTTTTGGGGGCGTGTATAATGGTCATCAGTTTGAAGTGCCTTCTTGCTGATGGGAAATGAGTGTATCAACTAGATTTCATCCACATTCTGTGCTTGATTTGGGCTGTACCTACTTGTCAAGTATTCATTGTTGGTTGTTGTGTGCTTACGGCAATTGCAACTTGGGGGGTTATTTATTTATTTACGATGCCTGGATGGAGAATAATGAACCTTTTCTTTTGACTATCTGTCTTTCATGTTCTTTCAATTCTTCAACTTTCCTATTGTCTTCTTCTAATATCGAATGTATCTTCTGTTCGAGTTCAACTATTCTATGTTTCACACAGTCGCTTATGAAGGTCAATGTGGTTTTTCTTGCAGGTTGTTTTTGTGATTCTTTTGCTAGGTCTTGTTTGAATATTTGTAGTTGTTTTACCTCTGAGGCCTCTAGTTGTGTTTCCAGTGCCTAATGTTTTTATATGAATTTTGTGTTGAGGTTATTTATTAGATTAGTATTTATGGTCTTTTCATTGGAACCATGATCGGTTCTGTGGCAGTTACACAGATTTCCTGGTTTTGCAGGCTGAGAGCGCAATTGCAGCCCTAAACTGCAGCGGCGCAGTGTTGGGATCACTTCCCATAAGGTTTGTGTCTCAAAACCTGGACAAACTTTTTGGATTGATAATCATTTTACTCTTTATCTCCTCCTCTCTGAACCTTTGGTGTCTCATGCAGGGTGAGCCCATCAAAGACCCCTGTTCGGCCCCGTGCTCCTCGCCAAGGGATGCACTAAAAGGGATACCCAGGTGGCTCGGTTGCTGATCAATCTTCTGCTGATAAATACGTAATATATTATATCTATACATATATATATATATATTATATATAAATACATAGTACAGAACAGATGATACATTGATGAGGGAGGGTACTTGCTGCTTTGTCACATTCTCTGTGTTTTCGAGTACTTTTTTGTCCATGCATCTGATGCTGATGAGAGTTCATCCGGCAACATGCCGACGAGGATATTTAAAAGTAAATTGTCTTATGGCTGTTTCTGTTAACTTGTAGAGTATGGATGGATGGGGATTTTTGTGGTGTTGAAGTAGTTGTTGGTTTACTCAAATGATGTTTTAAGCATCTGTGTCTCGAGACAAGTTAAAACTTAATGATAATGATGATGATGCTTCTAACAGAAGTTTAATGCTTGTGAAATTACTTGCCGTTTTGCTGTGATTAATATGAATTGTATCTGCCACGGCTATGCAAGTTTTGGCTCATGAAAAACTTTGAGATTTGTATCATATGTGATGAATGAAAATTATTGCTTTGACCATAATGGTGAGAAAAGGAGTCGATGGAGAAAAGTAAGAAAAATGCTTGGGTAAATGAACTGCTGCTTCTCCCACATTGTTATTAAATCCAACTTTTGAAAAGAGAAGGCAAATTATTAACTTATGAAAGCGAATGTTTTTTATTTCTGGATGCGCTACAAACTGAGATGCTAGCTTGCTTGAGAGATGGATGGTTATAAAGAGTTCCAGTTAGGTTGGCAGAAGCGACCAACAGGTTGGATAGAGGCTAATTGTGATGCTGGCTATTGTTGGTTACCAAATTGTGCTGCTGTGGGAGCAGTTTTTAGACACCATACAGGGAAAGTGATATCGGTCTTCAATTCTAATATAGAGCAGTGCTCTGTACAAACTGCAGAACTGAGGGCAATCCTCTTAAGCTTGGAAACAACTAGAGACCTAGGAAAAAAAGAAAAAGTTCTAGTGGAGTCAGATTTCCAGATGGCAGTTGATTTGGTACAGAGACTGAGGGAGAACCCGATTATTCCTCTTGATCCCGAACTTAGGAGAATAAAAAATCTTTTGTGTAGAAACTGAGATGTACATGTTAGTCTCACATTTCGGGATAACAATTTGTGTACCGATGCTCTAGCAAAGAATGCACTCGGACTAGATAGAAGGCTATATTTTTTTGATATCACCCCTAGTTTTATAGCTCTGCTACTAGAGCATGATTCTAGAAGCTTAGGAACTTGTATATTATCGGATTCCTCATGTTGTTAATATAATCTGGCGTTTAACCAAAAAGAAAAAAAAAAAAAAGAGGTGGAAACGAAGAGGAAGGAATTCAAGAATTGCTTAATCCAGACGGGCTGTATAAATCTTATATATGTAGACATTTTTTTTTCAAAAGATTGATGTTACCATAAATCCAGTCCACCTAATTGATCTTCTCCAGGAATGTAAGAAATTAGCTCTAGAAATAGGAAGCTGTAGATTAGTAAAAAGTGAGTCAAATTTTAGTTGAAAATATGAACAGATTAGCAAAGGCTTCTTTAGAGACTTCAACTTGCTGGAATATAATCTACTGTTTGTTTTCCCAAAAGAAAAAAAGAAAAAGCACTTTGATTTTCAAGAAAAGTGAGGGTGATGGGCCGCCGGTGCCATCTTTGGATTTGGGCTCATGTCTCTCAGTAATTTTAATGGGGTGAACAGAATAGCCATAGTTAACTGGGCCTTTATATTGCTTTGATGACTCATAAGCCCAAACTGAACCCATCACCTTTGAGATATTTATTGTCTTTTTATTTTTATTTTCTATTTTTCAGGAAATGAAAACCGTCGTTCGTATGTTTCTGTTTCGTAATCCTCTAATTAGGAGTTGTTGTTAGTTGTTACTGTTTCTTGTTATATTATTCGTAACAACAAAGAAAAAGATTGATTATTTTTGGAGATTCTTGGAGCGGACACACGTTCTACTGAACTGAACTGAACTGAACCGAACCACATAATCTCTGCCGCTTCCGACAGAAGTGCGGAACTTCAGTCGCAATGAACTTGCCGGTCTCTTATGAAGCTGCTTTGAATCCCCTGAGGTTGAGGCTGTGGAGTTCTTCCAACTCCTCCTCGTGGGCTCTCTCCATTTCAGTCGTCTCCATCTTTCCGAGAACAATCTCCTCCTCCCTTACCCCATTATCCCACAGGTTCTATTTCTATCCTTTTTCCATTTCTTTTATTGTAATGTACATGCCCGTTATCACAGTGTATGAAATAGGGGATATGAAATTGAAACTCTGGATAATTTGGATTTTTGGGCCCTGGTTCATAAATTGATTAATTATTACTAAAGGTGATTTTTTTGTTTGCATTGTGGTGACTAGTTAATGTCTGTTAATCAATCATCTTGCCCTACTAATAAATTCCTCTTTATTCGTATGAGAATCTGGTGTTTGGTAATTGAGCTTCACGGTTTATTTATAATCGTTCAAACATCGACATAAAAAGATGTAATATAGATGCTAGATACATTAATTAGGAAAAAGGCGAATTCGAACTCTGCTATTAAGGGGATGTTAGCAGTTGAAAAAGAAGGGATGGGATGGTTCTTGGACTTGAAATTGGAAGTCCTCGAGTTTGATGTTTTATGAGGGATTGGTTCCTTTTGTAGAGAGAGTGATTGTTTAATTTTTCAGACTTGTAGAAGAAACAAAAGGGTGAAACGGTGCTTGTAGTTCCACCTACACTAGGTCAGGGAAAGTGGTTGGTACTCCGAATCCTAATGCAGGCTGACTAGCTTTATTTCTATATTCTTTATTAGAGGCAGTCTTACCTATTGTAGGGACATATTTTAACCATAAATAGGCTGGGACGTGTTCACTTTGAAAGTAAAGATGTTAACAATGAATAATGTCGCTAAATCTTGTTGGGATTGCAGTGATGAGTTGCATACAGCATAGTGAATTCTGCCATATCAGTCCGAGAAAGAATGCATTTTTAGCTGTGTGCATTCTTGCTTAGTTGCTCGGCTCTTAAAACACAATGAATACTTCGTTTCACTTGATAGCCCTTGTAACTTACCTTTGTGTCTTCAGGACTCAATTTCTGTCTCCTCTGAGGTTAATCCTCTGCCGATCACGCTTAGGTAAGCTAATGAAATTCATCATTATCGTTCTTTGCATTCCCATGATGACTGTGTGAGATAAGATTCCCACAATGACAACTGCTTTATCTGATTTGCATTATTAGCTGCTGAATCTGAAATACATGGATCATTCAATCAGAGAATGGTGCCCGCGAGCCTCCTAACTGCGGAGAAAGAAGAAGCCAAGGCTGTACTCACATTGTTTCTGAAGAAACAGGGTTTTAGCAATGCAGTGGCAGCCAGAATAGTCAACAAATCGGATCCTTTTGTCGACCACCTCGTTGCAAGGCTTCATACCATGCACAAATCTCATTACCTAGTAGGTTCGATCTTTCCATTTTCCTTGTGTTCTTTCCCCCTTTTTTTTAGGACTGAATGACTTGACTCTATCTTTTCTAGCAATTCCCAACCAACATCGTTTTCTTTTATATTTTATTGCACTGTAGGACGGGAACTGACGACTCTAGAGATCAGGGATGCACTAACTCCTTACCTTGAAACCCTCCTTGATGAATACGGAGAAACCCTAGTTGATGTGGTGGAGAACTTTCCCAACCCACCTGTTAAAGAAAGTCAGGGAGAAGATTCTCAAAGCCAGTACACCCCAGAAACTGTGGATATTTATGTTTCGCCCTCAAATGTTACCCTTGACTCAAAGAAGTTGAAAGCGTTGGCTCGAGTTAGTGATCTTAACCCGACAGGGAAGCTACCTCCGCATGTTACATACCTTCTTGAGCTGGGAATGGAGCTAGAGACAATTCGGGAAGTGATACGGAAGTTCCCAGCTTTCGCCTATTACAGTCTTGACAGGAAAATCAAACCTGTGGTGGACTTCCTCCTGGAACTTGGTGTGTCAAAGTCTGATATTCCAACCATCATCACCAAAAGGCCTCAACTCTGTGGTATAAGTCTATCGGAAAATTTGATTCCTACAATGACATTTTTGGAGAATTTAGGAGTGGACAAAAGTCAATGGGCAAAAGTCATCTACCGCTTTCCAGCACTTCTTACTTACAGCAGGTCGAAGCTAAAAGGAACTGTTGACTTCCTGTATGAAGTAGGTCTTTCTGCAGAACATGTTGGTAAAGTTTTAACACGTTGCCCGAATATTATCAGCTATAGCGTTGATGATAAGCTACGGCCTGCGGTTGAGTATTTCAGATCCTTGGGGGTTGATGTTGCACTTCTTTTCCAAAGAGCTCCACAAACATTTGGGCTTAGTATAGAAGCCAATTTGAAGCCATTAACGGAATTCTTTCTGCAAAATGGATACAGCATCGAGGAACTCAGAACTATGATTTCCAGATACGGTGCGTTATATACTTTTAGTTTAGAAGGTAACTTGATCCCGAAATGGGAATTCTTCCTAACAATGGGATATCCGAAATCTGAGCTGGTTAAATTCCCTCAGTATTTTGGTTACAGCTTAAATGAAAGAATAAAACCCAGATATGCAATTGTGAAGGAGAATGGAGTGAGGATACTGCTGAATCAGGTTTTGTCTCTCTCTGGTCCGGAATTTGATAAAGTTGTGCAGAGAAAATTGAAAAAGCAGTACGGCATTGAAAGTTAAGCTCATATCTGTACAAATAGAATAGCCAATTTATACAGAATGGTAAAGGGGGACCCTCACGTGTCCTTCATGCTCATGCTGCAGTGTACAATAAACCTCGAAGTCTTAAAATCACGAACTCATTTTGCTTGTTGAGGATGGCGGGATGGATATGGTCCAATTCTCATCTTGGTTGGAAGGGCTGCAGAATGGAGGGAAGTGTATGCCCAAAACTCGTTGAGCATGGAGGATTGAAGATGGTCAATTGCTCGTCTATGCATATGGGCTGAGAGAATGTGGTGAAAGGATGTTCACGTCCACGGCTAGTATGGCCTACTCCTGTTTGCACTTTTAGGGATCCGTTTTGATGATTCCTTGCCTATTTCTGTCCTGTTATTGGGCAAGTTCTTGGTAGTTTAGGTACTGAACCTACTGATTGTAATCTGAAGATGATGAAGCTTGTATTTTGGCTCACAAACTTATAAGAACGTAGAGCCTCTTGAGACGTTTTTCAAATTTGAAAATTATTACTGCTTTTCTTTCTGTACCGACAAGGGAAAAATGGATAAGCAGGCATCTTTTGCCAAACCGCACCTTGGAAGTCCTGGCCTAATATGAACACCCGCACTGGGGAAAGAAAGATACTACTACACACTGGTTCTACTGGACTGCAAGTCTACAACTCCCGGACAGGCGATTGATACAAGCTTTTATTAGTAGTACATAATTTGGTTCGGACCTTCGAATAAAAAACTTTACACATTGAATACATTACAAAACCAGGGGTTCTATTCAGTCAGAGAAAGTACACGTCTTCAGTTCTTTTTCTTTTGAAAATAGTACCTAATATTAATCGGAAGTACCTATACTATTACATCGACACGAATTATAAGCCGTGTTATGTATTTCTAGTTAAAATTGTATTAAAAGTGAAAATTCAAATTATACAATCATTTTGAGAGAGAGGGAGTATAAAATTATCCTTAATCTTAGTAAATAAAGTTTATTATTTTTCAGTCGGTATTCTAAATGCAAAGTAGATAAAGAATTGATGTGATAAAATCCATTAGTACTCCTGTTCACAAATAACATTCACATTAGGGTAGGAGGATTATGAGAGAATTAGTTAGCCAAATACAAATAGGCACTTGGAGCCCAAAGTTCCCCAGAAATACTTTTCAGTTACATTTCAATAAGCAAAGCTCCTCTTTTTTGCTTCCGGCTCTTCTTCTTATGTAATCTTTTTCTAAATGTTTCAGTGTAAGAGATGGACCTTAAACTTTAACCTTTTCCAGATCTGAGCGTACCACTTGCAGGTGCTCAAGAGAAGGGCAATTATGCAAAAAAAAAAAAAAAAAAATCGAGAACATCCCCTGACACGTGTACACAAAGAAACTTCAAACTCCTGAGGGATTAAAGTCGAACAACATGGCATCAGAATTGATGCCATTCCCACAGGAAGAATTGCCATCACTCAGGCCAAGTAGCTCATTAGGAAACTTATAGAAAGGTCCATGAACCCGTCTGCCGGAGCTTGACAAGTCCAACTCTAGCCTCAGGAGAAAAATTCACATACGGACTTTTTTCTTTTTTCTTTTTTTAAATTACAACATATTTTGATTACAAGAGAAAAATTCACATCACGAAACCAAAAAAAAGATTACTTATTTCAGTTAGCAACTTCTTACAAATCCTATATTATACAAACGAATACCCCACCCGAGTGCAAGTTCTTCATTTGATCTCTACATCAACAACCTTTCTCTCAACCTGTTTCTTAGGAACAGAAATATAGAGAACACCATCCCTTAACTCCGCGGTGATTTTGTCGGTCTCGCAATTCTCTGGCAGCTGAAGCCGAGTATCGTAGGAACTGTAGCTCCTGCTAGACCATCCTCCATCCTCCTTGTTTTCCGCATCATCATTCTTCTTCTTTTGCCCCTTGATCACCAGAACATCATCCTCCACCGACACCTTGACGTCTTCCTTGGATAGTCCCGGCATGTCGAACCTCATCTTGATTTCGCGCTCGTCTTCGTGCATATCCCAGGGGGATCTTACCTCCACACCGGAGTTTTGGTATGTGGCGGGCCAGGTGTCCTCGAAGAACCGGTCCATGGCGTCCATCATCTGCCGCATTGTTCTCATTGGGGACAGAGGATCAAGCAAACCTGTTTTATGATTTTTATTAACCATGTTAGTTAACACATTTATTTCTATCCTCCAACAGTGTGATTTTGTCACAAAACTAGACAATAATTTGTACTAAAAGTGAAAATCCAAACTAGACAATAATTTCAGAGACGGAGGGAACAGTAAAACTAATTGACTAGAGCTACTTACCAAACGGGGAAATATCAACAGGCGTTAACCTGTGAGGCCTGCTACGTTCAACAGCCGTTCCACTACTGCCGCCCTGTTTGATGTTGTTGTCGTTAGGCTGCAGATTGGATTGCTGGGGAGTGGTGCTGCTGACGTGCTGAACATCGATTGATGAATCTTTGTGATGTTGTTGATGATCAGCAGCTTGTGCTCTAAGAGGAGTTAATTTCGTCGAGACTTTGCGAGGAAAGAACAGAGAACATGAAGAAGGTGATCTGTGTTTTGCTTTTTCAGGAGATTTGGTAGGGGTAGAAGTGAAAGGAGAAGCTGGAGAACATGCAAGAAACTTGGTGGCCATTTTCTATACTTTGATGCTAATGCACTGCACACTAAGATTTAATTTGCTAAGCTAGATTGCAATTTGATGAATCTTGGAAGATGGGAGTTTTTAAGTGTTTAGTTTTTATATGAGGTGTGGAATGATTCTTTTTCAGATTAGTGACTTGATTGATGAAGGATGAATTGAGTATATATATATAGAGAAAGTAGACACAGAAGAAGCAAGAATTAAATGGAAGAGTCTGGTGAAATCTTGATTTGTCCCCAACCCGATATCATCCTCACATCAATTGAAGTCGTTGTTTTTTCTGACGCTTTCAGAATTTGCTCTTCTGCATTCTTCTGGTCCTTTCGGGAAGTCGCAGGTTATTTCCACTTATCATCGACGCTTTTGGTCATTTGGTGGTTACTATCCACAAAAATTACAAATTGGATGATACTCAAAATTAGAGTCGCTACAATCAACAACTCCATTATAATACACTCCCTCCACCATCCACCTCAAGAAAAAAAAAAAAAAAGGAAAAAGAAACAATCTACTCATCAAATTTATTTTACTATTGCAAGTTAACAAATAAGAATGTTTATTGAGGCACAAATAAATTTTAAAAATGACAAAGAATGAAATGCAATGAGGCTGTTTTAATGTCGTGCCATACTTGTATAGAGCAAATATTTCAAAAGTCTTATTTGTTTTTCTTCCTCAGTTTATTGGTTTTGATAAGACAAGAAAATACGTATTCCCGCTTTCTCAAATTTATTTTCTGATTTAATTTTTTTATTTTTTAATTCAAATTAAAAATTATAAATAATTATTGCGGAGCATAATGAATACATAGTATAGTTTCTATGCAATTAGAATGCAACAAAAAAAAAAAATGCAAAACGGGGAAAAACCCGCCAATCGGCTTCAAGTGGTCAGCGGCCCAAAAGACGAAAATTTTAGTACTCTGAATAAAGAAAGGCCCGGATAGACACGCGCCTTTTTCCAGGATCCAATGGAAGTACCCACGGTCCAGATTCTCTGGGTTTGCTCCACCGATTCCGCCGAGTTCACTCAGTTGAGCTGGGCTCTGACTCACTCCTCCGTCATCGGTCTCGACGCCGAGTGGAAGCCCGTCCGGAGCAGCAGCAGCGGCGGCGGCCATCACGAATCTACTTTTCCAGCAGTTTCTCTCCTCCAAATCGCATGCCGACCGTCCGCAAATTCCGACAACGCGGCCTTCCCGCCGCCGGTCTTCCTCCTGGACCTACTCCAGCTCCCTCTTCCCTCAATTTACGAATTGTTGAAGGGCGTATTCACATCCCCGAATGTTCTCAAATTAGGTTTCAGGTTCAAGCAAGACTTGGTTTACCTGTCATCCACTTTTTGTTCTAAAGGCTGCGATCCTGGCTTCGATAGAGTAATTTCTGCTTCTTCTATCTTTGCAATAGAATGAATTTCTGATAATGATGATTAAAATGCTGAATTCCATGCTCATGTTTTTGTTCATTTCCCAAAAGGTCGAACCTTTCATTGATATTACGACCGTGTACTGCAACCTGCAAATACAAAGGAAAGAGTTTTCTGGAAGAAAATTGCCGAAACAAAGCAAGAGTTTGGCGCACATTTGCCAAGAAGTGCTGGGTGTTTCACTTTCAAAGGTTTGGACTTTCTGATGGTGCTGTTACTTTTTTTTGAATAGATAGAAAACGTTATTGTTGTGATATTGCCGAACTTAGACACTCGATGACATGTTGTATACATTAGGAACTTCAATGCAGCGATTGGTCACATCGTCCTCTGAGTGAAGAGCAAATGAAGTATGCCGCTGCCGATGCTGAGTGTTTGCTTCAAATATTCAACGTCTTCCAATCAAAGATTGATAAAGAAGGTTGGGAATCTTTATTGCACCTGTGATTAGTTTACGAGTGATCTGATCTTTTACGTATTATAGTATTTATCTTGCGTGTTATACTTTTTAAGGCATTGCTCATTGAAATGTTTAAGGCGTTGCTTGCACAAATTAACCTCATGAGTCATGATATAGAGTTTGCCCTATAACCAGTAAGCTTACTTCATTCAGTCTAGCAAATTTTCGGGTTTGATGTGTATTGAGCTTTCTTAGTCACTTAAAATGCCAGAATCTTATTGTTCTTTCTTTAAACTTTATGTGTACTTGATGTTGTAAGCTATACTTTTGCTCTTATTCGCCTGGGGTATTGATTGCAGGGTTTTACTCTCATTGGTCGTCGACTTCAAATCCTGGTTTGAAGCAAGTTCTTGAGGTGTCGAATTCATGTGAAACGGTATTGAGGAATAATGTATGTGGTGCATCTGATATGGTTCAGGCTGTTATACCTGCTTTGGCTGGTTGTAATCTTGACACAAATGCCGTAGGTTGTGAAAAGTCAAGTGCGATCAATGAACAAATGGATCTTCCCCTCTTTCATATTGTTAGGAAGTACGGTGATAAAATTTTGTTAAACGATTCCGACAGGAAGCCTAAACTGTCCAAGAAGAAAGTGAAAAGGTTTTCTAGGGGAATGACTCACAAAGAAAACCTGATTCAAAGTGCTGATGATTGGCAAGGGCCACCTCCATGGGATTTAGCATTAGGCGGTGATGGTTGTCCTAAATTTCTGTGTGATGTAATGGTGAGTCAGGAAAATTTCACTTCTCCGCATATAAGCGTGCCGAACTTATTGTTTCCTTTGATACCTTATGACGTTGTTGACATATTAGGTTGAGGGCTTAGCGAAGCATTTACGCTGTGTTGGCATAGATGCTGCTGTTCCTCATTCAAAGAAGCCCGAAACCAGGTAACTTTTATTGAACAAAATCGCTGAAAAATTTTAACAATGAGTTTGGTTTTAAAGATTCAGAATGTTCCATGTATTGGTGGAGGAAATTATTGCTGCCAAATTTAAGTCTTCCCTATGTTATGCTCAGGGACTTGATTGACCAAGCTCAAAAGGAAAAGAGAGTACTATTAACAAGGGATGCCAAGCTTTTGAGATATAACTATCTGATTGGAAATCAAATATACAGGATAAAAAACCTTCTGAAAAATGACCAGCTGCTTGAGGTAAATGGACATTCTTGTTTTTTATCCAAAGAGTTGTAGAAACTTGCCCTCACATTTAAACAATTAAACAAAACAAGTCAACACTCCCAACTTTTCGTTGGATTTTCTTAAGCAGCCTTTTATACGAATTGTCTTCGAGCTCTGTGATAGACGATAATATTTATGCTTTGCAGGTAATTGAAACTTTTGAGCTCAAAATATGTGAAGACCAGCTAATGTCAAGGTGCACTAAATGCAATGGGAAGTTTATTCAAAAACCCCTAACAACTGAAGAGGCTGTTGAAGCGGCCAAGGGATTTCAAGTGATTCCTAACTGCTTGTTTAACAAGAATCTTGAATTTTGGCAGTGTATGGATTGCAGACAACTATACTGGGAGGTACTTGATTTATTTAAGCATTTTTCCTATTCGGTCTATTTTTTCCCCCCTGATTCTTTTGTTTTGATGTGTCGTAGAGTTTCCATCTCGGGCTAGGTTGACTTTATGGCCCTGTGGCTATAGGTTTCTGATTCTGTAGTTATAGCAATGCTGGATTAAATTCCAGTGATTTTTCATTGAATAGACCCTTATGAGCTGAACAACAATCAAGGAAAATTTTCTTTTGAGTTTTGCTGAATTTGCCGTACGCTTAGTTGACCTGGTTAGGGAGACAGTAACTGCAGATTCATTTGCTCCAGAAAGGGGAAAAAAAAAAAGATAAAAGAAAAAAAGAATCCAGACTTCATTATCTTATATAGTCGTGGACCATAGGGCTTTGTTGCAGTTAAGTGGAAGCTACCTTTTAGAGTTGAAAGAAAATGTCTCCACTTTTTAAGTTGGGGAGGACAGTCTGCTGCTTTTGTATTGAATATTCAGAGTCTTCCCACATGAGGATGGGGAAAAACCATGTGCCTGAAGACCTGAAATTTCAGCCTTGTGAATAAATAGTTTAGAACCCATCATCTCGCCTACTGTTTTATGGTAGGTGTCGTATTATTGTACACAATAATCTGATTTTCAATTTTCCTTGCTTGGAGTGTTTTAGTTTCTGTTCTGGGTTTTAAACCCTTGAATTGTCCATGGTTTGATTTGTAAGACTCCTTTTTTAAGTGACATCTCAGTTTTGTTGCCTGGGTGGTGTGTAATTGTCCAAAAGTTGTGGTACACTGAAACTTGTGGAAATGATTGATATTGCAGGGGACACAATATCACAATGCAGTGCAGAAGTTCATTGATGTGTGCAAGCTGAATTAGAATAACTAAACATGCATTGTTGCGTAGGTGCATTTTCAGTGGCTTATACTTTTTTTTTTGGTGCATTTACAGATTGAAGAATCTGACTCTGGTAGGATGTATTTGAGCAGTGGTTGATCTTTTCGTATATTTATTCTATTTTGTAGATTTTATGCGTGCTACATTCTCAGTGGAGAGTGGAGACTGGAGTTATTGGCAAAAGAAAAAGAAAAGGAATTGCCTAACCTATTAAAACGAGAGTGTCAATTTGTGGTGGTGTTGTGTTCTAGGGTAAGCAAAAAACAGCCATGGATTGAGGCGGAGGATTAGTATGAAACTCCATTATGTGTGGTGAGAAAATTGGCGCAATGTACGGATTGGAAACAATGGAGTTTGAAATAGATGACCAAAAGGACTCTGGTCGCCCCCGCCACTGTGGTTTCCTTCCTCCATAATTTCCAAACACTGAAGCATTAATTTCTTCTTTGGTACAGTATATTCAATTTTTAAAAATTTTTGTTTTATTTTATTCACAAGTTGGAATAAAACAAAACCAGACACTGATCCAAGCAGAGATGGAGGAGAAGAATGTTTTACCCAACCCCAGCAATTTGACTTTTTTTCACCCACTTAGAAGATAGAGAGTATAGTAGATGGAATATTGGCTTTTTTTTTTATTTGGATAACAAACAGTAATATATTGATCAAGTGAGACGGGATTACATTACATGATGGGATAAAGAGAAAGAGAAGCCTAGTTAACCTACTAACCTTGACATTTTTACAATTTGATAAGAAAAGACAAGTTAGCTGGGAATGATGGCTTTTCATTTACTCTCATTTCCCTCCAATCCAATGACCCATTCCAAAACTTGGCTATGATTAACATCCAAACACAATCTGATCACGTCTCCTTACATTTCCAAATGGAGTCCAATACATATCTGAAATCTGAAGAATTTGTCTATAATCTGTTGGTTTTACCTACATCAAACCATTCCATTTAAGCACAGTGTCTTAAATACTCTTATTATGCCAGAATGTATATATACTTTCGCTGAAGGAAGTTCCAGCGCTGAATAATTACCTATTTGCCCCCGAAAGAAAATGAGAAAAGAGTGGGGGTCAAAGTCAGTTGGAAGAGGCGAATAGCAAAGACTACCACCAATAGGGAGCAGCAGAAGCAGCGGCAGCTGTGATGTTTGTAACTCGGATTTGATTACGTATAGGAATTTTTATTCTCTTTTCCTTCTTCTTAGTCCTCAAGAGTAGTACTATTTCAGAGTAGACCGAATATTTGGAAAACATCAAAGCTTCTTCTTCTTTCCTCTCTTTCTCTCTCCCCGTTTCATTTTTGACTGATCAGTGTGCTCCCAATCCAACCACGTGCATTCCGGCCTGCCGGCCGGACGGCCTCCCCCTCTCCCGGCAAAACTGTCTGTTTCGATTCCCTCATCAGCCCTGACTCCTGACTGACATCTGACGAGAATCTCCCACTCTCATTTCAGGTACATTTATATTCCACAATGTGTTCCCTAATTCCCTCCATAAACCATATCAGGTTGATTTTTTTACGTTTTACTATCTTATGTTGATACCCGGCCCATTGGTGTACTTTGCCAATTTATACACCATATTTACTTTTTCTTTTCCTTTCCTTTTTATCTGTACTACTATATACTAGTGATGAAAATACGACCACATTAACACATGATGAACACTAATTTTAAGACGCCGTTGAACTCTAAAACCTAACATAATTAAAGAAAACATCCACACAGTATCATGTTTAGGGTTACATTGCTCCTTTACTTAATTACTATATACTTGAGGTACCGTTTTTCCTTCTATGTAGTATACAACTTATTAAACAATGCTCCATTATTAGCCACCTGTCTTTTTACTTAAACAATATGCGACACCACTGTGGAAAAAGAATACATTTTTCATCATCAAGAACAACAAAATTATGATGTTCACTTTTTTAACTGTCACAATTCAGTTTAAGAATATCGATCATCTCATATTATTATTTTTTTCCAAAAAAAAAAAAAGTAATTCTCCAATCATTATCATTATTGTGTAATTTATCAAAAACTACTGTGTAATTAATTTGACTTATGGGGCTCTTGTGGAAAAGCAATTAATGGAAACTACCTGGAACTGAACAGAAAATCTCACTTTTCGCAATCAGAGATCTTGAGTTAAATAATTAAATCATACTTTATAGTTCAGTTGTGTACACAGTGCGTTCCACTATCGTAATTAAACCTTTAAAAAGCAGACCAATTTTGACTAATGTTTGTTAGATACAGTAAAAATGCATCATTTTGAAAATTGTCCGTCAACTTGTTAATTACTGACTCTGTCCCATAATTATTGTCCAGTTTAGGTTTTCATTTCTAATTTAAATTGTGCTAAAAGTGAAATCTCAAATTGAACAATAATTTTGGGACAGACGGTGTATAATGGAAGAATTGTAAGAGTACTAAATTTTTTCCACTTTAATTTGAAACATTCCCTCTGTCTCATAATTAATTAGACTCATCATTCATAATTACTATTTTCTCATGATTAGTCTCATAATTACTATTTTCTCTAAAAAAAAAGAATAAAAAGAACTCGCCTGAATAATTTCTACAATAATTTTCTTCAATTATAAGTTATAACTTATTAATTAATTAGCACATATCGATATAACTAGTTTTGTAAGGTAAAAATAAAAGTATAACGGGACAGTGTCACTCTTTTTAAGGTTGATTTTTTTTTAAAAAAAAAAAAAGAAGTATAGAATATTTTTTAATAGTCTAGTCTCTATACATAAATATACAATAATTCGTATGGAATGTGAACTATTTTTTTTGAAACATAAAGTAAATTTTTTTTTTTATAGAAAAAAAATGAACGGAAGAAAGAAAAGAAAGAGAAATGGAATATTGTAAAGGCAACGCATGAAAAGCAGAAACATAAACTTCTGGCCATCTTCATCAGCAGCAGCATCAGCTTGGGTTAGCTTTTTAAGAGCAGTGGATGGATGGATGGACTGATGCATGCTGGAAAGTGAAAAGTTGTTAAAGATCTCTCTCTCTCTCTTTCTCTCAAAAAGACTCTCTTCCTTTTTTTTTCCTTTGTCTCCCATCTCTCTCTCTCTCTCTCCCATCTTTTTTCTACACTGCTAAAAACCCTTATCCATCTTTCTCTCTTCCTTTCTCAAATGGATACTAATCAGTGGCCACAGGTAATTAGAGGACACCTATTAAGTTTTTCTTTTTTTCCCACTCATTATCGTCTTCTTTTGGGCAGGGATTTATTTTCAAGGCCTTTTGAGAAAAACAAAAAATGTTTTTGTTCTCTTTAGTTTGTTTTTGTGGGATTTTCTTTTCTCTTCTTTTCCTTCTGCCCTTTTGCTTTCCTCTAGCTAGGAGGTAATCAAACTTTACCGGAAAAGATGATGATAAGCAGCACGCACACACCCACTAATGAATGTTTGTTTTGAAATTTGTTGTTTGCTTTGCCTGCCTGCCTGCCTGCCTTTGAAAGTTTTTTTTCATCACTTTCCCTTGCCCTTTAATTTTGACCATCATCTCACAAAAGGGTTTTTCAGCAAACCCAAAAAGCTAATTCAATTTTTGTTCTGGAGTTGTTAAAGTGAAGTGTTTGTAATTATATCCCCTCCCACACCTTCTTTCCTTTCTGCTAGCTTTTGTGTTTGTTTGTTTTTTACTTGTCTTGTTTGTTTGCTGTTTCTTCCTTTTTTCCAAATCCTTTCTCCACTAATTTCTTCTCTGCATCATCAGTACTTTACTTATGTGTTGTTGTGTACCATAAATTCTCCTTTATACTATACAGATCACAACCAACAGCTAGCTATAGCTAGCTAGCTTGTATAGCTAAGCTCCTTAATTTTGTTAAAGTTTGTCCTTTTTTTTTAGGCTTCTTTAATTTGATGAGTTGATGATGAATATACCTCTCAATTTTGAATGTTTGTAAACAATTATAGGGAATAGGATTGGTGAAGCCAATTCATCAGCAGCAGCTTGAATCAGTAGTAGTAGTACCAAAGCTACCAACAACATCAGCAGGAGCAGGAGCAGAAAACAGCAGGAAGCCAAGGCCAGCAAAAGAGCAAGCTTTGAACTGTCCAAGGTGCAACTCAACCAACACAAAGTTCTGTTATTACAACAATTACAGCTTGACTCAACCACGCTACTTCTGCAAGACTTGTAGAAGGTATTGGACTGACGGTGGCACTTTAAGGAATGTCCCTGTTGGTGGTGGCTCTAGAAAAAACAAAAGATCCTCATCTTCCTCTACTTCCTCCATTTCTTCCTCCTCATCATCACTGCTGAAGAAGCTTCCAGATCTGAGCTTTTCTCATCATCATCATCATCAAAACCCTAATAGCGCCGGCCATGACCTAAACTTAGCTTACCCTTCCTCATCAGGGCTGATAATCACTCCTTTACCTTCTTCTCATCACAACCCTACTAGTAGTAATCCTATCTCTCCTCCTTTAAAGGGTTTGAGTTCTTTGATTTCATTGCCTAATTTTTCTGTTAATTATTCCAACACCAATACTACTACCACTACCTCCACTCCTTCATTGTTCTACCCAGCTACTTCTGTGCTTCTTCCTACGCAAGATAACTATAAACCAACAAAGCTCAACTTTTGCTTGGATGGTTTTGAAAATGATCACCATGGGGATCAAAATGGAAGCAACAACAATGCTAGAGGACTGTTTCTTCCTTATGAAGATTTGAAGCCACTTTCCATGAACAGTGGTGTTTCCACCGAGCAATATGATCCTCAGCACCAGAATCGAGGGGGGCAAACAGGAGGGGAATCTAATAATAATGCTTATTATAATGGATATTACTGGAACACTGGGATGTTGGGCGGATCAGCAGGAGGAGCCTCATGGTAGATTTTATTTAAATCAATTATTATTGGATTTGGATCCCAATATAATGCTTTGCCTCGAGGAAAGAAGATACAAGCTAGGTGCATAGTTGGCTTCACATATTATGATTATTAGTTTACTATATATTTGGCTCTTTTTTATTGGGTTGAAAAATGTATAAGTATGTTTGAGTGGGTGTTGAGCTGTTTGGAAGTGTGATTAGTTTTAATCAACAACTAACAGAATTAATTAGGGCTCATCTTTCTTTTTTTTTTTTTTAAATAGTTTTCGGGGAGAAGAAGAAGATATTGATGCCATTGTATTGTATATATAGCTAGTGCTGATTATATTGGGGTATTAGTGGTTTGATTTAAGATGATGTTGTTCACAATTATTGATCTTGCTGCTGAATATTTAGTTAATATGATGTTAATTGCTAATGGTTTGTTATTTAATTGCTTTTAAGCATGATTGTTTCATTTAGGTCCCTTTCTGAACTGTATTACCATCATGTCACTACTCATATGTTTTCAACTTGTGTCCACATTTTAAATCTAATCTTGAACTAAGTGTGTGTCTATTTTCTTTCTAAAACGATGTTTTAATGTTTTTAGAGACACAAACTGAGACATGAAATAGACTGCTGCAATGTCAATGTGAGGGGATATAGTTTATACTCTGGAGTGTGTAATTACATAGAGCAGAATCAATATATAATGAGTACTTATTATTGTAGGTAGCTAGGGATTAATTTGGAGTATAAGAAGTAACAAAGAATGAGAATGACACATGATCATCTCCCCCCATGACTTTTTAGTTTTTACATCACACATGGTAGACCACTTTAAGACTCCAAACAAAAAAGAGATATTTTTAACTACCATAATGCTTGCTTTATTGTATTATATAACATTCCTGTGCTACAAGCCTGCAAGGCCCCCGAAAATAGAAAGAGAGAGAATTGTTCTTTCCAAGGCATGCATATCATATACATGTGATTTTTTTATTATTATTTTTTTTGTTTGGTGACATTTTCGTTTTCCGCTTAACATATTTACTTATTGGTTAGTAAAATAGAATGCTCGATAATGTATCATGGAATGTGTGTAAGTTTTGTGTAATTTCCAAAAATGCATTTATTTGCTCCAAAAATCAAAAAAAAAAAAAAAAAAGTTCAACATATAATTACGATTGTTGAGATACAGTGAAAGAAAATAAGAGAAATTACAAATGAGGAGGTGTGCAAAAGGACAAATATCCTTAAAAAGCAAATTGCATTAAGGACGCAGTAGTGTTGTCAACCCTGGAGTGGAATACACACTTCAAATGAATCCCACATTTCACTGTTACTTGTTCGTCCAATTTCTCAGATTCTCTCAATCCTAAAAGGTCTCATATCAGATTGCAATTTTGCGTCACACTCTTACGAAACTTTTCTTATTATTTTTTAAGTATACTGTATCAGTGTGCCATCATATGATATCAATTAAACATTTCTACATTCACAAAGATAAAAAGTTATCCATCATCTTATTTTAATTTTCTCCATCTTTTTCTTTGGGGGTTGGATTTCGTTTTCCAGAAGGAAATCAAGTGAAGTAGTAGTAAATTCGGACAACAATGCATGATTGGAATTTTGGCCAATTTTATTTTAAATTGAGGTATATTTTGAATTAGGCCCACAAAACATTCTCTTGATGCAACGTGAAACTTTTCAACTACATCACGTAATTGCCCATCACCACCATTTTTTTGCTTCTTCTCATTTGTAGGGTTGTGTTTTGTCTACGACCCCAAAGGCAGTCGATATGGTGTGGTCGTCTGTTTGTTTGCCTTAATCAACACTCTTCTATAAATAGCTTTAGGTGATGTCGCTATTTGTTTGCCTGTAAAAAATTAATAAAAATTTCCTTTGTATTCTAATCTTTAATATTTTTCCAAATAATAAAAAACCATACACACTGAGAAAACTAAACATACCGTGAATACCGAGTCTTTAACATTTTCATCTCCGAAAAAATGTTATTCTCAAATATAGTATTCTTTCCATTCTAAAATTATTATCCATTTTAAGTTTTAATTTTTCGTACAAATTGAACTAGAAATAAAAATTCAAATTGAACATGGGAGGGAAATCAGATTTACAAAATGAAATTAATCAATAATTGAATACTGATTACAAAAAAAAAAATAGAATTACCAACAATTTAGAATATTTTCATATTTTTGCTAAAAAAAAATTGATTTTTGATAAAATTGACGATAGCGAGAAAGTATAATAGCTGCAGAAAATACAACTGGTTCTCTCTCTATGCCGGACTGGACTCCTTTCATTGAAGGACGGCCCAGCAACACATGTTGTCGTCGTCATTTTTCAGCACGGCAACCCTTCCGATATTACAGTCTGATGGGTTCAAACCATCAACAACAACGTCTCCCTCTTGTAGTTTCACTAGCCCAAATGCTCCACTTAATTCAGCTACCTACGGTTCCCTGTTGGACTCTTGCTGTTCTGCCGAACCCGGCAAACAAATCCACGCTCACTCTTTGAAAAATGGGTTTGTGCTTGGAGGGACGCCTGATAATAACTTTGTGCAGACAAAGTTGGTTCAGATGTACGCTAGATGTGGCCATCTCGATGATGCCGTTCAGGTATTTGAGGAAATGCCCGTCAGAAGCTTGTATGCTTGGATTGCCATTATGAATATGTTCCTGGATAACGGGTTCTTCGAGGAAGCTTTCTCGTGTTTCCAAGATTTGCAGTTGGAGGATATTGAGCTGGAATTCTTTGCGTTTCCAGTGGCTTTAAAGATTTGCAGTGGAGTCAATGGAGGCGCAGGGTTGGGAAGTCAGCTGCATGGGACTGTCATAAAGAGGGGTTTCACCTCGAATATCTATGTTGGAAATGCGTTAATTGACATGTATGGTAAATGTGGAAGACTGGAGGATGCCAAAGCTGTCTTTGATCTTATGCTAGAAAGGGATTGCGTATCTTGGAATTCGATCGTCACTGCTTGTACTGCAAATGGCATGGTGAACGATGCATTGGAATTCTTACGAAGGATGTCATCAGGAGAAGATGATGTGGCACCAACTGTTGTTTCTTGGTCCGCGGTGATTGGTGGCCTTGCACAAAATGGGTATGACGAAGAGGCAATCGATATGTTATATAGTATGTTGGAAGCAGGCTTCAAGCCTAATGCACAAACCCTAGCAAGCGTTCTTCCTGCTTGTGCTCGATTGCAGAGGCTAGGGCTTGGCAAGGAGATTCATGGCTATCTTTTCAGGCACCTGTTTATGCACAATAGTTTTGTAGTCAACGGATTGGTAGATTTGTACAGGAGGTGCGGGAAGATGGAAACCGCTCAGATTCTGTTCTTGCTTTTCTCCACGAGAAATGAGGTCTCCTATAATACAATGATTGTGGGTTATTTTGAGACCGGGGAAATTTCAAGGGCTGAAGAGCTTTTTGATGAGATGGAACTAGAAGGGAGAAGGGATGTAATAAATTCCTGGAACTCAATGATATCAGGCTATGTGAATAATTCAATGATGGATAAGGCCCTGACTTTGTTCCGGGATTTGGTCAGTAAAGATGTTAAAGCTAACAGTTACACCCTAGGAAGTGTTCTTACCGCTATTGCTGATACAGCCTCTTCTAGAATTGGGAAGGAAGTTCATTCCTATGCCATTGGTAGAGGTATGCAATCGGATACATTCGTTGGTGGAGCTTTGGTTGAAATGTATTGCAAGTGCAAAGATTTAAATGCTGCTCAGAAAGCCTTTGATGAGGTGATTGAAAAGGATACACCAACTTGGAATGTGTTGATATCTGGATATGCTCAGTTGAAAGCTAATCAAGAAAGTATTAACTGCCTCCTTCAAAAGATGAAAGAAGACGGGTTTGATCCGAATGTTTACACATGGAATGGTATCATTGCTGGTCATGTGGAAAATGACAACAATGAGGTAGCTCTGCAATTGTTCTTGGCCATGCAAAGTAGTTCGAACATAAGACCTGATATATACACCATTGGTATAATATTACCTGTATGCTCAAGGTTGGCAACTATTGATCGAGGAATGCAGGCGCATGCGTTTGCAATCAAACGTGGTTTTGAATCAGAACCACATGTTGGGGTGGCCCTATTAGACATGTATGCAAAATGTGGAAACTTGAAGTATTCAAAACGTGTGTACAATAGGATTAGAAATTCAAATTTGGTAACTGAAAATGCAATGCTTTCTGCATATGCCACACATGGTGAAGGAGAGGAAGGAATCACCTTTTTCAGGCGCTTGCTTGTTAACGGATTCAACCCGGATGGTGTAACATTCCTGTCTGCACTATCTTGTTGTGTCCATGCTGGTTCAGTTGAAGAAGGACGAGAATGCTACAATATGATGGCATATTATGATGTGAAGCCAACATTAAAACATTATACCTGCTTAGTTGATCTTCTGAGCCGGGCAGGACTTCTTCAGGAAGCATACAAGGTTATCAGCAAAATGCCAATGAAGCCAGATTCAGTGATCTGGGGTGCATTGCTGGGAGGCTGTGTTATACATGGAAATATTGAGATAGGAGAACTTGCTGCAGAAAACCTTATTGAATTAGAGCCAAATAACACAGCAAACCATGTCATGTTAGGAAATCTGTACGCTTCTGCAGGCAGATGGAATGATCTGGCAAGAACACGACAGCAAATGACAGAGCTACACATGCGAAAAAAACCAGGATGTAGTTGGATCGAAGACAAAGATGGTATTCATGTATTTTTAGCCTGTGATATGTCTCATTCGCGGTCAAAGGAGATTTACAACATTTTGGATAAGTTGACTCTTCAAATATCTGTCTATCCAGAATAATATACACAAAACAAAATCTTCTCCTCTGCACGTACTATTGCAGGGTAAAAATTTATAAATCTACAATTGGAACATCTATTAACAGCAAAGAGACACCGCTTGAACTTTAGTTGTGTGGAAACTCGATGTATGTTCCGAGGATGACAGAAATGCTGTGAAAATCCACTCGGCTTTAGTAGAGGTCAATTGATTCTAGCACCCTGCGGGCTTGGATTTGTAGAGCCATCAATCTCTCCTCTGGATTAAGAGTAGAGCCAAACTGACTCGCAGCCCATATCAATGAGGCAGATTTTTCACCAAGAAGTCGCCTTATGTCATCGTGTATCCTTGCCATTGGAGGCCTATCTCTGCCATTCACATGTCCAATGAGAAGCAACAGAAATTCTCCACATTTCAGCCTAGACAAAAGTGACAAAAAAAGAAATGCGCAAGTGGTGATAAGTACTCCATGCCATTACAAGAAGGCCAGCTACACTTTGGTTCGATCTCAGCAGAGCCACATCAGATGCAACGACTGAACACACAAATGCTAAATATTAAGTAATAAAGCACACAAAGATGCAATAAACAACACGCACCTTAGATTTTCATCTGCTTGTTTTTCTTGTATGAGTGAAGTAACTTCCTCAATACCATTGAATCTCTCGAAATCCTGGTATAGCAATGCAATATATTTTAATATGAGTAGAAATACTGACAACATCAATTCTGACAATCACGGTAGCTCTAATTACAGAGCAAAAGTACAATTATCGATTCTGATGCAATACGCACCGTTTGGTTGGCCGATGAATCTACCATTATTGAAATCAGGGCATCTAAACAGGCACCTTGTTCCGTTACCCCTCGAGTTGATAATATATTCATTAACACCTGAGCACAAGAAACATTCTACCCTGAGTAAATAGGTCGAAATCCTTCACGGAAAACGAGACTGACAGCTAGTATTAAGCATTACAGGAATCGCATTATGTTGATGCGCCAAAACTGTGCTCCCCCGGTGCAGCAGACAGCACCCTTCCAATACCCTAAGTGCAAGTGCTACCTCATCATCCGTTGAAGGACTGTGAATTTTCATCGGCTCCACTCCAAATATATGATTTAAATCAGTCACCACGCTTTCGTCTTCCACGGCATCCTTCAGTGACTGTTGAAATAACACCGGTACCACTGTTGCACCATTTAAAAAGGAAAAGAAAATACAAATCAACCATCAAATATATCAGGGTATAGGACTCTAGATGAAGAGTACAATCTGTGATGTATGCATTAGAGCAATAGTTGCATACGGAATTGGAAAAAATATGTAGCAAAACCATGACACATTGAGACCTACATTCTAGTTTGCATCAAACATTCTATTTTCATTTCCCAATATATGCCCTTTTCCTTTGCATTTTGCTTTCTATTTCAGATACTGGAATAGATATAGATAAAACATTTCACATTTAATTTTTAGCCACATTTCAGAGCTCACCTCAGAATTTTCAATGTAACTAATTACTTCTTTTTTCCTAGGATAAATCCAAAAGCAAAATAAGAATCCCAAAGATGTACTAAAACCTAATTGTGAAGGCGTTAATACAGCGATCTCAGATATTTGCAACAGAACCCTAAATTACTGGTATCAATTTTCAATCACACATAGTATTAGCAAAACAAATAGGATTGAAAAAGCAAATTTTTCATTTTCGTAAAAATTCCCAAAATTATTGTCAGTTTGAGATTTTACTTTTATTTGAACTAAAAATGAAAATACAAACTGGACAATAATTATGGGACGGAGGGAGTACATTACCTTGGAGGTCAGGAATGGACTGAGTATGGCAGAAGAGGCTAATGGTGGAGTCGGAGTCGGCGACGGATCGGAGGAATTTGAGGATGCTGTGGAGTCCGCGAACTCGAAGGAAAGAGAACTCGGCCCGGGCTTCTCTGAGTCCAGTCCGGAGTGCGAGAGTTACCTCCCTGTAGAGTCTTTGCTGGTCCAGCGAGTTGACCAGCTCCGCCACCGCCGATTCGGAGCCGGTCTCAGAGTCCGAGTTTGCAGAGCTGGCATTGTTCCAAAATGGCTGTTTCAGGTGCATCTTTCAGTTCTGCTTTGTCTTTGTCTGAAACTGGCTATCTGGGACTTATTGCTTGAGCTGGACTCCCATATTCAGTTTTGGGCCCGGTAGCCAGATGGGCTCAATGAGCTCAGATATCACTCTTTGGAAGCCTATGGCCTCGTAAGTGGTAACCGCAATTTCACTTCCTATTCTGATGAGAGTGAATAGTAAAAATGGACTTGCACTGTTTCACAGTTAGAACAATACAATTAAACTTTTGCTGTATTATGGACTTATGGTAGAAAATACTGTACCGGGATCATTTTACAGTTTAAATTAGTTCTATCACGCAGTTTTTTCCATCATTTTCTGAAGTTTACGGTAAGAACCTTGACAACCAAAATGCTGGTCCAATTTGTGTCTTTATCAGAATATATATATATATGATCCATGCTTACGGTCGGGTTTAAGGTCATTTGTACTTATAAGTTACATTCCTGCATAGTACAGTGTTCAACCGTTTGATTCTGATTGTAGTTTAAGGTTGAAGTAGTGTATTCTACCGTGCAATTATTGCCACCTCTGATTCAAGGTAAGACGCCCATGTTCAGGCCAGAGCACCCACTGATTTGCACAAACCAGAAGACATTCCCCAGAAACCCCAATGATGAGATAGATACACAAGGATAGAAAATCGTTATACAGATGCAAGAACATTCTAGTGTCTTTAATACAGTTTCCAATTTTATGTACAACCAGAAGAATCAATGAATGTTACATTGAGAATGGCAAAGAGAAACCAATTCTCACATAACAGATTCCATTAATACACAGTATTTACCAATTGTCTTTTACAATTTTAGACTTCTCAAGTATGAACTTCCCTTCTTTGTACTTCTGAGATGACTCGTAAGCTCTTTCATACTTCCAGCCTAATACCTCCCGGCAATCGCCGCAATGTACATCAGCCACAGTGTGAAGTCCGGTGATTAGTCTTCTATCTTCTTTAGCTCCCACAACAATGTTCATTGTGTGAGAAAACAGAAATGCTCTCCCACTTCTCCCCTGCAAATACGCCAACTCAATAAAAGACCTTTTGGACATTTTCGGGATTAGCCTAGACATTGTATATCACTGAATGATGGATCTTTTGAAATTACAAATACAGGAGAATCTGTAATCCTATGTTTCATTGAATGAAATGAAACTGCAAGTCCCATTGTCCCAAAGGCCCAAAATCCATGTGTGTTTCTATCGAGATTGGTGATCATTCACCTTGATTGGAAAACAAAGAGGGTTCCTTATTGTTCAAAGGTCAGAATTCAAAACTTTTAAGAAAGAATTTACAGTGCATTTTACTGTAAACCAAAAAAAAGGAATCTCTTTCCAATCAGATTCGTGTTTGTTCAATTTCAGTATCCAGCAATTATATCTAATTGATAATTATAAAAAAAAAAAACCATGATAAAACTTGTTACCAGCTACGAATTTATCCGGTTAAAATAAGTAATCCATTTCAGAAGAGAATTTAGCAAGCATATCATTTGGATAAATCTTCATACATACAGAAAGCTGAAGAACCGAACCAAATATGCACCTGAAAAGCCTTTGAGATTATGTCATCGTGAAAAGATACATGATTTTTGCACTTATAGCAGCTATACAGCCGAGGTCCGAATCCTCCACCCATTTCATCATCCATGAATTACAAATTCTGAAACAGGGGAAGCGAAATATCAACAAAATTGAAGAGACAGGAAATAGATGCAGAAATCAAAAGGCCCACATGGGAAAAGATCGAACTTTTAACCCTGAATATAGAGAGTCTTCTGCTCTAATCCAAAACCAAAAGAAAAGATAAGAACCACCCGCTAAAGCTGTTGGCGTGTAAGAATCAATATGGATTAGATGTTAGTAAAAGAAAAAAAAAAAAAGATTCAATTAGTGTTCATAAACGTACAAACCTTTAATTAATAAATTAATAAAGTGTGACGTTTGACATGGACAGGATTGATTAAACTTGTTAACAACTTATTTAAGTAACCATCAAGACCTTTTGTGTTTTTGAAGGGTGAGAAAAGAATCCTAGTGAAAACTTCCCAGTTTCTACCAAGAAAACTAAAGGGCAACCCAACTATCTAGAATTAGGGAATCGGGGTAAGAATCTGAGCTGTAAAATGTGTTCATCCAAATTGGATGTTACCTCTAGACAAAAAAGTAAAAAACAAAAAAAAAAAGACGAATTAAAAGTTCCGAATACTTGCCTTGAGGCCTCCCACCTAACCCAGTACCCCACCACTGAGTCGTGAAATTAATTTTTATAATTGGGACTTTTTTTTAAAAAAAAAAAAAAAAAACCACATAAAATTGGGACCAAGAAGAAGGTTCTACTGAATACTTGTAATAATAGCACTGAGCCCGGCATTTGTCATTGTACCCACTCTCCATTGTTTAGGAAATTACTAGTTCCTTGAGTGTTGAGACGGAGGACATAAAGGATAGAGGAGATTAAGGCACATATTTACTATGGAGGAAAATTTCGAAGACTGATCTCGGGAAGCTTTGTTAGGAGAGTAGTTTGGGCTTACTTTACGTTCTCATATTGTGTGAAATTTCAATTTATTTAAAAACATCAATTTAAAAGGAAAAAAAAAGAAAAAAAAGGAATTCCTTCCATCTTTTGTTTTCGGCTACATGGCAAGTTGTTTTGTCCAATATTTTTGGCTTAGGCCAGCGAATTTATCCTTTTTGGGCCTAGACCGGTCAGGCCCTTGAGCACATAAATGAAATCTCTTAGAAAATTCAAGTCCAACATGATGTGATACTTGCCCCCACTCCCTCCAGTATGAATTATTTTCTGTTTCCGCTCTGGGTTTATTTACAGTAATATTGGGCATTTGGGCTGTTTTTTTTTTAGTTGTACGTACATGACATCATGAATAACTATATGGGTCCAATTTTGTTTTTTTGGAAAATGATATGTATAGTGAATAAAAATAATTAAAAAAAAAAAAGATAGTGAGTGATATGGAGTATTATTGGTCTTTAATTTTTTGTCATTTTCTCCGTTAAAATTGTTTTTTTTTAAAATTACATTTTTACCCTTAATTAATAAGAACATATATTTATTGAAGATGGTGTATTTGTCTTTTCATTGGTCATTATTCTATTTCACTAATTTGTCACTGTCTCTCTCATTGGTTTTTTTTTTTTTCAATTAGTGAAGAAAAGAAACTTTGTAAGAAATGCGTTTTAAATAGATAACGCATATGATTTGCCAGCATACTAAACAGAACTGTAATATCGTGGCGGATGATTTGACAAAGTTCGGGTTCTCATACACCGTTAGGAATCATAATTTGTCAACGTTGAGTCTAAAAGAAGATAGGACTATATCATCCTTCTCTTTAGGGATGTTTTGTAATTCATAAGCCTTTGGACTCCTTCGTATATTAAAAAAAAAAAAGAAAAAAGAACAAAACAAAACAAAACAGACAACGTATCTTTTAAAAGGCTCCTGTATGATGAAATTTCTGTACAAATATTCATTAAAATTTACAAAAACATGCCTAACCACAAGTAATGTTACACTCTTTTATAAAATGCAAAACCATCTTAATTAACATCTAAAATGTTTCGTTTCTTCATTAGCCTTTCTACAGAGTAAACTCCCCAAGTGTGTCTTCTTCTTCATTATCGCGGATTCGCAAACTGAGGCTAGCTAAAGGTTTGCTGTTCCAAGACTACCCTCGAACCAGAAGATCTTATCCCATATTATCCCGTGGTAGTAATAAAAATTAAAAAGACTAAACGAAGTTGGAGTTTCTTGAATCTTGATCATCGTCTATCTAATGAAGGACAAATACTTGTCTTCATGGACACCTACCCTCTACATTAACAAAAGTTCAAAAATCTTATTCCCTAATTCCATTGGTGGGCCCACCCTTACAAATTACAATGAAAACATCATGGCCAATGCACGTTAAAGACAAAAACTGTGGAGTCATTTTCAGTTAGAGTTGGTAGTGAATACTTGAAAGAGAAATCCATCGGCTTTTCTACACTAAGTGTCCAATTTGATGAACCCACCGATTAGGTTTTGAACCATCGATCCATGTAGATGAATTTGATCTTCCACTGTTTTGATAGTACAAATAAAATTTTTTTAAAAAATTGCGTTACATCAATATTTGTCCTTGGTACGTAGTTTGTACTCACCAGCTACTAACAACAGTACAACACTAAAGGCACTATTCGTTTAAATTCAATGAACATAATTTATGGCCGCGGATTCGGTTTTAATTAACCACAACCGGAACTGCCGTTGTTTTTCTTCTAAACTCCCTTAACTAAAGCCACTATTTGTTTCTTTTTACCGACATATTGGAGATAGTAAGATGAAAATCACTAACTCTGTTAAGAAAGTAACACGTGTTATTTTTTAAAATTTTTATAATTCTTCCTTTTGACTAACTTTGGACTCCAAATTAAAAGAACTCATCCTAATTAAGCATATTAGTACTTTATTGTCACCCACTAAGAAAGTTCCACATCCTTTGTTATATTTGAAAACGCTACCGTTCAATTTGGTGATTTTGGTTCAATTAGCAGGAAATGCAGGACGATAATCATTAACCAAAACTAGCAGGAAATGCAGGACGATAATCATTAACCAAAACTTTAATGAAAACGAGATTGGAATTCTGGGGAAAGTGGGTCATCTCTGTCTTGAAGATTTTAAGCAATTCCGATGGCCTCCCTGAAGCTGGTGTTGACACCTGTTATGGATAGGCCAAGATGAGATGGAGATGTGCCCTTCACTGAGTTTCGTATTGTAAGAGCTCCCCCCCTTCAAAATAAGGACAGGACAGCGGACCATGCCAATATTCCAACGGCACTTCACTTCCAACTTCAACTTCAAAACGAAGACCACTTTGTTGACAATGGCTCCTCATTATTAAACACATTCGCACCAACAGTAGTAAGTAATGATCTTTTTACTTACCTTGCATGTGCAAGGTAAATCGAGCGTGTTGAATTTAATAACTTTGTGATTTACTTTTGATTTATAAAGCTCAAGCATATTTTGTCGATATTAGGCGGCAATGTCCCCAGGTCTTTTTCAGCTCATGAAATGTGCTCCAAAGGTTCAATCAAGCCCTGAAGATATAAAACTAGCTATAATTAGTTTGACTGGGGAACGTTCATCCATATACGACATGCTCCAAGAATCGTATGGGAAACAAATAGATATGGTAACCATGATGATTATAATTAATAATCGCTTCTCACGTACTCTATATGTATTGCTTTGCTCTTAATAACTACAGTACATTAAATCAGCTAAATTTTGGGTTACTAAAGTATATTCATTCGTTCAATTCCGAAAAAAGACCAACGGTTAAGATTAAATAACAACAACAATCCACTTTTTCTTTCTGGACGCAACATTCAGCTAATTATAAAGAAGTCTACAACACAACAGAGACACGTAGCACAATAGCAAACGAACAAATAAGCAAATTCATTGGAGCAAGACTGCCACGACAATAGCAATTAAAATAGACCCCTCCTTCCCAAAACCTGCTGAATTCATTGCCATCTTCCAGGAAGAAATTGACAAAACATCCCCAAAATTGACCATCAACAAATATATTTGTTATCGTCCCAAAAAAACCTTTCTTTGGTAGAAGTTAGTTTGCTGCTTTAATGACTGATCTTGAGTCCTTCGACTCAGTTAATGAATATCTCTTAACCTAAAACCGAATAATAATACACACACGTATAACGTTATTTTTCTAAAGATCTTCCCAGTGCTCTAAATCAGCACCTGCGACACGTAAACTATATGTTTGGCCTCGGCCAGACTTTAGTCGTGAATTCAATTATGCACGGTTGCGACTATACAAAAATCTCTGGTCTGAAAAATGGGCAGAGGAAAGTGGGACGATAAAAGAGTTCCATCAAGGCAAGTTCCCATATATATCCCTTACTCCTCTCAAACGTCAAATACAGTTAACTTCCATCATTAGATTATCAAGAAGATTATGCAAAAGTCACAATCAAGATATGAATTCAGAAAAAAAAAAGAAAGTTTGAAATTGCTGTACACAAATTTAGCCGTCGAACTGTGTTCACGAAAGCAACCACGTAGCTCTTACCACATATTACAACACTACACATTTTGTCGTTAAGCCCACATATCCCAAAAAAAAAAAAAACATTAACCTAGGATAATTAGCATTATATATAATAGTAATAAAACCCAAAAGACTAGATCCAGAAACAGAGAAACATCATGGAAGAAACAAGCTACTGCTCAGAACATGAACTTCAAGATGCTGCTAATAACAACCTTTCCTCTCCTTCCACTGGCAGATCAGCCCAAGATTCTTTCCAAACTCCGAGGAAAAAGAAAAGTGACAACAGTATTAATGCTAAAAGGTTCAGCCATGAACAAGTGAAGTCGCTGGAGTCCATGTTTCATAGAGGGGCGAAGCTGGAGCCCAAGAACAAGCTTCAACTTGCTAAAGATCTGGGGTTGCAGCCCCGCCAAGTGTCCATCTGGTTTCAGAACAAACGAGCTCGCTGGAAATCAAAGAAAATGGAGCAAGAGTATGGAGTTCTCAAGGCTGATTTTGATTCTCTAAGCCAGCAATACGAGTCCTTGAAGAAAGAACACGATTCTCTGCTTCAACAGGTGAGGCTTTTCCTTTTAATTTTCCTTCTTAACTTCTCCTTTTTTCTTAATGCAAATAGAGAATGATTAGTAGTTGTAATTGTCAGACAAAAACTTAAAACTGTCCAAATGATACATGTTCACAACTGGATGCTAATTGGGCAACAAAATTACCATTAAAAAGTTTGTAATTTGATTGATGAATTCCGTGAGAGAAATTTCTAACTCCACGGGAAAAAAACAAAGTAAATTCTTGATTTTGTAATTGGGACTTCAATTGGGCAACAAAAACAAAGTGCCAGTGTTTGGTATTATTAATGACCCTTTACTATAATTTTTACAGTTGGGCAGATTGAATAGTCTACTAGAAAACCCGGATAGAAAGCAGAGTAGTAGTAGCAGAGACTGTAGTGAAAATGCGGCTCCAGTAATCACAGCAGAACTGAATTCTGAAGGAGAAGATCAGAGGCATGAGGCGGAGGAGGAGGAGGCGAAAATGGAGTCCAATATGAATAACAGGGAGAAGGTTTATGGCATCATTGATGAAGACGATGGAGGATACTGGAACAGAGGAACAAGAGAGCAATTAGAAGATCAAGAGGGGGAATGCAGCATGATGAGCTTGTCTGATGATCAAGAACAAGATAGTGTTGGTTGGAAAGTTGGACGGAAGCAGTGGTGCAGTTTTGTCCCCGGTGGAATCTTGGATGATCCTTCTTGTCCTTCTAGTTGGTGGGATTTCTGAAACAAAAATAAATAACAATCTTTTCTGTTTTCTTTTGTTTTTTGTTTTTTGTTTTTTTGTTTCTGGTTAGCAAAACAATGGGGGTATGATTGCTCCAATAATGAGGATGATAATTCGAGGATGAATGATGTTTGGAACTTCTCAACTTTAAGAAAACAAAATAATCTAGAAGGTAGTCGAGTTCGTGTAATATGTCTGCGGGACTAGGTATATTGAGTTGGAGTGGAGGATTTCGTGTCTAGATGTTAATAGTTGCTTAGCGAATCTAACATAATTTTAGGTGTACTGATGATTTCCATGTGTGCGTTTGTGTTAATTGCTAGTAATAAACAATATCCATGCTTACCACTTCACATCCAATTACAATTTAGCGTTACAAACGACACTATCCTCTATGTGGTAAAATGTTTGTATAAGAAGTTGCTCCAGAAAACTTGATTCCTTTCTAGGGAATATTGGCTAATGCATACCAACGATTATCCTCTGCTAATTAAATCATCAAAAACTTTTAAAATTAAGTGATTATATTTCAAAATTTTTAAAATTGAGCCCGATCATTCTATTGACCTGAAACAACACAAAATTAACCTCATACAACATGTGAAAATTGGTATTTTCTCTCTCTGTCTCTTTCTCTCTCTCTCTCTTAATTTTTGATAAATTTTTTCCAAACCTAATTATAACCTTATCATGAGGAAATAATTGGTTTTTTATTTCTTATTATTTATTTTTGGGTTAATTCATTAAACCCCCTGTGGTATTCAAAAGTACATGATAACCCCTTTGTGATGTAATATTATCTAATGAACCTCATTGTGCTTTGTCCGACATTTGTAAAGGGATGGAAAGGGTTAAAGACAACCGTGATTACATCTCACAAACGAAACTTGCAAGTTGGCTTTGTAAATATAATTTGACTTATAATTTTAATACCCAAAGAACCCTTCATCCTATATGTATCTCCCTCTTTTTTCTCTTTTATCATCATAGCCGCCAGATTCTATCTACACAACTTGTCAGAGCTTCAGTCTCGGGCTCTCTCATCTATCATTCTTCTTTTATTTCCTCTTTTTTCATCTCTCTTTCTCGTATCAATTTTAAAAAGAAAAAAAAACCTTATTAGTTCTTGTTTAATTGTAATTGGATTGTTGCTAAGTAATTTTATTGCAGTCATGAGTATTCATAGTTCTACGGATACATTTGGAGATCATCATCTTGAATTTATGATTTTAATAATTGTAATTGTAGTAAAATTTGAAATTTCGGTTAAAGAGAATAAAAAATAATGAGTAAAAATTTAATATGGATAAATTATCAAGTTTGGAAAAAATGCAATATATGTTGTAAGCATAAAGATAAAACAAGAAACTAATGATGAATATCCTCTGGATCATGTTTCTGGCCTTCTCGAGAAGAAGGAAAAAAAAAGAACCCAAGGATTAAACATTAAGGAAAAAGAAAATGTGAAAAAAATAATAATTATAAAAAAGGGAAAAATAGGCCAAAATAAAAGGGGTAAAACGGAAAACACAGTTTATAGTGTTAACTTTAACAAGTGACATCCATATTATAAATCTCGAATTAAGCACAAGGAGGTTTATCAGATAAATTTATACCACAAGAGGGTTGTCTTGTAGTTTCAGATACCACCCGGGAGAGGGGTTATGAATAAACCCTTTATTTTTTAATATCTAAATAATGCAGTGGATTTTGATTTTATCTGTTTCAAACATAAATTGAAACCTTTATTTACGTTTGGATCTTTTTTCAGTCAGTATGTGCTTTTAGGTATTTTTTGTATTGAAATTGTAAAAATGTATGGTAGAAATGTAAAAGATATGCTGAAATTGGATATTTATTAATAAACTATTACGAAAAAACCATTGAAAAGTTTCAAACAGATTGAAAACCGATGTTTTGTTCAGTAATGGTAACAGTATTGGGAGAGATGAGGCCATGGAATGACATAATTAACCAGACTAAAATAAAAAAATTAAAAAATTAAAAAGGAATAATTGGCAAAAGAAACAAACATCGAACTAAGTAAATTATGAAATTAAGTAAAATTTACATGTTACTGCAGGTTAACAATAGATCATGGGATGGTTGCACTCAATTTAAAAAATCTTGGGATATATTAATTCAATTTTAAAAATTTAGGATGAATTGGCTAGTTGAGGATAAACGTTGTAATGTTATCCGTCAATATTTTCTTTAGTTTTTTATATAATTTGTCAGACAAAGGGAAGGATGATACTGGATACCAATATTTTCCTATCTCCTTATAGGTTTTGCTAATTTTTCAACCGACAGAATAAAATTTCAAATTAGGCTTTAGCATCTGTAATCAGGTCTAAGAGAAGCAGGAATTCATCAGTTCAACGTTAAAATTGCAAGGTTCATTTTCTTTAATGTATACAACGTGGCCAAGTTTGAAAAGAAAGCCATTTCAGGTACAACAGTGACCTGTATGAAACCTACAATTCTACGTGATAAAAAGTGATAACGACATTCCCTGATTATGATGATTACAAAAGATGGGATAAGTTGAAAAAGAAAAAATAAGATAAATGCGCGATATTTGGAACAAGGGACAAAGATACAAGTAAATAAATTGTAACGGATCTAGACATGTGACGGTTTGGCCGAGTGGTCTAAGGCGCCAGATTTAGGCTCTGGTCCGAAAGGGCGTGGGTTCAAATCCCACAGCCGTCAATGTTTTGCGTTTTTTTTCCGTTTTAAGTTTAATGGTAATTTCACGAGTACTATTATTAGTTTTTACCTTTTCTTTTTTTGCCTCCTCATTTAAAAATTATTGCAACCAAAAAAAAAAAAAACTAAAATCTAGAAAGCACACACACACAATGTTAGTCATATCCAGGTGTCCACTCCAGACTTCACCACCTAACCACTACGACAAAAAACGTGGCAAAGCCTCAATAAGGGGACTATGAAAGAAAAGAGAAGTGAACCTAATTCACCTCAAAGTACTTCTACTGTTCAAGTAGTACCATTTTGTGTTCGGCCGCAGGAACATCATACCAACAAGGAAATGGCAGCAAATGAGGATTGGAGAAAAAATGCAGATACACACAAGATGAGTCCAGAGGATGTGAAAAGGGCTGGGTTGGAAGGCTCAAAAAGGCCACCAGGACAAAATCCAGGTGGTATTTTGCATCAGAGGCGAAGCCTGCCTTACAGCCCAATGACAATGGCTTTAATTGGGTTAGCCATAACTGGTTCCATCGCTTACTTCACTCTCTACTCCAAAAAGAAGCCGGAAGCCACCGCCGGAGATGTTGCTAGAGTGGCCACAAATACTGCCGACCCTGCTGACACTCGTCCCCGCAAGTAGACGACTTCCCTTTTTTTTTTTTTGGCTCAAATGTGTAATAAATATTTAGTTTAATTCCTTTTCTTTCCTATGTACTAATAAGAGTCTTATTTTCCCTTTTTATTTGTTGTGTTGTAGTGCTTATTTCCATTTTTAATCATTTAGAAACTCAAAGAAATGCAAATTTATGTGCACAGAAGATGAAGTATAAAAAAAAAAAAAAAATTTAAATTGCGATATGATATGGAAGATTTATGGGCATGGATAACGATGGAATTTCATGTGTGACAACTTTGGTTACCCAACTTGAAACTTGTTAGTTGTAGACAAATGTCATCACTGATGAAGTTTGCGGGTACATATATGTAGTATCATGGATAGAATTGGGATTTGATAAAATTCTAGAAATTCTCTTGTATACACACTTTCGAGAACCCCCTTACAAAATGTTGAATTGATCCGAGTAAAAAATGCAAAAATAAAATATTTCTTGATACAATGAGACTTTTGAAAACGAGCTTACTACAGTTGTAAAAGTAATCCCCTATTACATCAAAAAAAAAAAAGAAATATTAAGGTGAACTGGAAAAAAATTGGGAGGGCAAAGTTGGAAAAGCTCTTTTACCGTTGGATCTTTAGCCAGTGAAGAGAAAAGAAAATTAGGAGTCGAAACACAGCCAACACAGCATTATCCACAGTCCACACCCAGATTTGTTACCCTGCTGGCTACCTGAATCTCAATTCTCAATCTGGAGCCCGAATGCCAATTCCGTCATCCATGGCGGCAGCATCACAATTCAATGTCACCGGTACCATAATTGCTTCCAATACACCCTCGTCATCGTTTTCCACCTCGCGAAACTTTAAAGTAGCCGCAGCTCTCAAACTCAGTTTCCCTCCTCGCATATGGCCTTGGGAAAAGGTACTAGGGATGTCGAAATCCTTTCACTAAATTAGTCTCATTAGGGGTTGTTGATTAATGGGATTTCCCCTGCTAATCAATCGTAGGTGAAGGCGGGCCCACTCAGTGTTTCACCTATGGGATTTGGGACTTGGGCATGGGGGAACCAGCTCTTATGGGGTTACCAAGAATCAATGGATTCTGAGCTTCAGGAAACTTTCAATCTTGCCCTGCTCAATGGTGTTAATTTATTCGATACTGCTGATTCCTATGGTATTGGGAGGCTGGTTGGCCAAAGCGAAAAGCTGCTTGGCAAATTCATCCGTGAATTCCCAGGTTGGTTTGTTTCGTTGCCACGTTATTGGACTTTGTGGTGATCGTCGTCCTTTCATTAGCACAAAGTCATGATCGAACTGTTTGACCTATTTTCACATTGATTTTTATCATAGAATTCAGTGCTTTAGATGCCAAAGATGTACAAATAGAGATTTTGATGCTTTTAGCTGTTGTTTCTTTGTTTACTCTGCTATGGAGCAAGGATTGATGCTTGTGAATCTTCAGCATTATTTACTTCTTTATTTTCTAAACCCTTCAGGGAAAAAGTCAGTGGAAGATGACATCGTCATAGCAACAAAGCTTGCAGCATATCCATGGCGCTTAACTCCTGGACAATTTGTGGATGCTTGCCAGTGTGCTTTCTATTCTTTATTTCATTTGTGTAATGATTTCCAGTTTTCTTTCCCTGGAGTATTCACAAGGATTCTGTTAAATACTTTCCAGGGCCTCATTGGATAGGTTGCAAATAAAGCAAATAGGGATCGGACAGCTGCATTGGTCGACTGCAAATTATGCTCCGCTTCAAGAGCGTGCTCTATGGGATGGTTTAGTGGCAATGTATGAGAAGGTTACAATTGATGGTTTTGTGGTTCTACTCTCCTGAATGCAATATGCTTGATTCATTGATCACTGTCGGCACTTATGGACTAATTGTTTACTGCTTACTGGGTGCACTTTCTGTCAGTCTTTGCTGCTTATGATTCCATAATGACATGGATGAATATATCGTGTAATGAATGATGCAGGGTTTAGTACGAGCTGTTGGTGTGAGCAATTACGGGCCCAAACAACTGCTGAAAATTCACGAGTACCTTAAAGCCCGAGGAGTTCCATTATGTTCAGCACAGGTGCTCTTCTCTTTGTGATTTCTGCTTCAGTTGTTGTAGGAAAAATAATTGCTGTCTTCCATATTAGGCCTTTTTACTTGGAAGCATACTGTTCAGCAAACTGTTCAGTTCCTCGTTGGATATTGTTTGTTGGTTGTGAAATTATTATCCTCCATATTAGGCCACACTACTTGGAACCTTACATTTAGCAATTTACATCAATTCCTTGTTTTAAATTGTTGGTCGGTTTTTTGTGCATAAGCTGCAAGACAACTGAAAATCTTGCGAATCATGTTGCAACATGAGTAGAAATTTAGGCTAGTCTGTAAACTAAACCTTGGAACAACTAGGCTTTGCTGGTTGTTTCAGACTTTGGGTTGTAAATGAAATGCTGTAACAGGAACTGAATGGAAAATGAAAAAGAAACCAACCAATCATTTATGCAAACATCAGAATGCCAATGTACGTTACTAGTAGCAGAATTTGAATGATTTTTTATTCAGGTCCAGTTTTCACTTCTGAGCATGGGAAGGGACCAAATGGAGATCAAGAGCGTTTGTAACTCGCTGGGTATCAGATTGATTTCCTATAGTCCTCTGGGACTTGGGATGCTAACTGGGAAATACAGCCCCTCCAATCTTCCGAAAGGACCTAGGTACAATAACCTTTATTTCCCTGCTTGAACTATGAGATAGAAGAATGTGATTGATTTTTTTCAGCATACATTTTCTGGCAATTACATACTACTGAAGATGCTCTTGCTGCAATTCATGTAGGGGACTATTGTTCCGACAAATCCTACCTGGACTGGAGCCTTTATTGGTTTCATTGCAAGAAATTGCCGAAAAAAGAAGGAAAACGATGTCACAGGTGAATATTCCCTGGTTTAACAGCTTCATTGTATCATGTGTGAATATTCCCTGGTTTAATTAGGGCATCAGGGATAAGCCAAGTGTGGAAATTACACAGTCGGTACCTTATGCCAGGAAAAAATGGATGACAATAATAACAAAGCCTTCATTCTATTAAGTAGAATCTATTATGTTGGGTCAAATGGGTGCATCATATGCTGTTATCATGCATATGAAGTGGAAAAAAATCAAAAGTCTAAACCTTAAGAGTCCATTGAACTGGAAAGAGGAAGCATTAGTGTCATTTTTCACTTGTGGTAACCAGAACTTTTGATGAGGATGAAAATATTCAGGGAGCTGTATGTAGTTCTGCGTCCTTTGATATTCAAGTTATTGGCAGGTTGCTATAAACTGGTGCATCTGCAAGGGGACAATTCCGATTCCGGGAGTGAAATCAGTCAAACAGGTCGAGGAAAATCTAGGAGCCCTAGGGTGGCGACTAACTTCGGATGAGGTACTTCAGTTGGAAGACAGTGCGCTGGAATCTCCTCGCAAGATGATACAGAACATTTTCCAAACAAGGTGATCCAATCCCATGATCATTTCTTGTTCTATTACCTACGATGATGACTGAAAAAGCTGAGGAGGCCAGTTACTTTTTGGATTTTTCCCTATCATCACATTCCTTATTACTTGAAAAAAAGAGAGCAAAATAGTCAAAGAAGCGTCAAAACAAAAGAGAGGACGTAGAATTCGATGCATAAAGGTAAAGTTGATATGATTTCACCAACCATTTTGCTAGTGTGAGTGTGTAACAATAGCAAACTGACATTTAAGAAGACCATTTAAGGATGCTAACTTTGTTGAGATGAACTCACAAGAGCACTAAGATTGAAATTTGAAACCGGATCCTAAAAGAAAATATATACGTGGTTCACTTTGGAGCAGAAAAAAGTTGAAACTAAATCCGTCAATAGTACTAACTATTGACCAGTGATCACTATGCGATTATTAATTACGGGGTTAACTGGAAAACGCCACGCATTTAATGTCTCTAGTACGGTACAGAATCTAGAAAAGAAAAATCAGGGTTCCTCATGAGCTCAGCAATCAAACTCAGAAATCACAATCAAAGCTCCCAATCCAGAAGTCACACAACATACCCTTTCCCGTTTGCATCCACCGACCGACTAATGAATTGACACACGAAACAACGCTGGTAGCATCTATCGTCGGCCACCTGTGTGACTTGCCGCCTCCACGTTAACCCCTCCACTTAATTTCAACACTAAAACAAACTCTAATCTTCAACCGACCCACCAATTCCTTTGCTCTATCTGACAAATCACGTCACCACAACTGCTGCCGGGACTATCCAGTCATCTCAATTCCCCACTCTGCAGTCTGCATTACTTAGGATCCCACTCTACTTTACTTAAATGGGTACCTTCTCTCGTCTCATCCCGTCGGTTTCTTTTCCTCTATCGACCAAACCAACATCTTCGTCTTTGTCGCTTCCGTCCATAGGCATAAATTATTATTATTATTATAATTATTCTGAATTCGAGTAAGCAAGGGTTTGTGACAAGAAAAGCATCATCATCGATGGCCGCGGCGCAGCAGCAGGGTAAAGGCAAAGCCAGGCCCAGGGTACAGGTGTTTGAGTCGGAGGAGGCCCTGGCGGTGGCCTTGGCTGATTACGTCAGGCACTTGTCCTGTCAGTATGTGGAAGAAAAGGGTGCCTTCACGGTTGCTTTATCCGGTGGCTCTCTGATTCGGTCTCTCAGGAAATTAGTGGAACCGGCTTTTGTTGGTTCAGTGGATTGGTCCAAATGGCACGTCTTCTGGGTCGACGAGCGAGTTGTTCCTAAAGATCACGCTGATAGCAATTACTTCCTGGCTTATAACCATTTCTTATCCAAGGTAATTTATAAATGGATGTCTATGAAATCCTTCTTTCTGGTTAAAATTACATTAGTTTGCGATTTTTGAACCTGCCATATTGCCCTGGCTTTTTCATACCATCCCTAGTTCTGTAAGTATTTTGTCAACAAAAGCCCTTCAAATTTCTCTTGTTAATTATCATCTGCAGATACCAATTCCGGCTGGAAACGTATACACGATGAATGATGCATTGTCGGCTGAGGCAGCCGCGGATGACTACGAGACCTTCCTCAAGCATCTGGTTAAGACCAATGCTCTGCAGGAATCCAATGATACCGGCTTTCCGAAATTTGATCTCGTGCTTTTGGGGATGGGGCCAGATGGACATATTGCCTCTCTTTTCCCAGGACATCAACTCCTGGATGAGAATAAAAGATGGGTTAGTTTTTTGAAGGACTCGCCCAAACCTCCGCCGGAGAGGATCACCTTCACGTTACCAGTTCTGAATTCTTCTGCAAATGTGGCCCTTGTCGTGGCGGGACAAGCAAAAGCTGAAGCTGTTCGTGAGGCACTGGGGGAGGGTGATCACGAGGTGGCAGCCCGCCGGCTGCCGGTGAAAATGGTGTCCCCTGAAGAAGGGATGTTGAGTTGGTTCTTGGACAAGGGAGCAGCATCAAAACTTGATTCAAGCTGATTCATCAAACCTGATTGGTGATCACATGTTTGTTGCTGGGGAAAGCTTTTTATTCTTTGCAGTCTCAGCAATCCAATCCAGGCAAAAGGAGTGTAATTTGCTTTGTATGTTTTGAGTGTGCCCTTTTTCCCTGGTTTCTATGGTCTCATTTTTGTAATATAGTGAGCCTGTATATGCTCAAGTTATGTTTAAATAAAATGATCTATTTTGTTGGATTGATGATTAGGGAGGAAGGTTTGAGAAAGATGTACTAATAATTTTGTAACATTTCAGGTCTTAGTCCTTTTTTGGGCAACACATCAAATTTGGGATCACTCTTCAACCAATCCCCAAGGTCCCTTTTCCTGCCGGGGTAGTTAGGTCATTGCCTCTAGGAGTCTATACTTTATTAAGATTATATCAATTGTAAAAGTTGCCTAATTAAAATCTCCAAACCCCTTATTTCAAAAATATATGAATAAATATCTCCAATGCACCTTTGTGGCGAGTGAAATTAGAGCTTTAAAATTTGCCTCATTAATGAGTTGGGGTTTTAATGTTGAGGCATGCTTGAACTCTTTCAGTCCCAAGAAGAATAATACGTAATATAACTCATTAATTTCTTTGGGTAGGAAAAAAGATAACGAAATTGCAGTTCCAAAAAAATATGAAAATTCCAGTTTCAAATCACATAAATTACAACACCTTGATCCAAAGTCCAAACAAGTAAAGAACCAATATTCAAATTATAAAATTAAATCCAAATTACAAACTTCTGCTATATAGAAAAATATAAAAACACGGAACCAATACTAAAATTTCTGAAAACTAAAATCATATTTTCCGAACGCCGGAGCTTTTTAACTGAAAGTCACAGATCAGATGTCCCATTTATCAGATCTTTCAGGAAAGGTTTCAATTGAAGGGAAAATTAAAAGAAAACAAAAAAAAAAGAAAAAGAAACGAAAAAAGGAGAGAAGAGAAGAGGTGGCCGCCGGTCCAGCGAGAGAGAGAGGAAGAGAGAAAAGAAAAAGAAACACAAAAAAAAAAAGAGGAGAGAGAAGAAGAGGCGGCCGCCGGCCGAGCGAGAGGAAGAGGAAGAGAGGAAAAAAAAGAAAAAAAAAGAGGAGTGAGGAGAAGAGTGGCCGAGAGAAATGGAAGAGGGGTACATATATGGGGTAAAATTAGGATTATTTTGTTACGAAATTCCCAAATTGCCCTTATAGTATACAAAATTTACATGTTCGCAGGTAATCTGTCGGGTTGACCCTAACCCGACTCGTATATTAAACGGGTCTAAATTTTCAACCCTAACCCGACCTGTTTAATATGCGTGTCGTGTTCGTGTCGGATCATTTCGTGTTGGGTTCGTGTCGGATCATTTCGTGTTGGGTTCGTGTCGAAATTCCGAATCGTGTCAAAGATTGACAGCCTTACGAAAAATAATCTCATTATAAAGTGAGTAGTAATTCATCATAGATTTGTCTTGTCTCCGAGGTTAGGTACCGTAGGACAAACATTGTTTTGTACGAGTAGGCTGCTTTTTGGCCCATTCTTTCTTTGGACGATTAGGCTTTGTTCCCCCCCCCGGAGAATTCACATGGGAAAATGGGGCAGTTCCTTGTGGCTAAAATCTTTTTTTTGGGTTTTTATGATGGATTTGAATGGGAAGATCTTCTTATTAATATCGATCCTTTTAGTTTTTGAAGTTTTCATGTCTCTTGCTCACTTTCGTGATAGTGTATAGGAAGGAACGAGCGTTAATTATTATAATAAGAACGAAAAGGTTGGTTCCAACTTCCAACACAAACAATTAGTCTTCATATCTTGTTGTTGGATAAATTCATATCGGGTCGCCCAATGTGCCTTTGTAAATAAGTCGTCCATCCCACTTTGCGCTACCCTTCATTTGAGTTATTGTAACAATTTCGCCTAGAAAAAAAAAAAGAAAATCTCACATCGGATCAACAGAATATCAAACACACAATAGAAGCTGGAATGAACTCATTTTACTATAAAACTCCTCAAATCATCTTTCTTCTCACTTAAAAAAAAAAAGAAAAAGAAAAAAAGTGACTTAAGAATTTGATTTAGTCTCTGTTTGATCTAGACTTGATTAATATGTCTTGTTGGGTTTGTGTTAACACTTGGTTGTGTTCATTACTCGTTAATTAAGGATTTGGAATGTGTATGTGGATGGCTTCACATATTCACATCTAGATACATTAATTTAATATTGTACGCCTAAATCCCCAGCAAAAATTTACTTATGTTTCGTTCCTTGTCTCATCTCTTTCATCAACTTTTAGTAACACCAGCAGGAATTTATGCACTAATTCTGTAATCATTTTGAAATAGAAAAGCCTGAAAAAACTGTAATCTCTCTCTTTTTTTTTTCTTTTTTTTTTTTGATGAAGAAGAAGAAGAAAAAGAAAAAACTGTATTCTAGGGCAAGTTGAATTTGTCTACATAAATATTCATCCAAAAAAAAGAAATAAATAAAAACCTAAATAAACGTTACAGGTGTTTATTACTATGATGATGATGATGATGATAATGAGTACATTAGTTTAGACTTTAGAATGCCAAACCCTTTGTGTTTGTTTCGGTTGGAGAAATGTGAATCAGAAAAGTCAGAAAAGGGTTAACCCCTCTGATGATCTTTTCCCTTTTTCCAGTAGGCATGCCAAGAAACAGTCAATACTGTCATGAATTCAAAGGGCTACCAACCGATACCGGACGCACAACATTTCTATCCTTTTTTTTTTCTTTTTTTTCCCGATCCGGGTGTATCATATATGGAGTATTATTACTCCCTCCGTCCCATAATTATTATCCACTTTGTCCAAAAAATTTTGTCTCAAAATTATCGTCCAATTTGACTTTTTATGGATCAAGTTACACATTTGTTATTAGTAAAAAACATTATCCATAAAATCTTAGTGGTTAAACAATTACTTATGTAGGGGTATATCCGGTTATTTAAATTAAAATATAGTTAAGTTTGACCAAAAATAAAATCTTTCATTTTAGTAAAACTGGACAATAATTATGGGACAGAGGGAGTATTATATATACAATATGCACTTTGTGTCTCCATTAATTGATTTAACGCTAGTTGATACTTGATAGTACTTGTCTGCACCAAAAAAATAGAAATAAAAAATCACATTATAATTTTTTTAATTATACTATTAATTACATTGAAATTTATTTTTTTTTAGCGTAGATCAATATGAAATACTTTAGGAAAAGACATCCACTTACTAATGAAATGTACCTTTTCGATTCCACCCTATGAAAATAATATCGATACAAGATGATGAATTTTCAATTTGTAACGTGTAAAAAATGCACATTGTGAATGGGCCCAAATTTCGAGTGATCAGGTAAGGTAAACGAGCCGAGTCATCAGAAGTCAATCATTCATTCATGTGGAAGAAGGTTGGAGGATGTTTCCACTTAAACCCATCGCAGAGTAACGTAGTATTAAATACTTCCTCTCATCCTTGTTATTCTTATTATAACGCATTTTAATTTTTTCTGACTTTTATCTAGTACACATCTTTTATTGACAAAAAAATAAATTTTCATACTCGTTGTGTTCTCTTTATTGTTATGTAATATTTTTAATATTTTTTTGTCAATTAAAAATGTGTACTAATTTATACTTAAGACAAATAAAAATGCTTTATATTAAGGATCGGAGAGAGTGCATCAATTACATAATAAATTAAGGAAACAAATCACATTATATACTTTCCCTATGGTCAACCCTGGTAGCTTTTTAATGTTGTTTTTAGTTGTTTAGTTGCAGGGTCAATTATTTCCCCATTCATAAGCATGCATGCCCACGAGACCAAGTCTCTTTCATTACAATTTTCTTCTTTTTTTTGTTTTTGCGATCTGTCCTACTTTGGTTTCACAATCCCACTCCAAAAAATAATTAAAAAAAAAATCCCACTTTGCAAAATAAATAAATAAATAAAAAAATTGAGAAAGTACATCACTTCCAACCTATTGCCTATTTTAAACAACGTTCCCAATTAAATACTCACATTCTATCCTAAAATAATTGTATAATATGAATTTTAATTTTAGTATAACTTATATGAAACATAAAATCAAAATTAATTAATGATTTCAGGATAAAGAGAGTATATGTTTAAGTTTTTTTTTTATGAACACGTATTCTACTTATCAATATATGAAGTGTCCACTTTAAGAAACTAGCTAGGTAATACATAAGGTAATTTATAAAGGGAAATAATATTGTTAGCAGTCCGTGGTTGAATTGAACATTTCTACAAAACCTGTTTACCAAAACAAATGCTTATAAACAATATATAGTGTTAGGATAAGATTCAAAGGAATAAGATATATAGTTAGCGACTTAGGAGTCAAATTTACGCCTCCGGTTCAAAGATATAAAAGTCATGTTTGATCTAATAAATAATACTCTTATCTTAGAGAGGAAAAATGTGAAAATTCTCTTAGTTCACTATTAGGTATTAACATGGTTGAATTTACAAATAAATTTATTTGGACCTTTTAAAAATGTATTCCAAAACGATTCCTAGCTTTCCCTTTCTCTGAACAAGCATTTTTTTTTTTTTTTGACGAAAGGAATAATATTATTAAAATTAAGATGAAAATGAAAATTTATGGAAAAAATGAGAAGGTGTTTATATCTATAAATGGTGAAAAAATTATAGTAGTACTTTTATACTAAAAGTGAGAGTTTTGGACAATCACTTCAAAATGAAGAATAACAAAATAGGAAAGAAAGACACCAATAAAGAAAGTGTATTGAGATCCCTGTAATATTGTATGTAATAATTACAGAAATTTAAAGGAAAAGCCTTTTCCATAATTTATCCGTTTAAACTATTCTTCCTATTTTAAAATGATTTTTAGTTTTAAATTTTTATTTTTGGAATAAAGGAAGTATAAGGAAAGAGTATATACCTATTATGCATAGCCAGTGTTGCGGACTCCCAAGTCCAAACTCTGGGCTTCATCCGCTTTTTCTCAAATCCAAATCCAAATCCAAATAGTTTGGTCTACAAAGCCACACTACCCTACTCATACTCCTCTAGTCCCAGTCCTAGAGAGAGAAACAAAACAAAACAGCAAAAGCAAGGAAAGGAAGAAGAGACAAACAAGTCTACTATCACTACTGTCTAAAAAGTAAAAGCAAAAGAAGAAAAAAAACACAAAGAAAAGAGAAGAAGCAGATTTTAGTTGTTGTGGGTTGGTTATGGTGGAAAATGCAGTGATCAGGCGGTAGAAGTACTAGAGCTGGATTCCGAAGGGGGTAAAATCGTCATTTGGTTGCTGCTATCGCCATTTTTTTTTTTGCTTCCTGGATCACACTGATTCCCCCCATCTCCATGCTCTTGCTCTTCTCTTCTGCTACCTCGGTTCCGGCTCCCGCTTCCGACAATATCATCAGCGACGCCATTTGTAAGCTCACCGGAATCTCCCTCACCGGCGGTGCGGCGGCTGAGGACCGCGGCGGATTCTGGTGGAAGATAAAGTCCGAGGAGGTGGAAGCTTCAAATGTTGGAGTAGCTCTCGCCGTCACGGCCTTGGCCGGTCTCGCCTTGGCCGCCGTTCTTCTCTGTAACACTAGGTAAATATAACTAGGAAATTTCCAAGATCAATCGAATCGATTTGGATTAAATTATCAAGTAGATGTACTAGAAAGTTTCTTTTCTTTCTTTTTTTTTTTTTTCCCTTGTTGTTGTAAAATTGTTTTTTGCTCGGACGAAAAAGTTTGAATTTATAAAGAGAGGTAGTAGTAGATGAAAGCTCTCAGACGAAGTCAGACTTCGTCATCTTCGAATTCAATCTCCCCGTCATCTTCGACGTCGTCGTCCTCCTCGTCGTCGTGGATTTATTTGAGATCGGTTCTATTCGTAGTCTCCTCCTCTTCGCCAGCTAATTGTTCTTCTTCTGATCGGTGAGTTTATCTATTTTTCTTCTCTATCTATTTGTTTTTTTGTTAGATGTGGATTCTAAGCTATAAGGGTTTATTAGCTCATCATTTTTGTCTGACTACTTGTTCTAGTTCTACTGAAATTACCATCGAATCGAAGTCTTTCAGATCTCCATTTCTTTCTCGCATTCTTCTTTCACTCTTCAGCTCAATCAATACCTTGACAGATCAGCGTTTAACTCATTCCGCAGTTCGCCTTTAGGCCTTCACTTTCTTTCTTTTTTTTCTTTTTCTTGTTTAAGTTAATTTCCTAGATGACGCTGTTGTTCCAGTTTTGCATTTTTGTTTGGAAATAAAATCATTTGGGGGGTCGGACACTGGAACAAAGATTTTGTAGTCTTTCTACTGGAGTAACAGTTAGTTCAGTTTAGGTTCTGCTAATCTGCTTCAAAGTAAAGACTTATTTCTTCATGCTTCCTGTTTAAGTTGGATGGAAAGAATCAACTCTGTGATTACCCTGACTAAGATTGTCTATTAATTGTGAAGCACTTTAAACGCACACGTAATGTCGCAAACTATGTTGCAACTTGTAACATGTAATGCAGTAAGGTTTTTGTTGGACAATCTATGAAACTTTATAATCATCATTAAATTGTTCCTTTTGGCTAATTCAGTCTTTTTTTAATTTTTATGATTCTACCCCTTCATTCCACCCTTGATGCGTAATCTGTGATGTATTGGGTTAATTTGAGAGCTGTTTCTCATTAAAAAAACATACCCTGTTCAATGCTCCCATGGAAATGTGTATGCTTATCTATCTTCTGGACATCAGTGATTGATTATACAAGTCCAAGTGCCGGTTGGTCTAATCAGCTTTTCCTGTTGCTTGATCTTTCCATATTTTCCTATTCCATCCCAATCTAGACCAGTCTTATGGTGTCTGCATGATATTTCTTCCCTTATCTTAAAGTTGTATGTGGTTTGGTGAACGGCTGGTGGTCATTTTGATTATTTGATCACTTGTTTTCAGCGGTCGTTTGAAATCTCCATGGTCCCGAAGAAAAAGGAAACATGCTCTGTCACCTCAACAATGGAGAAACATGTTTACACCAGAAGGAAAGTTACGTGATCGTGGAGCCAAATTTCTGAAGAAAGTTAGAAGTGGAGTGAGTTTACCTTCTCTTATAGTTTGCATTTTTGTATGAGAATGGCGCTTTAGCATTTATGTTACCGATTGTCTGGATCTTAAAATTCTGATGTTTGGCATCTAGGGCATTGATCCAAGAATCAGAGCAGAGGTTTGGCCTTTCCTCCTGGGCGTGTACGTCTCTTCTCATATTAGTTTTATCCTTTTCCCTGATCATTTATAAGCCTTCGTGACTTCTTGCTATCATCTTCCAATCTTGTTTTGTAATGTCCGTTTTCTCAGTCAGAGCTGTTATTAGATGGAATCATTTAGAATTTTATTCTTTAGTGAGCAACAAATCCAGGCTGGAATTTTGATTGTTGATTACCATTGATAACATCATTTCCTGTCTTTCCATTGAGAAAGTAAACCATCTAAATTTGGTCATTCTATGTCGCTTTTGGCCATGAAGTATGAATGACAATGACCAATGATTGTAGTTTTCCTGTCTGTCTGGTAATCATTGATCATAAAAATCTGGTTTCTTTGAATTTGTTTCTGCACCTCCTTTCTGTATATAGAAAGTTGATTTGATAGGAAGTTGTTTCTGAATATTGTGGTGAACTACATATCGCATTTGCTTAGTATGGTTGATTGGAAATGTTAAAGCTTTATCTTGGAACGAAAGTTTAAAGGTTTTTTTTGTACTAAATATCTGAGGTTTGAAGTTTGAACTACAAAAGAATTTCTCTCAATCTTCCTTGAAAAATCCTTTTAACATGAAGATTTGAATGTTACCTTTTCAGATAGAAATTTCATTTATTTTGTAGGTATGACTTGAGCAGCTCAAAAGAGGAAAGAGATAATGTGAGAACTTTGAAAAGGTATGGTTGTATCAGTGCTGTTTGTTGCCTTTCTCTGACCTTTTGTTGCTGCAATATCATAAATCTGTATTTTGGTTTATGCAGAAAGGAATATGAGAAGCTTCGAAGACGATGTCGTCGACTTCTGAAACACCATGCGGAGGACCATAAATCTCTTCTTGAAGGATGTAACTCTCCAGATTCTGATGATGCTGTTAGTGCGAGAGAATCCCTATCTAGTGAGGAAAGAAGCCCATATATAGAGTATTCCCACCATTTAACTCCCTCGTTGTTGGACGCCAATAGTGAATCTCGGCGAGTTACTGATGCTAGTGTGGTATATGATTCTGATTCATCATATTCGGACTCCTCTGAAGACCCTGAAGCCAGTCAAACATTTCCTTCATCAGATGTTAAAGAGGACACTGATATTCAATTGGCATCGAACGAGGATTCATCTCCCACAAAGTCCGAGTTCCAATCAGAACCCCGCAACGTCGAAGATTTTGCCGCATGGCAGCGGATTATTCGCCTCGATGCCGTTCGTGCTAATGGAGAATGGATTTCTTATGCACCCTCTCAGGCTGCTGTACAAGATGACCGAGCTCGGCGTTGTGCGGAAGCTGTTGGATTGAAGGACTATGAGCACCTAGAACCCTCTAGAATTTTCCATGCTGCCCGGCTGGTCGCCATCCTTGAAGCCTATGCACTTTACGACCCTGAAATTGGCTACTGCCAAGGAATGAGTGATTTGCTATCTCCAATAATTTCGGTGATGACAGAGGACCATGAAGCTTTCTGGTGTTTTGTCGGTTTCATGAAAAAGGCTCGGCATAACTTTAGGCTTGATGAGGTGGGGATCAGAAGACAGCTGAATATCGTTTCAAAAATTATCAAATTTAAAGATTCACATCTATACCGTCACTTGGAGAAACTGCAAGCAGAGGACTGCTTTTTTGTATACAGAATGGTAGTGGTACTCTTCAGGCGGGAATTAACTTTTGAGCAAACACTCTGCCTTTGGGAAGTTGTGTGGGCAGATCAAACTGCAATTAGAGCTGGGATTTGGAAGTCGGCTTGGAGCAGGATAAGGCTGCGTGCTCCCCCGACGGACGATTTACTCTTGTATGCTATTGCGGCTTCTGTCTTACAGAGGCGTAAACAGATAATTGAAAAATATAGTAGCATGGATGAAATTTTGAGAGAGTGCAATAGCATGGCTGGGCATCTTGATGTCTGGAGGCTCCTGGACGACGCGCATGGCTTGGTCGTAACCCTGCATGATAAGATCGAGACATCTTTGTGAATGACCCGTGTCTACTCTTCGATTCTATTTGGTTCGGGGTTGCAGTGTACTTGTGCGATATTTGGAACTCTGAATCCTCAGATTACCTCCGCAAACGAAATTGATCTGACTATTCTAATCCTGTTTTGAAGGTGCCCATGTAATCAGATGAAGTGTTTTGGCAGCAGAGTCTCTGTGGTGATTGCTGTTGATAGTTGACTTCGCCAATGATACTCACAATGGGATCAGTTATCAGCCGTCAAGCATTGGCTCCGTTTTCTCAATTTGCATTTTACTGGGGCTCGATTTGTTGTGTACTGTTTTCTATTGAAAAAAGAATATATATGTATTGTTTCTAAAACGAAGTTCTAATCTAATACCAGTTACAGAAAGATGCTTTCCTTTTTGTGCTTGACAATCCCTGGAAGATTGGAGTTTTTGTATGTTAACAACTTGACATTGATAATCGCCTCCAAACGTATGAACTTGCCATTTGTTTAGCTGGGAAATGAACGTGTACAGCCAAACTTGAGTCCTGGGTTTTTAAGATTTGTGAACAAGCCCGTAGGGTTACAAGGTGGTAGTGCCAAAGCACGCAAACTCTTATCATTTCTAAGTTAACACACTCTCTGTTTCTATTTGATTCATTATTAGTACAATTTGAACAATATATGAAAACACAAATTGAACAACACGTCTACTAAAAATGAAAATACAAACTACATAATAATCTCGTGACAAATGGAGTATTTCTTTTTTAATCTTTAATGTGTTTGTAATGAATTCACGGAATTGTGTTGGTGTTGTTTGGATATAACCTTTCCTTTCAATGTAGCATGAAACAATGGAAAATAGCATAGACCTTGACCGACCTGGAGACTGACGATTACCAAAGATATCATTTGCTAAAAGGTCCGTGTAAGCTCAAGGATGAACAATAATGACTCAGAAAAAAACAAGTCCATTCAGCAAGCAATACCAAAGTTCCTCATGAAGAAATGAGCAGAGAATTATTCGTCCAAACACTACATAATAATAAATAAAGGGTCCTCTATAAGGGACCAGAAGTACGCTGAATTACACGAATTGGTGAATTTTTTTACTGCTCTTTGGTATAATGACGGACAGCAAAGGCCAGACCCAAGATTAGCAGGGGAACGAGAAACTGCAAAATCTTGATCACAAATTCTGGAGTCTTGTCGGGATTGTAATTAGCTTGCTGGGGTGGGATGTATGCCCGTTTCTGTGGAACAGTGGACTTGTCAATCTCCCCAATGTAGTATGGGGCCATCATCTCCCTAGCATCATCACTGTGTCCGACGTCCTCAAAATCATTTGTTGCATCCTTCCCTGGAAAAAAAATCAGGCAAAAAGGTTTACAAGGACTGAATAATTAATAAGGCACGAAAATGAGATGTAAGACAGGGACATTACCAGTTGCTGAAAGCAAAACTTCATCACCTCCAGGATGATCCTCCATGAACGGGGTAACATCATACACCTGAAATATATATGGTGTAAGAAAGTAGCAAAAAAGTGAAAAAGGACATCTAAAAAACGATTTCAACCTAATAAATGCAATTTCTCCAAGCAGCCTTCAGAACACGAAGTTTATGACTGAAACAATACCAAATGGCATAAACATTCTTTTCAAAAAAAAAAAAAAAGTGACATAACAGTCCTAGAATTGCCAGGAAGTTGCATTCGAATAATATAGATGTTGAATTCGGAAAGGTGACAACATGTTAGCCAAAGTTACTTCATCGATAGCAAATCCAAGTGCTCAATCAACCATCAGGCACTATTCAGTCAAATCACATAGATGAACTAGTAAACCTCATTTCTTTTGAAGGTGCTCCGTCCTTGTTCTAAAGAAAGACAGGAAGCCATGACAGGACACACAGCTAAAATAGACTAGATGATGAGTAATTAGGATGCAAAAGAAGAACAAAGTTATAAAGCGTGGAATAAACTATATTTGCCCTATCTCTAAGATCAACAACTGCATCAATTGGGCGGAAAACCATTATTTTCTCACAAGCTTTCTGCAGTCCACACCATTAACCGGTAGAATCCACCATTCCTTCTAAATCTCAAGTTTATAATGATGAAAGCAAATGGTTTCCAACCAACTGACAGCCAAAAAAATCAATAAAAGTTTAAATCATTGACACAAAAAAAGCATCACAAAACCCAAAAGCTAGAGATAATAAAGAATCGGCAACACCGCAACAGAGTCAATCACTCACAAATCGGTAAAGTACTAAATAATTTTATGAGAAACTGCAATAAATCCACAGAGAGCGAAGAAATCAAAGCATCCACCAAAACTCTCCTGGTAAAATTCCCTCAAAAAAAAAAAAAAGGGAACGCACAAAGAAATAGGGGGAAAAAAAGTCGGACCTTTCCATGGATAATCAACCAGCAATCCTTAGTCTTGTTGTGCTTAGCAACTTCATCGAATGAGTGAAGCTTAGTCTCCGATGCCATCTCTACCATCCAAATTGTCAAAACCCAACCAATCAATAAAAGTGAATAAATAAACCAAAAGATTAGGAAAACTATCAATCAACTCCTACCCAGCTGAAGGATCAGAATCAGAATCAGGAAAAAAAAAAAAGAAGATACAGATCAAGGCAAATCCAATAAATAAAAACTGGGAATCTTTAAATAAGAATTGTAGTGCTCACAGTATAGAAAGGGATATGCACACAGAAGACCGGAAGAAAGGTGGAGACTTTCTTGGCTTTCTTTTCCCCCTTTCTGATGAAAAGAAGAAGAAAAAAAAAAGTCTTGGTTTCTCTACTATGAATTTTGTTTGGTACAAACACCTAACAAAAACCAACTGGGGTTGAAGTGAGAGCGACCACTTTTTTCAGTGAATGGGGGAGAAAGCTCCTATGCGGCAGGGTATTGGATTTTATTATGTGAAATTTATTGCAGGGATCTCGAGGTAAGTTGGCAGGAATATTTAATTATTTTGCTTCAAATTACTCAACTGTCCCCGGTGTCGTACTCTTTACACGCGCTCCTCACAGAAATCCTAATAATAAAAACTAAAAAGCCTAAAGCTTGGTTCATATCTATTTTTTTCTTAATTAATCCTGTGGACATACATTCGTCCATGTACGCATCTGTTATTTCCTTTTTTTTTTTTTGGCATATTTTCATCACTCTTAATGAAACATATTACGCATCCACGAACCTATCCAATCGTCCCAAATTATTATTTTAATTATTTTGTACATAAGTTTTAATATTCTTATAATACTATACACTTCTACTAATAATGAATGACACGCATGGTAAAGAAAATTAAAAGTTTCAATATAGGTAATTTACGATTTAGTTCACATATATTCGTCATAAATCATGATATAAATCAAATTTGTACATGTATTTGTTTTGTAATTTGCAGGGGTTTTTTTTTTTTTTTGAAATTGTCATTTATAGTTTAATCTCTCAATTTTACTTGTTTCATAATTTGAACACCTTCAATTAAAAAATTATAGTAAAAATTCCAACAAATTTAATATAAACTATTTCTTCAAAAAAAAATTATACTAAAAAATTATGATTAAAAAATATATGTTTCATAATGTTTACTAGCTAGTTTGTGAGTATGGACTGAAATAAATAAAAATTGTTCTTTCCGTCTCATAATAATTGCCTATTGATTCATCGGCCGATTTTTGACCCCCTTATAATTTGGGGTGACTAATAAACTATATTAAAAATAAAAATATAAATATAGTCTAATCATTTTGAGATGAATGAAATGTGTAGACTATATTGAGAACATAAAAATTACTTTTTCTGATTTAAAAATCATTGTTTGGTTGAATTTTTCTTTTTAATATTATAAATTATAGTAAAATTAAAAATTCAAACAGAATAATTTTTTTTTGAAAAAATAAAATACTCTATTTTTAAGAGAAGTAATTAACGAGTGTCTATACTACAAAGTTTCTTTAACCATTTCCCACATAAAAATTTGATCAGGAATTTTCCGGGTTACAAATGTAATTTCATGATATTGATGCATATGGCCTGCTTTTTTGACAAAATCTACCTACTTACTTTAGCTAGTGTAACGGACCACCAGCTTTTTAAGGTCAATCGGTGCATGTTCATTTCGTTCGTTAAGAACATAAATCGGAGAATTAATGAAATTTCCATTTATTTGGGAAAAATCTAGCATTTAAAAATTTAATACTGTAGTATATTATTCATGATAATATATTTATATGAAAATTACTTCTACCTTTATTTCTTCTTCTGTGTTTGACGCATTGATTTTGTGTAATAAAGATTAACATAAACACATCGATAATTTGCTTGTTTATTGATGGATGACGGAAAACTTCTTCCTTTCATAAAAAAAAACCCGTCAGTCAAAGGTTGGAATGACTGAATTGAGCTTCGAAACCGCAATTTTTCTGTGGTCATTTGCATACTAATGATAAACCGAAACAAAAACGGCCGTTGAAAATAATCAATTTATTTATTTATTTTATTATCGAAGTCAAAATCGACGACTTATTTGTTTGTCATTAGGAAATGAGAATTGTTTTAGATATTGTTTGTTTTCTTATGGTGTCTGCCTTAATACGTCAAGAATTCAATTATGGCTGCCCAAAATTAATCATATCGCGCTACTGCCATCCTTTATCTTACCATTCTTCCATGCATTTATTTTTACTAATAGTTCTAGAAAATTCTTGCTCCCCCGTTTTCACTTTACTTTTGTTTGTTGGTGAATTTATTAAGGCCAGCAGATTTCAGGTTGTTGTTGGGTTTTTGTATTTGTAGCCCACTGATTCAGAACGTTGTTAGTCAGCGGCCTGCCATTTTTCAATTGTTTTTTGCCTTTTTTTATTTTTAAACATAATAGCTACTTGCTGCTAACTTGGAAGTTAGGAATCGAGTCTTACCCTCGTGGTTAGGGCGTTGTACTTTTAATCGCGAGTTTGAGGGTTCGATTTTTACCGCGGACGCGGGAAGCAGGCAGCTGAAGGAGAAAATAGGTAACTGACCAGCATCCAGTTTAAGGAGACAGGAGACCTGCCATCATCAGCCACGGAGGACCGGACAGTACGAGCAAGAGGCGCACGCAAGTAGAGTTTCCCTCTAATAGTACTATACCCCTTCCTCAGTAGTCTACTCCCATTATAATAGGATAGGTACCTTTAAAGCATCAATAGTTGCGGCCTAAAAAAAAAAAAACTTGAAAGCTGTTTTGGCCTCTTTTCTTTCTTTTTTTTTTTTTAATCAAAAATTGGTTGTTCAGAAGTCATGTTGTTTGTCTTCTGTTTAATTATTGTCTATTGCCAATTCAACTTTTATACTTTTGTATTCTTTTCATGTAATATTATGTCTTTTTGTAACAATTATTTATGCACTGAGAAAGTAAAAAATATATACAGAAAACCTAAAAGAATACTATATAAATTAATAATTTGGTATAATTTATTAAGTTTTGGTCTATAATTTACTAGTACAAAAAAATGCGTTCAATCGATAAAAATAATTTTTTTTAAAAAAAAAACTCTCATAGTCGATAAATAAATTAATAATCACCCGAAATGGAAAATTTGGGAGATTCATCAAAAAGAGCCATGAAACCACAAACTTCAATCACTACCTTGTGCACCCCAAAGGAATCCAACGTGATAAGACATGGCATAACTTTTACAATTTCATTTTCAAGAATTATAAGTGTTCATCTAATAAAATAAAAAATAATAATGAAATCATAAGAGAAGAATCTGACTACAGGAGTTGAACTATTTTTAGTTCAATAATTGCAGATATGAGATCACGTCACCATAGAGCCACAAAAGTATCCTCCGGAATTATAATTCTACATATTTGCACAACAATAATTTTTTTTTGGAGTAATGAGACGTACAAGAAAAAATAACAAGGAAAATGTACAAGGAATGATGTGTCAAACATCTAAATTAGACCCTAACCTTAAATGCTTAAACCATGTATGGAAAGTGTTTAAAATGAATGGATGTGATTATTTCCTTATTATTTTTTCTTGCATCAATCATTATTCTTTTCTCTTTTTTTTTTTATAAATATTGTGTTTTAAAAACCTACTATCTTTTTGTTCCAAATCGGACAATAATATGTGATGGATAGAGTATTTTGTCTTGGTATAAAAAAAATAATTATAGTCCCATATAAATAAAATTGTCAAATTGAAGGTCTACATATAATTGTTCCTTCAATAAACTTCATAGCAATAATGTAAAGCATAATGGAACTTGACCATGGCCAACGAATACGAACTGAAAAGATAAACTGAAAATGTATATTTTAATTTAACATTTCAAGCAAATCTTAATGGAAAATGATTGTTTATCTAGCTTACTGTGTGGGCTATGGAAAAGTTTGTAGAAGTTATGGTTGAGTTTGTGGCTAGAAATCTCATCAGGCCATGAGGAGTATATATAGATAGCATTATTGGCAGAGTAGGGACCTGCTGATTTTGCACAATGAATAACGAGCACCAATATTTTTGCGGGTTTGGTCCACCGGAATTGACACCATACATATATTTTCATCCTTTCTACCAATTCATCATTTAAATCAATTTACAAAAAAGGAGTGGCCAAAACTTTAAAAATGGTGGGTATCTCCGGCTTCCCACACACAAACAAACACCTGAGAATTGACAATTTCGCTTGTCCCTTTGCTTATCATTTTCATTATTATTAAAGATAAAAGTAGTATATGTATCACGTTGTTTCTTAATGCAATTTTGTCCACATTTCATACAATGTCATCATTGTAGAGCTGACAATTTATATGCTTGTTTTTTTTTCTTAAAAAAAAAATCTCAAATTACCATATAAAATATGATAATAATCAATCCATAAATGTACACAATTCTAGCATATTATTTTACCATACCATTTAACAACTCTTTGAACGTGTATTCATCAAATAACAAGTCAACCAATTAACTATATGATGATGAATTAGCCATATTCTCACATTTTCGAATATTTATAAAAAGAAAAAAAATAACTTTGAATTATATATAAATTACTTACTCATTAAAATTTCAGATACTTTATATTTCGTATTAATAAAACTTTCAGAAACCTTTTTTGAATTGGGGAAATGCATGAATTATACTCCCTTCCGGTCCTTATTATAAGGTATTTTGATTTGTCATATGTTTAACTTAATATATATTTTTAATTGACGAAAAAATCTTAAAAATATTTCATTACAATCAAGAGAACACAACGAATATGAAAATATATTTTTAATATTTTTTTGTTGATTAAAAATATGTACTAAGTTAAATTTAGAAAAAATCAAAATGCCTTATATTAAGTACCGAGAGGAAATACTTTAAATAGAAACAGGAAAATTCTCCACGAACCAAAAACAAATAGTAGTAGTAGCAATAATTGCACATATATTATTCGTTAATAAAAAGAAACAAATAAAAAAGAAAATGAGGGGGCTTTTGATTGGATGACACCCCACAGCCATGTCACCATGGGCCGGGACACTACTCATTCGCCACCGACGCCGACGACCACCATGGCCTCTCCCTCTCCGCGTTTTTTGAGCCTCCTTCACCATCCACCCGACGCCACCGCCGCCGCCACCAATCCACCCATCGAGCTCGACGAAAGCGACGTCGTATGGTCATCCTCATCGGCCTATTCTTCCGACGCTGACTCCCACTCCTCTCCGCCTCATCCTCCTTCAACTCCCCCCATCCATCCCCGTCGTCACCGTCCCAGCCACCTCAACCATCCGCCCTTTTACGGCCTCTCCGCTGCCCTCTCCGACGACCACCTCCCCCCTCTCGTCCGTCGGAAATCGACCCTCAATCCTTCCCTCTCTGCGGCCAAGATGGTCCCTCCCTCCGTTGTTCGCCCCGAGAGCCCCCATTTGAGTCCCAAGGCTGCCCCCGCCGCCGGAGGGAGATACCACCAGTCTGCTCCGGTTAACGTCCCTGTTTGGCCGAAGCACAAGAAGCAGCAAGCTGGTGGGAATTATTTGGGTCAATTGGCGTTGGAAGTTGTTGACGAAGACGACGACGACGACGACGAGATGGTGCCGCCTCACGTGATCGTCGCCAGGTCGCACGTGACATTCTCGGTTTTTGAAGGCGTTGGACGGACGCTGAAAGGAAGAGACCTGCGGAGCGTACGAAACGCCGTTTTCCAGAAAACAGGTTTCATTGATTAATGATTATTAGGGGGAAAAAAAAAATACTAAAGAAGAATAATTATCTGGAAATTGTTGGAAATTCAACAGAGAGTTTCATATTGGAAGTCACTCTTTATTTTTTCTTTTTTTCCCGAAGGGAGGAATTATGAGTTTAGTTTTGCTTGAATGTTTGTTTTCTGATTGTTACATTGTACTATCATAGTCCAATTTTTATTTAGAAACGGAGATGCATGGGAGCCGGCAGCTACACCTAGTTTGTGGTGTTCAAAAATAAAATGTAGTGTCTCCGAAGATAGCAATTCTTATTGAAGAAAAATTGCATTTTTCTTGCTCTGCAAGATGCGCTTTTTACATTATGCAGATAGCTTTTCTGTTGTAAACAGAAGTGCAGAAGAGGTATAGTCAGGCATGTAGTTGCACATTCTCAAGTTGTAGCATCTTATGTTTTCTCCAACTCGCGATATGCAAAATAGAAATCTTGCTGCCCATGTAGTTGTTCATATTGACATTGTAGGTTCTGTGATGATTGATCATTTACCGTTATGAAAGGAAATGTTTTTTGTTTGCACTTTGATGAATGAATGATGAGCAATAGCTAGTTTATCTGAAGTTTTATAGCACATGATTGAGTTTGAGGGTCAAAATTTTGCATGAACAGCCTTTGGTATAATGTGGGGTTATCTACATGGGCCATAATCTGTTCCTTCCCTGCACACACCTATGTTGCAAATGGGCTGCATTTCCTTCTTTTGGGTTTGGGTGGTGAATGCCTTGCTAGGATGATGTATGTTGTTGTGGCGACTTACATTCTCATTGTGACGTGCTTTTGGGGTATTTACCTTGAGATGTAGATTTGCTTTAATTGAATAGAGTTAAAGAATTATTAGTAAACGAATAAGATACTTTGCACTTTGGACCTGATAGGCTTGTGTCAGTTCGGACTATTGTAGTTTTTAGTTCATCTTGCTGCTTGATCTTAAATGGTGAGTACTTGCATCATCATCCTGAATATATTCTTTGCTTTTTCTACAAACTGGAACCTCATTTGTGCTAGTTACTAGTTATGTATAGATGGTATGCTATAGATTGACTCTCTGTATTGTCATGGTGCATAAGCTCATATGTTTAATCTGAAGTTCCCTAATTTACTGCTACATATTTGCTGCTTGATCTTAAAATGGTGAGAACTTGCATCATCATCCAGATTATATTTTTCGATTTTTATTTTTTTTTAACAAACTAGAACCTCATTTGTGCTTGTTACTAGTTATGAATAGATAATATGCTATAGATTGTCTCTATGTATTGCCACGATGTGTATGCTCGTATGTTTAATCTGAAATTCCCTAATTTACTGGTACATGTTTTTCTTTCTCCTTTTATCTATGGATCAAGTTGACGCTACTGTCTCCAAAGTTCTGTTATCTCCATTCACAAGATTCTAATCCAGGCACCAAGCACCTTTTCGTTGTGCCAACATTTGTTGGCATGTGTAGCAACTTTTCTGACTGGAGTTAGAAACATTCTCCAAGGTAAAATGACAGTACTTTAAGAGTTTGTACAGCTACTGAATACTACATCTGAAAAGTGATTGGCAGTATATTCTTCCTTTGAATGAAGTTTTTTGTGGCTAGAATTGAGAGATGAGGATCTGATGCGTCTTGGAAAGTATAAGGTTGCTTGATGGCATTGAAATCGTCTGCTGTGGACATGACATGTGTATTTCATTATTCCAGGTCGGTAATCTCTTGCGAAAATGAGAACATTTTTGGAGGGTTAGAGACTAGTATAGATGAGGATCTGGTGCTTTTCCTTTTTTCCATTGAGCAAGAAGATAAGGTTGTTGATAACTCATGGCCTTGTCTGCATACAAAACAAAAGAAAGAAAAGCAAAGTAGAACAGTGATTCCCTATGGCTGCTTGGTCGGACGGAATTGAACTTGTTGATAGTTGATACCTTTCTTTATGCATCTTTCTTTACACTGATCGTGGCTAGGCTTGTGAGGCTTAAAAGAAAGTGGAGAGGGCATCAATCTGATGATTATTTCTTTAGTGTACCAATGATGACAGACCAAAAGAAAGTTCAGATTCACTAGACTCCTTGGAAATGGGATGAACTCATCCATATTCCAATTTCCACCTCCTTCGTGTTCGTATAATATTCGAATTAGAGGCAGTAATGGGTTGAGAGTTTTGTGTCAGTAGCTAAAAGAAGGTGACAATTGTAGTGTTGTCATACTAATGTTACTTTTTCAAGTCGATCTAACACGTTTTAGAGACAGAATTTCCTGTTCCGTGTTCTCTTTTTTTTTTTTTTTTGAAGGTGGAATCAAGTTGTAATGTAGAAATTTATAAAATAGCTAACCAAACACAAGATTGCTTCTAGTTCAGCACCGTAAACTTTCAAAGCTTCTTAGTCAAGAAGGTTGTACTTCTTAGGCAATCACCATAAGGTTCCGTGTTCTCTCTTTTTCCTTTCACTGCGTAATTAACAATCGATATGACTTGGTCAAATTGACACAATATAAAAATCCAAAAGTTAATGAACACTTGGTGAGGTCACCTATGCTTCAAAAAGGTGAAATCAATTTAGATCACCTTACAAAAAGATCTTAAACTATAATATAAGTACCCTATATGATCTTCTATACTTTTAGCTGTGTACTTTTACAATGATTCTACAAATTAAGAGCTTAATCTAGGCAAAAAGTTCATGCAAATGGGAGGGTTGATTTTGAACAAAGCTAAAAGTGATGAAGGAAGGATCCACAATCCATCTCCGCATATCATACCAGAAGCAACTGCAGGAACCATCAAGCTGGCTTTCCTGGTATCAATCTTGTGCCAAACATACACAATCAAGCTGCCCACGCACATGTCAATCGCAAAATTAGCACCAACTAGAAATGGAACAGCCATAGCCATTGGGAGTGGCACCCATTTCCCAAACTTTTTAGGGGTTACATCCCTTGTGAAGTTTGCCGCAACTGCAAAGGCAAAAAACCCATAACAGAGCTGCAAGCAATGTTGGGGCAGCGCAGAGAATCCTTCAACCCCGAGAATTGCCATGTTGCGGTAAACGATTGCATAGGGTGCTTTGTATTTGCTGCCGGGATCCCCAACATCAAAGGCTTTGTAAAAGAGGAAGAATGTTAGAGGCGCTACAACACAGCCGATGGCAGTCCCAATCGCTTGGCTAATGAGCATTGACCTGGGAGAAGTGAGCGTGAGATGGCCAGTCTTGAAATCATGCATTAAGTCGGAGGATATAGATACTATGGACTTTATTAGGCCACATCCGACTAGCCCTGCAACGACTCCATCATTTTTTCCGGTCAATGCAGCAAGAACGAATAGGGCTACTTTCCCATAATTGTAAGCCATGTTCATATCGGTTAGACCAGAACCATAAGCATTGCAGAAGCTTAGAGATGGGGCTATAACGTACGCCACGAGAACAAAGTACCACTTGAGCTGCGGAAACATGATAGGGATTACAATGATGGAGACAGTGGCGAACAACACGTAACCAACACATGCTATCCATACAGGAATGCTCTCTCTCATGAACACTTCATTTCTTTGAAGATCATCAAGGGATTGACTTTTGTTATTTGCATCATCTGCAGCCAGTTAAACAGGAATAAGAATGAAACACAAACACCAGCACCAGAGGCACTTCGCTTTTCCAGTATAAAAGTTGGGTTGCAGATACCTGTAATGGCAGCCTTATTCTTCAATGCTTTGTGTATGCTTAGACCAGTAAAGAAAAGTGTCCTGAGAAAGTTGTATAAACCATCTCCTAATATAAGAGCGATAGAAATGAAAACCTGCAAATCACGTACAGAAGGAAAGGTTGGATCCAGTAATTTTAACGTGGCGGTTGAAAGAAGAGAGAAAGGTTCTGATATTGCATAGATACCTTGTAACCATTTAAACTCTTCATACTGCTTTCACTTAAAGTTTTAGGAAACCAATCTCCCTTGTGAGCATGTATCAGTGGCCACATTATGCCCCATGATAGAACTGCTCCAAACAGCAAAGACAAATTGACAAGGTGGGAACAGATCATCCCTGCCCCAACATACGTCGTGCTAAAATCAAAAAAGAATCTGCAGAACCTCAAACATTAAAGGTAATTAAACATGTATCTTATCAAAGAACTCAAGATGTTTTGAGAGCGCAAGAACACCTACGTCTGTTTCCAAGCTTTCAATCCAAAGGTTGGAAACTCAATGAAGCCGCAATTCTCCCCACCAGTGTAGAACCACTGAAACATGCCCCACAGGAAACTAATGGAGAAGAATTTCACAAAACCCCTAACCTGTTTTCTGGACATGTGAAATAAGACTAGTTTCAGACTTCCTCAGCAATTTTACCAGATTTAAACGTTAAACTTCAGGGTAAGCTTCAAAAAACCAATCTTACTTGGCATTGGTGTCTCCCTTGGGAGTGTGGAAGCCGTTGATGAGGACTGCAGTTGCGGTTCCACTAGGATATGTTAATTTGTAGTCAATTATCATGATCTAAGGACCAAGAACGAACTGTGTGTTAGGTTTAGCACTAAAACGCGTAGCTGCTAATGAGCATTGGGTGGCAATTTGTGATATGACATGGAAATCAAGGCTTTAAAGAAACGTATTCAATTTGATTCGTAGAAACAATATCCACTGCTCGAGATGAAAATATCCATTATGTAGCCACAAAACTACGAAACAGCACAGCATACCTTTCGAAGAGGAACCAAAGCCAAAAGGCCAACAAAGCTGGTGACAAAAAGGAAACCAATCATCCAGTCAAGTGCAGGTTCCTTGTAGCTCCCTGCTACATTTCCCTCAGTATCAACTCCAGCTTGTAGATATGTGCTTTTGTTTAAGCCCAGTAGATAAGATCCAAAACCACCTAAAGGGAAAAGAATACTTCTCAAAAACAACAACAAACTACTGTAATAAAAACAATAAATTCTCCACAAACGAAGGTAATAAAACACAGACGACATATTCTCTGAGCAAGATCAATAATGGGAGATCTTTTCTTTTCCCCAGAGTAAATACCTCCAACAGCAATGCTATAGCAAGCAACTGCACAAGTCTGAATGATTGTGTTCTCTTGCCGGGTGAAAGGGGCAGAAACATAATTGGCCTTCTGAAGCAGCTTTGTCCATGTCTGAATAAACACAAAGGCAAGGAGTGCAGCTGATACATTGAGATTAGGGACCAGTCCTGTGGTGAGATTCAGCTTCATCACTATCACACTGTAAATGATCCCAATCATGATGCTAGCAATTACTCCTCGGAAAGTGATCTGCTTTGTCCATGGAGGAATCCTTTTCACCATTTCATCTGGCAATCCAGCCTTCACTTGTTCCATATCAAAACCCCCAACTGTACTACTGTTAGTTCCCTTTGAATTCGAATCATCTTCAAAAACATTCTCCAAGTTGCCTACTTGAGTAATTCTTGCACTCATCTTATCGTTAGCAAGAATGCTTCATTTCATTAATCAACCACAGGAAAACAAGCTGTTAATCCCCTTATTCCCAAATAGCCAAGACATTAAAAATGGTCAAAAATACAATCTTTACCTGAAAAAACAAACAAGTCCAAGTTAATCAAGCTGGCAAACCTGAACCTTCAACCAAAGATGAATTGCTTGTCTTCTGATCAACACCTTAAGAATCCCATCTTGCATAACAACAAAGTTGACACATCAACAAACTGTATAATAGTAATGCGAAATTGCAAAAATGCGAATTGGGAAGGGATTTAAAAAAATAAAATAAAAATACAGTTTTTACCAAAAAGAACACAAAAGTTGGATTGACCAAGGTCATAAGATCAACCTTCGGTCATCCGAATCAGATTTCTGTTATCTGAATCAGATTATTGTAGTGTAAGCTTCCCAAGAAAATCCCAGATAGAATCTGCCCTTATATTTGTTTGCATAACAAAAGCAGCTGTATATGTATTATATATATATAAGAGCAAAAAGGAAGAAAAACAAGAATGAATTCGAAAAGTCAATTCAAGGAATTTCTAATGCTTCAACACCAACCAATGTGGAGGAACAAAGATGAAGCGTGCCAAAGAAAGAGTACAATATCTATCAGTTACTATCCTTAATTTCCCCCACAACCTCCTTTGTTGTTTGTACTACTTACTCAACTTATTTAGGTGGTTACCACTTACTAAATCCTAGGTAGTACAAAAAACACACCGCATCAGTCAAAAATAAAAAGCTGTTGTAGTACACACAGTCACACAGTACGAGTTGACACAAACTATACCAAATCCCACGAACACAACACAGAATTCAATTGGAGTGCATTTTTATGGGTGTCTTTAACAAAACTGAATGGTAGGCCATTAAATGATTTTTATTTTTTTTTGGGATAAAAGTAGTACTACTAAAACTTCTCCCTCGTTGACTCCACACGCCAGAAGCAAATCAGAAATCAATTGAATAAAATTTCTTTCCTTGGGCATTTGACTAGCTAGCTAACAAGTGGAAAGAGGGACACGTGTAGAATTGGATGATGATGGAGATTGAGTCTTGGAAAGGAAAGTAGGAAAATGGAAAGTAGGGTTACTTTATGGGTGGAATTTGATGCAGTACAAGTACGACAGAGATGGAGGAGAATATTATGGAGCCAAAGGAGGGTGAACTCCCCCAAATTCGAGTGGGCCAAGCTATGGAATGAGAGACATCATCAGATCAGATCAGACCCACCATCTTCCAAAAGTGTTATTCTCTTTTATCGGGCTTTCCAACTTTTTTCATCGGTTTCTGGCGTGCGGAGTAACGATTTTGATGTGTATTTGGACCGGCGATTTGGAATCGGAACAGAGATATTTCTTTCTCGTACCTACTGCAACCTCCTTAAAAAAAATAAAATTACAGAACAGAGTGAAACAGAGAATTTTACCATCATTTCCTCGAGCTTTTAATACTTCATCATTCTCATCTAACACTACCAAAACATTTATGTGAAACCCACCATTTTTCCGGTTGCAGTTTTATAAATGTCAGATTGCGGTGGGAGACTGCATCATGCGCACACCTCATTCTCTCATCTAACACTAACATTCTGAAATCTGGAATTCAATTGGAGTCAGTAAATGTGAACTGAACACTGCTTATTTCATGTGAGTGATGAAATGATTAGTTTATTTTCAACAACATGCTTTTCTTTATTAATGGTAAAAAAATGTGCTCATCCAAATTTCCACATGCCCATGGCGTTCAATATACACTAGTATTAATTAATGTCTTGCATTGGTTAGTAGTTATCCGTTGATAGTGTCAACTATTTGACATTTGTCACTGTGTTCATAAATTGACATTTCACATCATGTAGCACCATATACACGTTACATACGCATTTACAAAAAAGAAAATATAAAAATAAAAAAATAGACGTTTTATTAAATAAAAAATTGAACCCTTTTTTTAACCCCCAAAGAAATCTTACTTTTCCTTTTAAAGTTGCTCATGTCAACTGAGATTGAAAGGTGATTAGTGTATGTCCACTTGGAAGTTGGAACCATTTCATAGTTACTGAAAAAAAAATAAAAAAATCTCGCGGGCATAATCAATTTCTTCTTCTTCTCCTTTTTTTTTTTTAATCAATGAAGAAACATCAATATTATTATCTCTTAATTTTGAGTTCGTAAATGTCGTGTCCATGTCACATAACTTTGCCATTTTTACTAAAGCAAACACTAGTATTTTGTAATTTTTGTATTTATTCCAAAAGTGGTACCGTTATTGAAAATTTATCTAATAATATTAGCTCATCGTTCTCCCGAAACATGTCACTACGAGTAATTACGTTCTACATATTCAAAAAAAGGGTCATTGTAATTTCACTTATTAAATTAAAAAAAATACAAACTCTACTTCATTAAAATTTTACTACATTCCCTGTGTCGCACAAGTCTAGCTATATTTCGATCTTTTGCATAGTTGTTCCTATTATATTATCATTATTGATACAAGCCATCATCATATAATCCAATTGATAAACATTTAAGAAAGAATAAAAGGTAAAAACATAAAATATGATTAGAAAAGATAAAAGAATATAGGATATCAAAAAAAAAAAAAAAAGAATTTAGGATATCAGTCTGTGTCAGAGGTGGACTACATGTTGGATGATATTGGGTCAGGTTATCCTTTAAGCCCAACCCATCGATATCCTACTCTAAATGGTCATCAGAGGATTCTGAAGCAAGTCAAAGCCCAAAATCCAATCAGAATTGGGGTTTGGGAATCCAAAAGGGCATCCAAACGGTGAGTTTTTTTGGACACCTCTTCCTTTCTTTCTTGATAATCAAGACGAGTCGCGAATTCTCCTCTTCTTCTTTCCCCCTTTAAAAATTTGCCCAAGTTTCTTTCGTCTTCCTTGCTTCCTCCTGCAAACCAAAGAACATTACGGGGACGATTTAGCTTTCAAATCATATATAATCCTTAATTTCACCATAAAGGAATTAGGGATAGCTTAGAAACTAGCAAAGATGAAGGGCAATTCATCACAGGAGACCAAGTTCTTGCAAGAACTCATCTTGTATGCAGCCAGCGCTGCTTTCAGTTGTTTGGTGTTGTTCGCTGGCATCCGCATGCTTGACCCGAACCGTGAGGCTACGAAGAAGGCAATGGAACACAAAAAGGAAATTGCCAAACGGTTAGGACGTCCCATGGTCCAGACGACTCCCTATGAGGTTAGATAACTTGCCAATTTTATTTATTTTTTATTTTTTGTTTTTCTGGTTCTCATTTTTATTTGGTTTTTGTCATTATTGGCATCTGAATTTTAAAATTTATTATTACTATTGTGATTACTATTATCATTGCTGTTTAATTGTATGTTCAGTGTATTGGGATTTTTGGGCTTTTGGTTTTGGGCATTTAGGGGTATGTTTGAAAAGTTGAAGCTCATGAGTTCTATGTATTATTCATCGTGTTTCCCTGTGCTCTTAGTCCATACTAAATTTTGATGATATGATTCAGCAGTGAGGAAGAATGCTGGGAAGTTAGATGAGTGAGTGTGTTTTTTTCTGTTGCAGACATTTCATAATAGGTATAGAGCGGTACAAGCAATCTATTTTTTGTTTTCCAGTTATTTTAGTAACCATGATTGCACCTCCAGTAACTTTCTGGTCCAACATCATTCAGAAGAGGCTTTGTGGAGAATGTTGAGCATTTTGCTTGAGTTACTCTGCTAGCTGTTGGGCAATATGATGGACTCTGATTGAAAACCTTTAGGACTCTTCGCCTTCTTGGATCCTTTTGGCATATGTTGTTATGTTTTAACCATAGAAGGCATAGCTAGCATTGATTTTGGAAGCTCTGCCCGGTAGTGCTACATTTGAAATGTGTCTTCAACGACTCTGAACAGTAGATGGAAGGTTTATAGGGGAGAAAAAGGGTGTATCTATTTGATGTTAGTTCTATGAATCCATGTCTGTTTTTCCCAACCTTAGGCAGGCATTTTGTAGGCTATTGATGGTGATTCTATGATTGGTTATGCTATCTCTCTAACCCAGCACAAACCCGTGAAGAAAACGTGGGGTGCAATCAAATCAACGTCGTGTTTCTACGAAATGGGGCGTTTTATTTTTAGCTTTTGTGTGGGAATCTCCAACTGTTTGTTGAGCAATGAATTATGAGTGAATCATATAAATGAAATGTACTATTAGATTTGGTATGAATGGGAAATTGGAAGTAACTGGGAAAAATAGGAAAGAATTTTTTTCCCCTCGCATGCTTCATATAGCTTTACAAAAGGAGTTCAATTTCATAAATTTTCAGGATTAAGAAGAGGGTTGAAAAATAGATGAACAGATTTGCCTCATCTGTAAGAGGGTTGTAACTGGTATCACTATCTCTGGTTGTAACTGGTTACTTTCTCTCTACCTTGAAAGGATACAAACATAAGGAACTCAACTGAGGTAGATTTTATTGGTCGCTAGGTGAATTTTGTTTCTGTGCTGAGGTAGATTTTGTAGGTTAGAAGCTGAGGTTTGTCCAATATGTGTCGTTTGATGGTTTTGACTTGATGTGTGTGGCATGTTGTTGACACTGTTTGTATTTACTCAGAATTTTTTTTTTGGTTAACCTTTTCTCCGAGTTCTATGTTCTGACGTTTAGTGTCGCTTGGGGGTTTCTATTTTCTGACATTTAGTTTTTTTGGGTACTTTGGCTTTTGAGATTTGGCTTGCACATTGTGTAATTTGATGACTAATTCTAGTTTTGGTGTTTCTATGGAATGTAGGATGTGATAGCGTGTGATGTGATAAATCCAAATAATATTGATGTCGAATTCAATTCAATTGGGGGTTTGGAAGCTATCAAGCAAGCATTGTATGAACTGGTAATTCTTCCTCTTCGAAGGCCCGAATTATTTTCACATGGAAAGCTTCTAGGCCCACAAAAAGGTGTCTTGCTCTATGGACCTCCGGGTACTGGGAAGACTATGCTTGCGAAAGCAATAGCAAAAGAATCCGGAGCTGTTTTCATCAACGTAAGGATCTCAAATTTGATGAGCAAATGGTTTGGTGATGCTCAAAAGCTTGGTGAGTTTCTCTTATGATTTCTTGTCAGCACTCTTCTTGCTCTGATTTCTTTGAATTTATGTTTTCCCCCACATGATCTCACTCTATGCATATCCCTAAGTTCTTGCAAGGTATAGTACTCGAATTAAAGTGCATGAGAGAAACATATATTTGTGTGGCCTCTGTTCCTGAGCACTGGCATTGGCACTTTAGTTTTTTGTTGAAATACTTTTGGGTCCCATTAGCATTGCTGTCCTACGCGTGGTAAAATTTGAATTTTAGCATTTTTGGGTAAATTTAATTTTGTATCCTGGTGCAGTGGCTGCTGTGTTTAGCTTGGCCCACAAACTTCAGCCGGCAATCATTTTCATTGATGAGGTCGATAGCTTTTTGGGACAACGTAAGACTACTGACCACGAAGCCTTGACTAACATGAAGACTGAATTTATGGCTCTATGGGATGGTTTCACCACAGACCGTAAGTTTGATAATCTTTTTGCTTGATGCCTTGATGTAAGCATATTATGGTATAATGGTTTTTCCAACTTCTACCTTTTATCTAGTTGGTTCAATCGTTGGTCAAATTTATAAACTGAAATGGTTTTCTCTATAAATAATATTGCTGGAGTTAACAGGCGTAATATAAGCAGTGAGTTTAAGTCTCTCCTTTCTAGTTTTAACTAAATCCGCTACTCTTTCTGAAACTTACGTGGATAAGTTTTTTGTGCTGAATGAGATGATTTTTTTACAAAACGAAGTAGTAATCTTCTGCTTGACTTTAGATTATTTTCTGGATGTGTCACTGTACATCAATCTCACCCTCTAATTTACATACTGCTATGACTTGTCGCCCTTCCGTATTCAGATTTGTTAATCTTGTGCTTGATTTCCTGGTGTAAATATACTATGATTTAATGGTTTTCTGCAACTTCTACTTTTCTGTTCCAGTATATCATTTAATAATACTTGCGGACAAGTAATATCTGGTTGATTCAATCATTGGTCAATTTTATAAAATTGAAATGGTTTTCTCTGTAAATAATATTGCTGGAGATAACAGGCGTAATGGAAACTTGAGTAGTCTCACTTTTCTGCTAATCTACTAGTCTTTTGAAACTTCCATGGACAGTTCTTTTTTTGCGCTTAATGAGATCAACTATTGACAAAAATCAAGTCGTAACCTTCTGCCGGACTTTAATACTTCTTTTCCGGATGAGTCACTGTATCAGTCATACCTTTAGTTTTTAAACTGCTATAAATTCTCGCCATTCTGTATTCATATTTGATAATCTTCTGCGTGATGTCCCGATGTAAACATATTATGATTTAATGTTATCTGTGCAGCTTCTACTTTTCTGTTCCATTATCTCATACGCGTGGGCGTGTAGTATCTGGTGTTCAATCGTTGTTCAATTTTATAAAACTGAAATGGTTTTCTCTGTAAATTATTTTGCTGGAATTAACAGGGGTAATGGGAACTTGAGTTTATGTCTCTCTTTTCTAACCAAATTTGGTAGTTGTTTCAAACTTAAGTGGGCAGCTTTTTTATGCTTAATGAGAGAAACTATACATCCATGTCACCCTCTAGTTTTTAAGCTGCTATGACTTTTCACCCTTCTGTATTCAGATTTGATAACCAATTTCTTTTTATCTCGTGCAGAAAATGCTCGTGTGATGGTCCTGGCTGCAACAAACCGTCCATCTGAGCTTGATGAAGCAATCCTTCGTCGCCTTCCTCAGGCATTTGAAATAGGAATTCCTGATTGTCATGAGAGAGCTGAAATATTGAAGGTGATCCTCAAGGGTGAGAAGGTTGAAGCTAATCTTGATTACGATCGAATTGCAGCCCTCTGTGAAGGCTATACCGGATCTGATCTTCTTGACATTTGTAAGAAAGCTGCCTATTTTCCCATTAGGGATGTGCTTGATCAAGAAAAGGCGGGAATTCACTCCGCGGTTAGTACCATTGTTCATTGCATTCTCTTTTATACTAATGGCTGGAGGTGGCCATTTTCATTTCATGTTTTCTTATGTCGGTTGTTTTGCAGGAACCACGCCCATTATCCCAGTTAGACTTGGAAAGAGTCATCTCCACGACAACAAAAACGAAGGTCGCCGCATCGGAGTACAGTAGCAGATTGAATTCATCATGGCGTCACAGTAGCGACCCAGATTATGTTCAAGCTGCTATCAATGAGCTTTCTAAAGTCGTAGCTTCGCAAATATTAAACATTCATCCAGATGATACTCAGGATCCTTGAAGAGAAGCTGCTTTATTTGTGAACCAGTAGGTGCAAGAACTAGAAGGCTGGGATCTCTCCTGGTAAAAATTGTTGCATGCGATTTTCCAAAACTGATGTTTATCTTTTCATTAATGTAGTGACGCTAATGCACATAACTAGTGTACTTCTTGAATGCCGTTAGTAAGTAGGCTATCTAAAGCTACTTTTGGTTGTTCCTCTGTAATTCTACGCCTAAGAATCAAAGCGCAGAACTCAACTTGAATATTGATTTGTAGAAAGTAGTTGCAGGAATGCTGTGACATTGCCACTAAATACTTGTGGAAGGTCACACGAGCACTTTTACTTTTGGCTAGTGCAGTAAATCTTTTTGCTGGTACTGTCAAAATGTAAGATTATCTTCTTACGTTTTACAACATCAACACAAGGGAGAGCAGGTTATAGTAGGATTGCAACGGTTTTGGGGCTTCCATTGGAAAATAGTCGCAAGGTAGTATACCCGCAATGTGTTGAGGCATGTGCATCATATATTATCATCCCAAAAAAAGTAATTATAATAAAGATAAAAAAAATCCAACCAAGAATAGGATGCTTAATAAACATTTTACATCCATCCAAAAAAAAAGAAACACAATTTGATGAACTCGAAAGGGAAGGAAATTAGAACTCCGTCCAACTAACCACAAACCGATTTGATGTACTCAGAGAGGGAAGATGGTCCATATTTAAGGGTCGGTACTCGGCGGACAAAGCAATAAAAAAAGAAGAAAGTCGTACAATGTGGCCTGTTGTGCTTGAGGGTCTTATCATAATACAGTAGTTTGATTTCTACTGTATTTATAGGATTGGAGATTTGTTTCAATAATTTCCACGCTACAAAATGACAAAATAAAGCAATCATCATCATTATTATTATTATTATTTGTAATTTTATAGCTACTGCAACGATTTTCTAATTCTTGTACGCCAAAGATATATAAGTTTGGTGAACTGACATCCACATTTTCTTGTATTTTAAGAAAATAGTTCCCGTTGTTTCATATGGTTTTCATGTCTCATCAGTATATAGAAGAGTAACAAGAGTATTTCAAAATTTAAAAATTAATTCTTACCTGAAATTCTTCTAATTTTATTCTCACCAAACGGTTCTAACGGATAACTTCACTAAACTAGAGTGGAATATGCTTTAGAAAATAAATAAAGAGTTGTGAAATGTTTGTATTTTTTATTTTTATTTGATAAACAAATTTGGGAAAATTAAAGAAATGGAACAGCAGGAAAATCCCAAAAAAAGGTCCAACCCAAAAGGCTGACTTTTCTAGGACCTACTAAAAGGAATAAAAATTAAAATAAGTGTTTAACCATTGGAAAAAATAAATAAATAAATAAATGCAGCGAAGAAGGAATTGTGTAGATGGCGCAACAGGTCAGTCGTTGAATTTTAGGATGATTCTTTTTGTTTTCGGGGGAGGGTGGGGGGGTGGAGGGGAGGGATAGAGAGGTAAAGAAAATTGCGAGTCCAACTCTGACTGCTGCCCTGCTTTGAAAGGAAATTGTACAGAAAAATCATGAACTCCCTTTTCAATTCCCCAGTTACTTTATATTCAATAACTTCAAGCCGTCAATAAAATACTACTCCAGTCTCCATATAGTATTGTTGTAGAATAATCTTATAGCTTAGCCAACGATATATGTTTGAAAGTAGGCTCTCTAATATTTCTTGTTTTTCTTTTAACAAAATGCACACAATCATGCTTATTTGATTCGGAATAATAGTAAGACCTTCAAAATTAGACAACACACTACCCCGGACTTTTCTGAATGTCCTATTTTCACATTACAAAAGTGCTTGGACCGTCCAAGGTCGTAAGTGGATTATGGGTACGATATCACACGTTAATAAATTATCATTAAAAATAATATTCTTTAATTTCATCATATTTTTTTTATTGTATAATAAAGTCTACAAATTGGATATTCATAATATAATACTCCTTCCGTCCCATAATTATTGTCCAGTTTGAATTTTCATTTCTAGTACAAATTGTACTAAAAGTGAAATCTCAAACAGGACAATAATTTTGGGACAGAGGGAGTATGTAGTAGCTGAGATCGCGTGAGTCTTAGGTTTTAAGATCATTTATTTGCTGCAATAAAATTTTACTTATCATTTATCATTAGCATTTATTCATTATGGTATGGAGGAGTAATTGTTGTTTTAAAAAAATATTTTTGTATCAAATATATTCATTCACAAATATTTGACAATTTAGCGTAGGTATATATGGTCTTGTTCCGTAACAACAATAAAACTTGGCTTGTGAAACCTAAACCATACATATTGTCCTGGGAGAATTTGCAATATCATTTCCACTCTCCGGCCCGTCGTATTTTAACTTATTTTTATTGCTTTACAAGAACTGTCATTTTGTATAGTTTTCTTGTCAAAATGGTGATCATGTGTGGTCCAAAACCAAAAAACGGTATAAAATGGAAATCTAAAAAGATTTGATTTTATATATATATATATAGGGAACAAAGAATATAAAAAAAAAAAAGTCTTTTTCTGAGTAAAAAAATCCACCACCATCCCTAACCCACAAAATGACCAAAACAGAAGCCTACATTTTACACAACAGTCAAAAAAGTCAACATCAAAGAAAACCAAACCCAAATTCCGTCATGCAAAAGGCATAACAAATAGTCCGAATTTTACAAAATCAAATTCTCACACACAAAACACCCAAAAAAAAGGCCATTTGTGGCTACGTCCGTTGAGTCTCTCCGGGAGAAATTTTGACCAATCCAAACTCCAGTTTTGCCCCGTGCCGGCTCCAGCCGTCAAACTCCCAATTTTCCAACCAAAAACAAACCAACAACTCATACACTCCAACCTTCTTTTAAAAGCTCCTTCCCCTCCCTTTTATATTTTTATTTATTTATATTATTAGTATTCCTTAGTACTATTACTACATCATCGTCATCATCAAAATCATTCCTTAAATTAGCTTCCTTTTCCTTCTTTTCACGATGCTTTTATCATTAGCTTCTCCGATCATCATCATCTCAACATAGCAATTCAGTTGTTCTCATTTCTCAACATCAATCAATATAATCCTTTATTTTGTCCACCGTCATCATCGTCATCCTGAACCTGGGATCATCATGATGGGGTTGTTAAATCCAATTCTGTTCTTGATGACGACAATTGTGGTTCCATTTCTGGTGTTCAAATTCTTGTCCAAAACATCGATTCTGTACATTTTCAGGAGTTGGTTCCGGGTTTTGTCCGACAAATGCTACGTTTACCAGTTCTACCGGGTCCCACAGTTTAACGACCACATGCAGGAAAATCAGCTCTACCGCAAGGTTCAGGCCTACCTCAACTCCCTCCCCGCCGCCGTCGAGGATTCCGATTTCACCAACCTCTTCTCCGGGAAAAAGCCCAACGAGATCAAGATAGTCCTCGACCCCACCCAAGTCGTCGTCGACAATTTCCTCGGCGCCCGGCTGTACTGGTCCCAGGAGAGTCCACCGCCGGTGCCGGCGGACACCGGGTCGACCCGCTCCATGGTTCTCAAGATTAGGAAGTCCGACAAGCGGCGGGTCCTCCAGCCATACCTTCAGCACATTCACACGGTGTTCGAACAGCTGGAGCAGAGGAAGGAAGTCCAGCTGTACATCAACGTGGAGGACCACCCGCTCCGAAACGGTCGGTGGAGGTCCGTTCCGTTCGGGCACCCGGCCACGATCGACTCCGTCGTCATGGACGCGGATTTGAAGACCAAGGTGAAGTCCGATTTAGAATCGTTCTTGAAGTCCAGGCAGTATTACCACCGGTTGGGCCGCGTTTGGAAACGGAGCTACCTGCTCTACGGGGCGTCCGGCACCGGAAAGTCCACCTTCATTGCGGCGATGGCCAAGTTCTTAAACTACGACGTGTACGACGTCGATTTGTCCAAGGTTTCCGACGATTCCGACTTGAAATCCTTGCTGTTACAGACCACCAGCAAGTCCCTGATCGTGATGGAGGATCTGGAGCGGTTTTTGCTCGGAAAATCGACGACCAACGTGAGCTTGCCCGGAATTCTACAATTCATGGACGGAATCGTTTCGTGCTGCGGAGAAGAGCGGGTGATGGTGTTCAGCATGAACGTTAAAGATCATATCGACCCGACGGTGCTCCGACCCGGAAGGATCGACGTCCATTTACACTTCCCGCTGTGCGATTTCAACGCCTTCAAAAGCATGGCGAGTACCCATTTGGGATTGAAGGACCACAAGCTGTTTCCGCAGGTGGAAGAAATGTTTCAAACCGGGGCGACTTTGAGTCCGGCGGAGATTGGCGAGATCATGATATCGAACCGGGGATCTCCGAGTCGGGCACTCAAGTCGGTTCTATCCGCTCTCCAGAATAATGCGGAAGCTAAAGTGGGGAGCAAGATTGCGAGGAGGCTCAGCCATAATTCGGACAGCGGTTCGATTCGGGTGGTGGAGGAATCGGTGTCGGGTGACTCCGGAATGTTTTGTAAAGAAGGCGGCGTCGGCGTTCACACGGCAAAAGAATTTAGGAAATTATATGGTTTTTTAAGGAGGAGTAGAAAAGGCGGGGATTCCATGGATTTCGAGGAAAAGGAAAATGGTTCTTAATTGATTCTAGTTCTAGCCCTACTACCAATCCAAAAAAAGGGGCCTTTTTTTTTTTTTCCCCACATCATTCTATTTTTAATAATTACATAATTATTATTAGTAGCTCTAGTGAAGTGACTCTTTAGTAGCTAGGAAAAAAACACAGCAAAGTTAGAAAGGCGCAGGAGTAGAGATTTCTTTTGCCTTTGTAATATTTTTTTAGTTTTAGTTAGTCTAATAGGTATATACGTAATCCCAAGACTTCTTTGTTATTATGAGCACGATACGGTTAACGTGTTTCATTCACGAAATATAATGCTAGAATTTCATACGGTAAGATAATACCCAAATCAGTAACGTCCTTTTAACATATAGGTCCCGATACAGGTAAAATGCGTTGCTACTAGTACTAGTTAGCATAGTTTTCAAAATCCCGATCCGGATCTAAGAATCTTACGATCCTGTGATTCAAAATTAGAAAATCGATCTTGAATCTTATGAAATCCTTCTTTGTAGTGGGATTTTATAGAATCCTTCAAAATCTCAATTCAAATCGTAGGATCCTACGATCTAACGTTCTCATTGATTTTGTCGATATTTGTGCAAATTGTTGATTTCGTATAAAAAAGAGGAGAAAATGATTAGAAAAGATATAAAAGTTGAAATTTTGAGTGGAAGACACTTATGCGTACACTGATCTACTTCTCCTCTATAAAATCAAACAAGAATTGAACTAACAAATTGAAACTCGCAATTTCAGAATTATTATAATATTTTAAATGGTTTTGATCTCGCCGATTCGATCCCACCAATCTAGAATCCGATCCGATCTTGAGAAGCCAAAACGATCCTGTGTGAAATCCCAATTTTGAAAACATTGCTAGCTAGTGACATATTAACAACCTAAAAATTCCATTTTTGCGAATATGTACTCAATCTCATGCAAAGAAACAACCAACCAAAGCAAACTGATACCAATAAAAGAAAAAGGGGGGAAAAATCTGACTGAAATGATGGAAGGTTTGTTACTAGTGAACAGTGAGAATAATGATGAAGTGGAGTTGTGGGGATGGGGAGCGACTTGTTTCTGACCAACGTTATTGGGAGGGGCATAACAATGATGACGACGTAGCTGGCGGACCCCATCCACACACATTATTATTATATTATATATATCCCCCATTTTGGCAAATTTCCCAATCCTCTTTTTTACGTTGTTCAGCTCTTTGGGCAATGATTGTCAGAACTCAAGAAGTGCCTTTCTGGCTTTCTCCTCCTCTCTACTTATTTTTGGTCTGAATTTTATAATGGAATTTATAACAATTGGGTCGATTTCAAAGCAAACTCTAAACTTTAAATGAAAGTAATTAAGAAAAGCAGCGTAGTGTACTCTAAAATTAGGAAGTGATTTGGTATTTGGTGAGCTCGAATTCTTGCACTATGGCAAGACTTGTAAGATTGGAAGGTTAATCTCATTACATTTGAGCGTAAACAAGTAGAGGGACCATTGTGAATGTTGTTTGCTGGCCTTTATTCACCTCACGGGCCACGGCGTATGGCTTTTTTAATTGAACAACTATTTTCTTTACTCACACTAATGATGTCACTACTATACAATGATGATAAGGTTAATATACTGATAATCTGATATGGAGAATTGAGGAGGCATCTCCATTAATACTAATTTATCACAATCTGCATATTTCTACATTGTGTAATTCAAAGGGATATTTTATGTTTTCAATCCAAGAAACTCAAAAAGGGATGATAACACTGACCAAAGGTCGAAACTTTTACTCAGCATCAGTATATGGAGAGGGTTGCCATTTTGGAGGGGTGAGTCAATTTTCACGCTTTGGTTTCAAATTTGCCCACCAACCGTCCAACGTCTGTTTGCGCTTTGAGCCTTTGACTAGTTCAATTCAATGGGTTACTTTAATTAATCAACCTTAATATTGCATTCAAGCATGAAATTTAATGTCTAAAGTTTTGACAATTGAAATAGTGGGGGAATCAATAAACCTCAGCAGTGACCCGTGAATGTGATGCTGTTGTTGCGCCGAAATTAGCTCCAAACCATCCCCAAAAGACAAGAAAAGGTGAAGAAGGAATAATATGATTCGGGCCTTTTGTTTGAAAAAAGAAACAACGAGTGAAGATGACCTTTACAGCCATCTTCAAATCATTATCACATCTATTCGAGCTTTCGTGGGGTTAATTAATTTTCACTTTGGGTATGTTTTTGGACTTTGGTGTAACTTTTTTTTTTTTTTGGGAGATTTTTTCAGAGACACGGAGTGAGAAGTCAAATTCCTTCACCCCCTCTTCGCATTTGATCTTGTGCAACCAAAGGGTTGTTGTGGTCGAGTGGTAAAGACTCCTTCACCCTTAACCATACGTTGAGGGTTTGAATTTCGCCGTGAGTATGGAACAACTTTTAATCCTTTGATCAACTTTTCCACCCATCAAGGTGCCTACCATTAGCGAAGTAGATTAGTCACTGTTGCCGACGGTAGACACCCTGCAAATATAAAAAAAAAAAAAAAAAACATTTGATCTTGTGCCATTCAAGTGTGTGCTGTTATTTGTTTACAGTTCTGGAGGCAAATGTGGTACTTTTCTGGACAAAATTTAAAGGAAGGAATGTAGGTAAAACGTGATTTTGGAGGAGGCCAGTGGTTAGTTTCTTCTGGTAATTTCCAGTCCTCAAACTCTATTGAGGTAAGTCGTTTATGTACAAAAATATCCTGTCACCCAGGACCAATGGTGCTGAATGTGATGCAAACTATTGAGGAACCAACCTACAACTATAGCTAGTTTCTGCAATTAATTTTATAGCTTCAGTCTTCTTCAGAAACACAAGGCAACTCTTCTTTAAACCAGGTATATAGTCCTCCCTCCAGGTGATACACATTAGTATATCCATTGAGAACTAGCAAGTAAGCTGCTATCAGAGACCTACAAACACATTAAGCCAAACCCAAAAAAAAAAAAAAAAAAATCCTTAGCAGAATGATTCATCATCCTATCACATTTGAAGTTGAAAAGCATTGCTACCTTTGTTTAAATTTTACTGCAGTTAGGAGGGTAAACTAGAAGTTCCAATTCTGATTTAGTCCTGGATATTTGATGCACAACTCTCTAGACCTTGTTTTATCAGTTACTATATAAACTAAAATCTAAAATTGTCAAATGGAGTACTTAATTACATGGTGGCTCCTGATTTATACAAAGTACATCAACTCGCGAAAATGGATTACCAGATTGGTAGGAGCTTCATTGTAGATTCAAGATGTGCATACTTAATACAGGGGAATGATTAATAATGGTTCAGGGAGTTTACCTTGATTGTTGGCCTTCTGGAAGGTTTTGGGATGGCTTCATGGTTCCACCAAAAGAGCAAGCTACTATAATCTTGGAATTCTTATTTAATTTTGATTCAACAACTGCCCATATGTATAACATCAGATTGCAACAGAGATTGTCAGTTCCCCCCATCTTCTGATCCTATATAATTAGTCTTAAATTCCAAGGAGTTTATAAAAAAAAAAAAATTGTGGCTTTTTGAAATCATTTTACATACTCTGCAAGAATTCAGGGTTCTCTTCAGTGCCTTGGAAGATGCCAAAGAATGCAAATGCAGCCCTCCTGGCAATATCCCAGGCTGTCCACTCCTTTATCAGCCTATATATTTGAACGTTAATAGCTCCTGGTGGATGTGCCTGTCACCATCACCATCAGACATCAGTCTCACAACTAATTCATCAATATTTAGTTAATGCGCTAACATTTTGAGATTGATTTGAAGATAAAACATGTACTGTAATTCTGACATAAAAACTAGAGAAGACGGTACTATATGAGAAAGAGCAAAGCAGAAAATGAGTGATTATATTATACCTCTTTGTACTCAGCCTCTGGACGAACATCAAGTATCACAAAGTTATTTTCTTTTTGTAGTCTCAAAGCTTCTTTGACCTCTACACTTCGGACCTTCTTCTCAAGCAAGACTTTCCGCTTAATGGACCACTCTTCTTCAGCTAATGAATCAATCCCCCAAAAAAAGAGAAGAAAAAGCCCAAAAAATAAAAATCAAATACTGGGATCATATAGTTTATGAACAAAATATGCAACTAGTTTTGTGGAGAAGATACCTGGTGATTTGGCAGGTTTGGTTGCAGCACTTCTAATGGTGAGGCCGACGCATACAGATGACGAGGATGAACTTCTGTTCCTCCTAAGGCTGCTGCTTCTGCTAAAAGAAGCACCACTTTCATAACTCACATTTGGACAGCATTTGAAGTTCTTTTCAAGAGTTGTGAAATTGAGGTTTGAAGAGTGAGATAAGTATGGTGTCACTGATGAAGTAGCGAGGGAAGCCATAATCCAGAAACTAAAGCCCGAAAGGTAAAACGAGATCTCACTCCAAATTTTGAGGTTTTAATGAACACAACACATCAAACAGCTATTACCACTCAAAATTGAGGTTCGATTGCCAGTTGCCACTCCTATGGAATTGACTGGTTAGGGAGATATTTTTGTTGATTGTGGAAAGGAATTTAACTGGGGGGCCATGTGGATTTCTTTATTATTTTATTATTATTTTTTTTATATATATATGAGTTTTTGGGGGGTAATGTGGATATTTTTGATGATTTTCATTATCTAAAGTTGTGGCTGTGGAGCTTACAGTTTTTGCTTGTTTGGATTTCTTTGATCCTTTTCTTATCACTCGTCCCCTCTATGCTTGTGACCAACAATTGGTTTTTTTTTTTCTCGAAAAAGGTGACCAACAATTGCTAGTTACATTACATTTCCAAGGTTTTGTTGCTAGTCGAGCGAGCCTCGTTTATGGTCAAGACAGACTGCTCTTTTATTTTTTTTTTAAATTTATTTATTTTTTTAAAAAATCTTTACTCTTACAATTTTACTACTATTAAAGCATGGGGCTGATCTTTCGAGATTGGAGACATCTTTGATCTTTGGTCGTCTATCATCAACCTATAAAACTTTCGATAGAAGGTGTTTTTTATTAGATCACTTAGTGTAATGAACGGGATAACGTGATCCATTTGGATGATTGACATGTTATTTTTTATATACATATCAACTATTTCGCCGGTAATAATCAGATTTTTCTGGTCACCTCATTGTCGATATTGAACCCTCTATGTTCCACTTCTATCAGTAGAGTCTATATGAAATAATTATCCAGTTTAGAACAGAAGAAACAATATAGTACAAAATTACTGCTCCAGACTTGGACCTGGATCGATGGAATGGTTTGAATGATGCCGGGTGACTAGTTGGCGTTCCAAAATCTGTGGATATGTGTTCAAATTTGACTAGAAAATGCCTCCAATTAGCACCAACGAACGAATAAGATCAGAGGAAAACCTAACATCATTATTACTAGTCATCCGTTCTAAAATAAGTGTCATTTTAAAGTTTATACATAGTTTAAAAAAATATTAAATTGGGTAACTAAATTACTAAAGTATTCTCAACTACCCCTATTAAAAATATTATTATTTTTTTGAGGGTATATTTGAAATTTTTTGACAAAAAGTGCATTGAAATCGTAAAACGAAAATTATTTTGAAATATCTCTATTTTGTCAAAACGACACTTATTTTAGAATAGAGAGAGTACTTATCTTCATTAATTCAATTAACATTGGAAATTGCAACTTGAACTAACATCAGCACCCAAAAGACGAAGTTGATTCAAATTTCTGTGCAAAAACATTGGCCCACTGGTTTGTTAGCGCAAATGTCAAATCTCAAGGCAACAAACCGCATATTTCAACCCCTTTCAATAATTTGTCCAAGGACTAGGAAGCCCGAACGTGTTTTGAGTTTATTTTCTGGTAGGAATTAAACTGAATAGCCCAAACCCAAAGTTAGGTAAATGGTCCAATGGCCCACAATAAAACATTAAATACAATGTACCACGTCCACGGCATTAGCATTTTTTTTAACCAAAACTTCTCAGATTGAGATCATTTGGAAGATGATATGCATATTTCAGCAGATATTTTTCGCCAAATCCTATCCTGTAAGTTACAACTTACAACTACAACTTATTTACAATCTATACCCTCTCAATTTTTTAGTTAGCAACTTATTTACAATCTATACCCTCTCAATTTTTTAGTTAGCAATCTTTGCTCTCCACTAATAAAGTTTTGACTCAATTGATTAGATCTTTAACTTTAGCTTATTTGCAAGATACCACACAAATTCTAAAACACAACACTTCACCCTACAACATCGTTTCCTCTATAGAAGGTTGCCTATCAATTAATTCCTCTATTTCATTTTAACATGTTCACTTTGTTTTTTAAAAGGTGTTAAAATTTAGTTTCAATCCATGCAATTAATGTACTTTTATCTACAAATTATATAATATATATTTTAACACTTCTAAAAAAAAAATCGCGAATATTTAATTAATTTTAATTACTACTCTCACTCTTCAACTGCACAACCCATTAGTCATAAGTAGAGGTGTATTAAAATTTTTACTTAAAAATAAATAACATATACTATTCTATTTATTTTTTCTTAATGTCCGGGTATGTCTGAATAGGTTTATTGAATTGGAATTGAGAAAGTGGATATGAAACTATACACAAAATATTAAATTAGTTTATCTATGAGTTGTATACTTGTAATATGCGAGAATTGAACTTTAAATTTCTCTGTTACATGTGAAGAAAGCACACATCTAAACTAAACCACTAATTGTTTTTGGTAATTAATTATATATAAAAAAGAATTTGTAAATTTCAGTCACTTTATGTTTTTAATTTCAAATTTAGGATAAAACATTGGACTGAAAAGGTATACATAAACTTTAGGGGACCTTTCTGCAAAACGACTTCACCATCAATATACTACGTACTCAGGAAACCCAAATCACCGACAGAATCATACGACTTAAGGATGCGCCACGTGTTATGTACTTTGATCCGACGGCGAACTAACGACGACCGATGAAATCATAAAATACACAAAGCGCGTTGGATTGACCCACCTACAGTATATCTAAAATAACCAATCCCAAAACAAAAAAGAAAAAAGAAAAAAAAAAACCCGAAAATGGTGAATTAATTACTGAGTACAAAAAAAGGAATTAAAACAAGCAGAGAGTAGTACTAGTATATTTAGTATAAGTAGATCTCACTTCTTCAACCCAAATCAAATCCTATTTCCAATCGCTGGGGTAAGGCTGAATCTGGGTGATCATTTCCTTCTTCCCCAACTCCAGACTGAATCTGGAATAGGGTTTTTCGATTGAATTGCGAGAATGGAGTTGTTCTATTACCTGGTTTTTGGGGGATTAGGGGCAGTGGTGGCAGCCCTGGAGTTGAGTAAAAACAACAAGGATCGCATCGCCACTTCTCAGGCTTTCACTTCCTTCAAGAACAATTACCTCTTTGTCTACTCCCTTATGATGGGTTGGTTGCCATTGCCTTCGTTTCTCCCTGTTTATGTTTTGTTTTTTTTTTTTGTTTTATAGTATATGCGTGTTTTTTTGTTTCGATTACTATTTTGGAGTGTTAATCCGTCAGATCTGATCCTCTTTAATGCTGCATTGTGTTGTGATTGATTGGATTTGGAATCGATCCTGGATTTTGACTGGGTTATTGTTTTTGGTTTGCGTGGATTAGCTGGGGATTGGCTGCAGGGTCCGTACGTGTACTATCTTTACACGACTTATGGATACGGGAAAGGGGATATTGGACAGCTCTTTATTGCTGGTTTCGGATCTTCCATGTTGTTTGGTACCATTGTTGGATCTCTTGCAGACAAACAGTGAGATTCTTACTCCCCCGATTCTTCAATCATTTTTGACATATTTGTACGAATGATTTTGAGTAATGATGCAGGAAATAGGTATTACTGTAGAGATCATTGGTGTGATTTCTTGTACAAAAGATTAGTATTTAATCACTACTAATTCACAGCTACTTATTCGTCATTTTGATGATTTTTTGAAATAATAATTATATAATCATATTATTTGGCAATGAGTGAATGCCATTTGAGTAGAGCTGCATGTTTTCTACTATCATGTAATGAGGAATTTGTTGCACATCATATGCATACACAGAGGCCAAAATTGATTCTCATAGTGATTGACTTTTGCATTTAGACATCCATTTGGGGAATTATCAGTCAGCTACTGTTAAAATTCTTCATTGTGCATTGTTTACAAATGCGTCTGCATGTGTGATACTGAGATTTCGGTTTGATGATGGAACCTTTTCAGGGGGAGAAAGAGGGCGTGTGTGACTTACTGCATCACTTATATACTTAGCTGCATCACCAAGCATTCCCCTCAATACAGAATTTTGATGGTTGGGCGTGTCTTGGGTGGAATTGCTACCTCCCTGCTCTTTTCAGCATTTGAATCATGGCTTGTGGCCGAACACAACAAGGTCTGTTTGCTTTTGCTTATGTTTTTCAACACAATTGAAGACAGATTGTATCAGTTTTATTATACCTGCCTGATGTACAGTTAATGAACACTTAAAGGATGTTGAAATTGGGATATCTGAGGCTGTGCACATTGACATTTACATTCAAAAGCTAGTATAAATTGGAAGGTAATTTCAGCCTGCTAACTTTACAGAGAAATAATATTTTGGCTGTCTTCCATTTGCAGAGGGGCTTTGATCAGCAGTGGCTCTCGCTAACTTTTTCCAAGGCTATATTTCTTGGCAATGGCCTAGTGGCTATTCTTTCTGGTCTGTTTGGAAATCTGCTAGTTGACACCCTTAACCTGGGCCCTGTCTCTCCATTCGATGCTGCTGCCTGCTTTCTTGCGATTGGAATGGCTGTTATAATGTCATCATGGACTGAAAACTTTGGTGATCCTTCGGACAACAAGGACTTGCTCACTCAGTTCAAAGGCGCTGCTGTGGCTATTGCATCAGGTAGGTCCTATTAATTATGTTCATCAGCAAAACTTAATTCGGGTGATTCCAATGAGTGCGTAGAATTCATGATTCTAAAACATTGTTTTTTGAGGTTTCCCACCTGAAGTTCTTTCAAGTGATAGCGATGCAAACACTGAAAGTAATTCAAGATAGAACCTTAGATATGAGCAACTACTACAATTGTCCGATCCTCACTGTATTTATTGTCTGGTTCAGATGAGAAGATAGCTTTGTTGGGTGCAATTCAGTCCCTTTTTGAAGGTTCAATGTACACGTTTGTGTTCCTCTGGACACCTGCTTTGAGTCCTAACAATGAGGACATCCCTCATGGGTTTATTTTCGCAACCTTCATGTTGGCTTCCATGTTGGGGAGCTCCTTTGCCTCTCGGCTTATGGCACGCAGCTCACCTAAAGTTGAGAGTTACATGCAGATTGTGTTTGTGGTTTCCTCTGCTTCTCTTCTGCTGCCAATTATCACAAATGTATGTAAAAATGGTTTTCTTTAAATTACATATTTTTGTATGTTTCATTGTTGGTGCCGTCAACTTACCGCTGGCTATTCTTTTTACAGTTCCTGGTAGCTCCATCAAAGGTAAAAGGAGGCGGTATCTCATTTGCAGGTTGTCTACAACTTCTAGGCTTCTGTACTTTCGAGGCTTGTGTGGGAATCTTCTGGCCGTCAATTATGAAGATGAGATCTCAATACATTCCTGAGGAGGCACGAAGCACAATCATGAATTTCTTCCGCATCCCACTCAACATTTTTGTTTGCATTGTACTTTACAATGTAAGTTATTCGTACCATTATCTTTTGAAGGTTGGTGGGAAACTAAGTTGTATGCCCTTCCCAAACCATATACTACGATCACGAATGATTTGTTCAAGATCCTTTTGATTGAGATACCTTAGTGTTCAGCACTTCAGTGTTTTTGTTTCTTTTTTACTCAGTACTAATTGCTTTGTTTTCCGTTTCTGAAGGTTGATGCATTCCCCATCACTGTTATGTTTGGCATGTGCTCAATCTTCCTCTTCGTGGCATCCATCTTACAAAGACGGCTCTGCGCTATTGCAGACAAGCCCAGTAAGTATCTTCTAGGTTTTAGAATCTGAAAGAAAAATATCTTTTGATTCACCGCCTCTTCCCCTAGCCTTTTCTTAAATTACATGTGTTCACTTTTGCAGAGACAGAAGATTGGATGGCAATGAAAGAGAGAGACACTGAGGAAGAGCCATTGACTGAACCTTAAGGTTCATACAATACACGCTATGTACACTGTATTTGCTTGCAATGGCAGGAGTATAGTTGAGCATACTATTCGATAGAAGGGTTTTGACGGGTTTCGATTCCTTCCTTCAGAACTGCTGAGACAAAGGGGCAGAAGAAAGAGGTGTTTCGAAGAAAAGTTTATGAAGCTATAGCTGTTTTTATTCAATTCTTAAAGAAAAAGGAAAATTATTAACGTCTATGAAACTCGCTGATTTTTGTAGTAGCTTTGGGTATCTTTTCGCCTTTTTTAATTTTATTTTATTATTATCTTGATGTCTTTATTGGCAATGAAACAAAATCAAGAAATGTCTCAATAATCTAGGTCTTTCTCAATTTATATTAAAAGTTGTATGGCAGAATTGTACTTCTCTCCCTATTCTTGCATTGATATGTGATGGATTGAACAGTGCTTGATACTATAAGAACTCCGAAGTGAACCTATGAAGATATAAAATAATGCATAAAAGAAAAACTGGTCACCAATCCCTGCCATGTCCTGTATAAATTCAACTGGAAAGGAGTGCTCGGTATAAATGCAAAAATTTAAGAAACAGAATGCCAGTCAAATCAAATCACGGCCATGTCGTAACCAGAGTAGTATCTGCAATGCAAATCCCATACGGCTCATCACTACGCAAGCATACACAGTAAAGACCATTCACATTTGTAACACTAGGAATGCATGGTACATAAAAATTTAAGAAGCACATTGAGATTCATCAAGCGTTTATGAATCAAATTTACAAATTTCAACGTTTTCAGAAGAAAGTTACACATTACAAGAGATGCACGGGGAGAGACATGCACTGAATAAATGTGAAGGCTACACACACGAAGCTACAAAGATGAATATTACAACAACATATGATCTACAAATACACAACTGGACAATCAATCAATCATTTTTATAATTTTCTATACAACCCGACTTCTTTTCGCTTGTAACGAAGCAGATTCTAGGTCACCAATAAAGAAAAGGATTTTGTCCAAAATACCGGAGGAACGTTCCTCCTCTTCATTATGGCAATCTTCTTCTCTCAAGGTGGTGGCTGAAGGAAAGTCAAAGATCTCTTCACTTACAGGTCTCCGGGAACCCAAATGCCTTTGAATCTCACCTAGGTGAACCAGGTAATAATCATCTCCTTCTCTTATGATCTTAAGGCCCCTGCAAGTTTTGAAGTGTTTAGCTTAAAGCTCAAGATAAGGATACTTAAGCGCACAGAGTATGATCTACATGAAAAGGATGATTCTTCAATCTGTTTTCATCAACCAACACTCATAACATAATGACTGTGAACTGACTTAGTTCTCGTTCGACATACATGGTTACAGAAATAAATGATGTTGTTCAGACCTCATGGCCACTGCGAGTTATAAAACAAACTCTAAACAACTTTTAAAGCACAAAACATTTTTTTATAAACGCAAATTGGAAACAGGATCAATGCATATCCTAAATGACTTCAGCAGCTAAAATGCAGTTTGAAATTTTGAATCCGCGGATTCTCATGTGAATATTGTGATAAACCAAAGCGTGATCCATATAGATACTTACAGTCCAAACAAGGCTGTAAAATGATGTAAATGAGAAACCATTCCTTATTAAGAATTAACTTACAGTCCAATACGATCACCTCGATCTTGAGTTACATAGACATCTTTCCACAATTTTGAACCTGCAGCAGGAGAAAAAAATGCAGCACGATCTGTACCCCACCTTTCTATAAACAGATTAGACCACAAAGTATCATCTGAAGCTAAGAATCTCCACTTCCTGCACACTTGAACAGGAAAAAGAAAAATTCTCCATCGGTGACTACAAACAAAAGATAAACCAGACTAAAAAAGGGAACATATCTATGAAATTTGAGGCTAAAATCCAGTTTGATTCCACAGGTAAAATATGGCAGCCAAAGTTTCTAAAAATTTCAGTATCTTTCCTTTTATCGTAAGGCGTAACTGAAATTTATTTACTGAAGAATTTGGGAAACAACAACAGTATCAAATTCGGAAATTCGGATCATCTTCCTTTGCACCTGGAGAATCCAAATGTGCGGGAAATTTCATGATCTGTCGATCTTGCTCAAGAATTTCAATACTGATACAACAATATCAGAGCAGAACTATGCTAGGCCCAGATCAGATCTTAAGACGGAATTCAAGATAACTTACGAAAAACCCAATGGTTTAAGTTTACAGAGTTCAAGCATTACTTATAATTGAATTGGGAAACATGCGAGGATCAAAAGAGGGATAATAATGATTGATTGGTTGAGTAAACGGGGCTTACCCAATTGAGCAGTGGCAAGACTTTGATGATCCAATAAGCATAGTATTTTGAGCCATAAATCGGAGGGCAGTTTCTCCTCCATGGGAATTGAATGGGACGAAGAAGATAATGGATCGATTGTTCCAGCGTTTTAAAAGGAAATAGCATAAAGGTCGTGTCTTTTTCTGAGCTTTTCCATTTTCACTCTGGAAAAAAAATGAAGCGGTTAAAAATCAAAGCACATGTAACTATAATTATTGCTGTTGTTAATTGGTTCAAATTAATTTAAGGCCGCAGGCGACTTGTGAATATTTATTATTTAATAAAATTTGATTTCTTTCTTTCTTTCTTTTTTTTTTTGGTTACATACAGTATTTAGGGCGTTAGCATATGAAATGAAATTCAAATATTTATTTATTTATTTGAGATCGATACCATTTTTTCTTCTTCATGAAAATTGATCTAGTTGGCTCACAATATGATCATCACTTGTGATTATGCTAGCCGGTGTGAATTTTTTCACTTGTCCTATAATCACCAAGTAAAACAACTTTTTAAGAAAAGAATTTGTCATGTGTGGGTGACTCGGTGTATTAGCCTGAAAAACCAAGATCATTTTTCCATGTAATTTTTTGGAAAGACGAAAGAGGTATATAGTATTTATCGGAATAAAATATTTTAAACTGTCACTAATTGAGGATGAAAAAACATTGATTATATCGTGTTTTAGTCACAGTCATTCATATTCTGAACTCTTATAGTCCTATCAACTAACATAGTTGATGAAGGTAAAATTTGATTCATATTGAACATGTGATAACTTCACCGGTCCAATCTCTATATGATCATCTTATGAATATCAATATAGTGAATATGCGCCAAAGGGTTTTGATGGTTTATATTTCACGGGTGGATTTCAAACACAAAGAGTAAAGAATAAAAAAAATTCTATAAACACTCTGAATTATGAGAAGCTTTTGAAGTGAATATTGTCAAGAACCCATAAGATGGTAGATCCAATGGAATTTATTAAAAAAGGGAAAGAAGGATGATCGATGCACGACTGAAGATACAAACACATGTAGTGTAGGTGCTGAGAAACGAAAGAACAGAAGTACACTTCAGAACGGAACGTGGGGTACATCCACCCTGTTTTTTTAAAGTCAAAATGCTGGAAAAAGAAAAAGACTAATTTGAAGCACTGATAAGAAGGAAATGTGATGATATTCATGATTCATCTCATACGGCAAGATTCACGCAATCTGGGGCTGGCGGAGGAGGTGATTTATAAGCTTTGTCAACACAATGGGTTTTGCAAGATCCTGAGGTCTTATTAGTTGGGCCGACCACACAAGAGACCAGGCATCTTTGAATTTCATCCGCAAGTATGTGGCCCTGACCTTGATCATCAACACCAGCCTGCTTCTGGAGATTATGTAAGCACAATTTTGGATCACCATTTCCTAAACACCCACCGAGGCATCCACCATAATCGTAATTACTACTACCTTCTGTCTCCGTGGAGGCAGTGTCTCCTTGCTCTGCCTTTTGTTGATGGCAGAGACCAATGCATTCAACCAGCGTTTTAGCCTCTCCTAATTCTTCTTGTGCGCTTAAAACAAGTACAAACACAAGTACTGAAATCATGACCACCACCTGCTTAGTAGCCATGCTTAATTTGAAGAGGGGTGGATGATGAATGGAGAAAATTCAATTAGATATATAGTTCCAAGATGGAAGGACTATTACTACTACGTATTACTTCTGGCTGCTGCTGTTTACCTTTTATCTTCACTTCGTATCATCATCATCATCATCAACTCAACATTTAAATTGAGCCCCCTAATAATCAACTAACGGTTGATGTTACTTATTTCCAACAACTCATTAGTTAGGCTTTCCCAATGATTGAATTAAGCCAGAGTTCATGTATATCATTCTTCTTGTTTCTCCATCGTTTTCAACGACTCTCATATGTGGGGGTGTTCTAATATTTTATCGCTAATTGATATTAGTGGTAACGTGTTTTGAATGTTAGTTTTATATGTTTGGTGCAATCAATGCAACTTCAACGAAATGATAATATAATCTCTCTACAGAAACATGTCTCGTAGTATTAAAAATCATTTCCGCTCAATAAGTTTCCATTTACTTTTGATATTCAAAGGTCTGTGAATGGGACATATTATCATCCTTCTCAATTCATTCACTGAAGGTTACGGCTACTCCACCCAATTTAAAGCTGTAGCTATCCTAATCAACGTTTTAAAATTTTCTTTTTTTGCTACGAACTCATGCACCACAAGCTTTGCATTATCCAATTTTATATCCCAAAAATGAATAATATGATGAACTGAGCAACTCACTTAAATTTATTTGTATTATTTTTTATTAAAATAATACTTAGTAAGCTAAAAGCTTAAGGAACATTGACCAAATAATGTACACCAAAAAAATTTCACGAATGTTCTACATAACTAAGATCTCATAGGCACGCATGCACATACACAAAAGTGCAGAGGATCTTTTGCCAAAACACAAGTACAATGGGGCAGAAATGCTAACCAGCAGAGAGCTAATATCTTGTAGTAACGCAGGCACGCCAAAACACAAAAAAAAAAAAGAAAAAAAAGGAGAAAATACACATCGATTAAACTAATACTAATAATTTTTTTTAACTACATACAATTAATGCAGTAATTAAAGACGAAACTACTCTCTATCATCATTACAAGTTATAGATTTTCCTTATTGTTGATTTTTTCGTAAACTATACTAGGTAAAAAAGAAAAAGAAAATAATTTCACTGATTAAAAGTTATCTGCCCTCTGTAAGAAGTAATGATAAAGCAGACTGAATCAAGCTTTTCATTTTGCCTCTCAAAATGGAAATGCTATTTGGCAAATTCAAGTCCTCCCATGAAATGGAATCATTGTCTTCTGATAACTGGAGCTGCTTTTGGAGGTAACTTTCAAGACAAGATCCTGCAACATTCACCAAACTGAGAGAAGCGTTAGTGTGCATCAACTTTGTTACAAGAAACCCTGCCAGAATATGCTGTCTACACTTCAAAAGCTCTGCTACAAAACACGGGAAAACGAGTCTGTTAAAAACAAGTGTCACTTCGTCGCCAGTGGTGGTTGTCGCACGCTGGAGGGTCGATAACTTCACCTCCTGGCAAAGGCGAGAGAGACTTCCAATCACATAGCAGATGTACGAGAAAGTGGTGCCATACAATGATGATTTCTCAATGACAGTTGAGATGATTCCGGAAGCTAGTAGAAGAAACAGGAGCTCAGTGTTCCTGCCGACCTCATCCGAGAATTGTTCTTGCCTCAACTTTTGCTCCACAGCTTCCAAACACTGCACTTGCTGGGCTTCATATGGAAGTAATAATGCCGTTTTAAGAGCTGCAAAGTGGTCCAGCTCGAGCAGCATTTCTATTAGATTTTGTGTGTCATCTTCATCAAGCAAAGTGATGCTCTGCCCTTTGTATTTGTCAATTAGTTTGAGGATGCCCAGATACTTGGAGAATCGTGCTAATTTTCTGAAAATATCCATCCAACATGAATGCAAAGGATGCAGGGAACAAATGAGATCATTGTCCCCCTCCTTTTTGCTCGGCTCCTCTTCTACAAAGCTTTCCTCCCATCCTTCGTCCCACTCGTCATTGCTCCAACTGCTTGCACCTCCATCATCGACTTTGGGAGAATCTGAATCTTTTCTTTCACTTGGGAAAAGATCCTCCCACTCAATCAACATTGCTATCAACGAATCCATATGAGATTCTGACTGGACAGCCTCAGATATTTTAAGGAAGCAAGCAACAGCTGATTCAACAGAGGAAAGATCTTCGGGCGCAATTCCAAGTACTGGTGAGATAGCTGACAATTGTTGAGATGATCTAAGGGCAACCAAAGTACCTGACAACCTGTTAGCTCTATCAGCAAGGTCATCATCACCTCTCATTTCATCGTGGTTCGCAGATGTAATCTGCACATTTTCCCAACCTTCCCAAGGAGGGACATTATCTTTTCGCTCATCACATAACCCTTTCACTAGTTTACCTGTAGTGGTGATACGCTGCATAAGCTCAAGAATATATACACGGACATGGCTAGGCAGTTGCAAGTCATCAGAAAACTTGGATAACTTACTCCAAACTGCAAGCCTGACATGAGTCAAATCCTCCAAATTCCCCTCATATTTATGCAAAGACAAGAAGAAACAACGTAAATGCTCTTGGTCGAGAGACCCTCTCTCCAGATCCGACAAAATTTTACCTAGTACAGTCAAATACAGATTTGAAAGATCCTCGACATCAGAAGACGTTCCAGGTGAGAGATGACACATTGCATCAGTGAATACATTGGCAACAGCTGAAAACTGGCATCCAGCTAAAATCATTGCTCCACAAAATTCGGAGACTTCAGCAATAGGATCACCTGTAAGGCCTGAGATAGTGAAACCGATAACAGTGCCCCATCCTTCAACTTGAGATACTTCCCCCTTTACGATCAAGTTGAGAAAAACTTCCACGCTTGTCATTAAACACTCCGAACACAAACTTTTATCCAAACCTTGAAGAGATTTGAGTTCCTCCATGTCCCTCATCAATTTAAGCCAGACGTTCAGTAGTTTGATCAGACATTCTAGCCACATTGAGTCCACAAGTTTATTTGAAGGTTTATCAAACTGTGCTGTCACTGAAAAGAATTGCTTCATGATTTCCAATGTATCTGTATACTCAATGAATTTCAGGTACTTACGACAAACATCATAGGTTAGCTCGAGCTCAGTTACAAGGCACTGAAGATCTTCAAGGAATGGACTGCTTACCTCCGAATCAAACTTTGGTTTTAAAGTTGCCAACAAGTTCAATACATGGCAATAATAAACATACTGCCACGTTAACAGATCTTGAGGCACTGTATCACCATAGATGCCCCTAAGATTTCGGACCATATTCGCCAATGCTTCCACAGTGTCCTCGGTGATGTGGGAAGAGACTTCATCATTAAAGCAACCCCAGTTCAGATCTTGCAATCCAGCAATTCTTTTGAAGTTGAGACCACGAATAAAGGACACCCTAATGCATTCCTGTCCAAAAATCTTGCTCGAATGAGATAACTTAGTCCTTGTGTCCATATCTCTCATCTCTAACTTCAGGTAGCACTCAGAGAGCAGATCATACATATAAGCAAGCCGATGCTTATCGTGTCCGTCGATCATCGGGTAGACAGACAGACTAATGACTTTTATGAGATCGTCAGCTAAAGAAACGAGTTCGTTTTTAAATTCTGAAAGAACCATGATGATATCATCAACTGCCCAAATGTCAGATGTAAAGACTGCACTCATAAAGCTTAGCAGCACCTGACAAGAAGGAAAAAGAATTCTATTAAATTAAAGGCATAATAGCAGAACAACTTTATAAAATTAATTTTACTACTGAATTGTGCTTTTGTTCAGATTAAAGTCACAAATATTTTGACATAACACAGGGAAATAAATATTGCGGGACCATACCTTACTGCGATCCACATTGTATGTATCAGCTAATTTTAGAACATCAGGCAGTATGTGTTTCTTCTCAAGTTTTACAGATTCAACAAGGGAGAAAAGAACACTCTCTATGTACTCAGTATCCCCAGACAAAAATCGAGCAGTTTCAACACCTGGAATTATTTGTTCCAAAGCCCTTGACTGGTCTGCTACACGCTTGTGCTGCTCTAATTTCATTTTCCATTCTCTCCAAAACGCAGTTTGAGTCCTGTTTAATTCATCTCTTTCATCTAAACCCAAACAAAAAATATCATGAACAAGTTGAACATAGAGGGCTATGCAAAAGAAAATAGAAGAAACCTTTTGCAAACAAAAGAAGACCAGTCCAATTTATCAAGCAAGATCTTAACTGTAATATGGAACAAAAGGATTATAGAGGATTACCTAGAGCCATGGATTTGTGTTTCTGTTGGAATTCTCCAAAAAGTAGCATCCTCCTTTGAGCAGCATCCTCACATTCAACACCGCGGTTGTGTAATAAACCATAAATCAAGCCCACATTCATAATGCTAGCAATTTCATCATAATTTTCTCTTTCTTCAACCAATCCTTCAATTATACCCACGCCAGAAAAAGCATCAACAAAATTTAAAAGAAATGCGCATCCTAAAATGTCTTCATCTTCAGTAACAGGAGATTCCATGATTGATTTAGCAAGGGAGGCGAGCAGATCATCTTTGGGGGCAAAACCATTTCGTACCAACCAGGACATAATTGTTAATACTGCTTGCATTCTAACACTTCCGTATTTCTTACCCGATTTTGCTTTACTTGCCAGTTCCAGCAACCAAGGAAGGCGTAATGCAGTGAAGGACAAAATTTTCCCATTCTCTAAGAGCAGAGATTCCCATTGATTACTGTCGTTCCCAGGTAAGGACTTGGCAACTAAAGAGAGTTTATCTTTCATAGCATTAAGCTGCATTTCCGAATCATGTCCAACACCGCCAACCTTTCCTGACCAAGTACCAAAGTCGGCTGAGCCTTGTGTACCGTAGAGTGGATATGATAAAGTAAAGTAACCCAAATTTGAGGATTCAGGAGGCTCAATACCACTCTCCATTATCAAATTTTCACACTGTCCTTGCATGTCCAGATCTTTCCACACATTTAGCAGGTCATTAATAGATTCTTCATCACAGTGGCTCAAAGAAAACCCCAACAGAAATTTACGAGAATTTGCATCCATGTTTTCCAATTGACTCCTAGCAAGTGCAGCGCATAGGTCCCAAACAGAACCATGACCCTTTTTAGCCAACACAAGGCACAGATCAGAAGCTAGTTGCAGATCCCCAGCAACTGCTGCTTCCCTTGCAATAGCTTCTTGTACAGCCGACATATCTTCGTGTGAGGTCAACCCAAGAAGCTTAGCAATTTCAATAAGTTCTTCAACATTGAGATAAGCTCCAGCCTGACTTGTAATTGCCAGCTTCACTATTTCCAGTGGATCTTTCATTTGTCTATACTGTAATGGCAGGATTTTAACTCCAAGTTCTGGAAGTTTCACCGTAATAACATCAATGACATCAGACTCCATCCTGACCAACCTGCTGTTAGGCAATATATTCAGACAGTCCTTGGCTTTCCAGACCTTGCAGAAAATAAAGATGATTGATCAATAATTTTATCAGTACTTTCAAGATATGACGGAGAGACTAACCAAATAAGCCACAAAGAGAGAGAGAGAGAGAGAGAGAGAGAGAGAGAGAGAGAGAGGTGGGTAAAAACTTATTCACTGATGTAAATGAGAGGGGTGGGGTAAAAACTTATTCACTGATGTAAATGTTATACCAAGTACAAACTATAGCATAATCTCTAATACTCATGTCCTCCGACTAGAAGCAACCAAATATCTAAAACCTTGTTCAAACTACATTTCAATAGTATACCCGTGCGAATGGTCAAAATACACAAAATAAAGATCCTTAGCACAATCAAGTATTTCATAAACAGCCCATTTCACATGTTGCATGTTTAAGTTACATTGCGGTACTCATATATTGTCATTTCCAGTTTCTTCCAAATAATGAGCACCCAAAACAAGCTACAGATTAATACAAATAAAGATTACAACGAGAAGGCGATGAACACTGCTGGTAATTTACGAAGTCAGCAAGCTAAATTCACAATTGCTATCAACCAGATGAAAGGGTAAATGTAAGAAGAATTAACTCTTACTTCTGGGCTGTCAAGACTCGATGCTGAGTAGAAATATTCTCTGGCTGCTAAAATGACAAGATTTTCAGCTTTATCAGCTGCCAAAACTACTGAACCTGTACCTTTCAGGTAGTTCCTTGCCAAAGAAAATTTGCCTGCTTTGAGCAATCCCCTGCAGAACTCTATCAGCACATACTCCAAATCAAGGAAGGGAAATGCCTTTTCTTGCAAAGATTGCAGATCATGCCACAAAGTTGCCCACTCATGATCTCCACGACCAAGTTGTCTCCGAATGAATTTGGAGAGGATAAGGCGGATTATCTGTTTTACAGCCTTCTCATCGTTGTGTGCTTCTCTGAAAAAGTTTATTGGCTTCGGCACCTGAACAACAACAACCGCAATGAATAAAAGAGAATAATCCCACACTTTAGAGCTCAATGCCCAGTAGAGCATGAATTCAATACTAGCTATAGATCAAAAGACATTCTGGAAATCATAAGCTAACACTAAAAAGGCATGATCGGCCAACAACCTGGTAAAGTGCCAAAAGCCTTCCTGCTTCAATGTGTCCTTCAGCAACTTTCAGTTGCATCTTTAGGCTTTCATTACCAAGACCTGAAAAATAAATATGGCAGACATATTTAGAAATACAATGGTCAGCATGAAAGTCATAGTTGATCAAATTAGGGCTTAAAACTTCAATTGTAGAAGCAATCAACACCTACAGACTTGCAAATGAGAAACCCCAGTTTACAAGATAATTCAACGCCGAAGCTTAAATAAGACCGAGAATGAAAACTAACAATTAGCAGAGTGCTGCTTTGAGGATCTTTCTGGAATTTTGTGAACTGCCAAAGCAAAGTGCCAAAAGCTTGGCAAAATAAGTGAATTCAAGAATTGAGACTTATTATTTGACAAGAAATAGGGATAATGAAGAAGCTTTTGGCTAGAGCTATCACAGAGTAAAATTGAATCATTAACTGCTAGGCCACAAATGTTTCATTAAAACCAAGACAAATTCAATGCCATAATACAGACGAGGAAGATAGGAAACAACTAGAACAAGTAGCTAATTGGTTTGTATTTGCCACCTTCAAATCATCAAAAAGTAAGTCAGCTGAAATAATTTGTATTGAGTCTTGAGCTAGTGATCTTTTAAAATGAAAAACAAGTACCTTGTAAAGTTGGAAGTTTGGACAAAATGGAGGCCATAGTGCTCCATCTATCAGTAGAGGAGCACAAGTAAATACATTCTAGGGCACAACCCACAACTTCGGTCTCATCCCTGAAAAAGTAAGCATTGTCCATGTCTTTGCACCCTGCTTCAATTGTTATCAGGCATAACTCCAGCTTATTGTCCGAAGATATCTCTTTCAACCATCGAACCAGAAATGAGTCAGTGGTCAGCTCATTTGTAGAGATTGTGGTTGCATGAAAGTTCCTCTTTCGCATGAAAGGGATAGCATTTCTTTGCAGTCTTTGAATTATATTTTCATCTCTTACACCCGCAAGCATCAATTTAAACTTTTCATAATCAGGTAACTTCTCCCAGGCACTTAAACTAAGAGAATTATCCATTTCTTCAATATTGTCATCAAAATAAATAAGCTGGTGGAGATAAGAGATATCTTCAAGGAAATGCTGCAAGTCTATCCCTTTCCGACAAGCAAAGTCAATTAAGTGCATGCAGTTATCTAGCTGTCCACTCAGCATGTCAATATTTTTAGCCCTATTTTTGTACCACAGAGAGAGAGAATCAGCTGATGGCCACTGGAATCCCATGCATTTCTTGATAATGAGTTCAGTCCTAACAAGATCTTTGTTACTATCGTCCTTGGACATTTTGTTGGTAAATGAAATCATCTTATCACATTCAACCCAATCCTCTTCCCTCATAGCAATACTTGCCAGAGGAGAACACCCAGGAAGCAGGTGTGCGTAAGATTGAACTGAAAGTGTCTCAGGAATAGCATCAAGGATTTCCAGAACGAAAGGACTCAGAGAATATGGATGACGTTTGAAAAGAAGATTCAAAGCTCCAATCTTTCCGTTTTCTGCGAGGGCTATAGCAGCTTTATTGATTGGTGCACAACGGAACTTGTGGTACCCCTGGGCAGAAAACCTACAGAACGACCAAGTATTTCAAATGTTAAAAAAAAAAAAAAAAAAAAAAAAGAAAAGAAAACAAAAACTAGACACACTCTTTTGCTTTAAAAATGAAAATCAACATTACCTTCCCATATTTATCCCCAGAAAAGTTTCTAGCCGGTCTCTAAATTGTAACAATTTTAGTCTAGCCACACGAAAGTCCCAAACAGGGCTGCTAGCATCTTCTTCTGATTCAGAAAATTTATAAGTATCTGTTAAGTGCAGTCCATGAACAAGTAGAGCCTTAGCTGCATCTTCTGTGTGTCCTAAACATTCTATGCACTGGGACACAACAAAGGTTTGGTCTTTAATAGTTGATAGCAATTCTTTTATCTCATTGACACCTTGCCCAGAAGATACCCACTGAGACTTGAGCACTTCGTCTTTATCCAGCCCATGACGATCAGCAAAACTAAAAGCAGCATGATAGTCTTGTTTACTGATTAGTAGATCATACATTTCAGCAACAGATCTTTCTGATAATGAAAGCAAGCTCCATCGCATTTTAGCAAAATCCAGCTGCTCAATAAGACACAAGTCATTTATTGTTTTTCCCTCAAATGTTATACTGGTTTTTTCAGAGTATGTACTCTCCAAAAGGAAAATGCATCTCAACAACTCTTTTGATGTTCCCAGGATAGGCATAGAGTAAACAGGATGATTCTCTAACAGTTTGACACCCCTAGGGACATCAAATAGCATGAACGTGCCTTTACGTTCCACAACAGCAAGTACATCATCTGACCACCAGGTGAAATCTACAACATCATTCGACAAATCTGTTTTGTGTGTTTTTCCATCAAAGAATTTCACGAGGTTGCAGGGTTCTTTATGAAACTTAAAAGTAAGCAAGCAGCCTGTGAGATCCATAGTAGCAATAAACGTTCCCTGTGGTGAAATTAGCACTTTTGAAGATGTCAACTTCCCTGCGTCACATTTTTCTTCAGAAAATGATCCTTCAAACTCAATGGATACCATCAGTTCCAAAATCGAGCAGCTACTTCTTTGCCAAAGAGAGAGACTACATGATCCTAAGGACATTCCAGAAAAAGTAAATATTAAAAATTTTCTCAGAAAAGTAAGAGAAAAAACACTCGTAGAAAAAGAAAAAGTTTGATGAGATCTGTAAGTTGGAGTAGGCACTATATATTAACATTGCGGTGAAGTATGAAGAGAGTCAGTATCATCCTGCAGCCATCTATAAGTCATAAATAGCTGGAAACTACAGTGAGTTCTCCACCAAAAGAAGGGAGATTAATTTATCTAATCTACATAAAAAAATTTCCTACATGATTCAGAAAATTCCTGCTCCCAAACATAATGGTACATCAAATCTAATCACACAAAGAGACAAAACTAAACAATAAAAAACCGAGACTTGCAACAAACCAGAAAAGAGGACGGCAGAAACTTTATGTACATTCAACTTTGTTTCACAAAATGATGGAATGAACTACTCAAAAACATAACATACTTCTTAGCGAAACTTGTCTTCAAACAGAAACAATATCAATAAGAAAGTTCAATACAAATGCCAATGCCAACGCCACCAGATTTTGTTTTTCTGAACCAACAACGAATTACGAAACACTCATCAAAGAAGTAACTGCTTCATTTTAAGACAGGATAAATGGATTCTGTATCCATAAAATGATATTCTGCCACAACAAATTTCTCGTTAATCATTAGAAAATTCTAACTCAACAGATACCACAACTTAAAACAAGTCACCAAGAACTACCAACCTGGATGCTCAGCCGTGGAGGGGAATCTACCATCACTGTTAACCATAGCAAAAATGGAAAGCTCCGGATGGTAATCCATACAGGAAAAATTCTTTGGAATTTGCTTCTTCAGCACAGCTCCAGTATGAGGAAGATGTGAGGCTGAAAAGGAGGCACTTGGATCCTGACTGATTTCTATATCGTGGAGCAAACCATCTGATGCAAGAATGCTAAAGGTGCACCTGTAAAACATTTCAGCCACTAAGATATGGACAAAGAGGCTAATTAGAAAACAATACACAAAGCAATTGCTCAAGAAGGAACCTCGACTGAAAGATCTTCCTTACAGGCAAGGTTTTTTCGCATCCGTATCTTGCCGAAAAATCAAGCCTAATATCGGCAGTGAAACTTTCAACTGCTGCCCACTGATTCTGGTAATTTCTTCACCATTAGCCTTGATAAAATACAATGTATTATTGTCATCCACAAGGGCAAGTACATCATGAACTTCTGACCATGTCCCACATGTGAATGTACCTGGGCTTCCACCTAAGGGATACGAATTGGAGTTAACATATGTTATCTCATGATGGTAAGGGTTGCTCAAGTCAACTTTCGACCGAGCTACCAGTCTGCCTCCCCTTTACCATTCACACACACACACAGGGGTGTGTTTTATCATGCTTGATATTCAAATTACAGGAAGCAACAGCCTGATGAAGGATGACTGTTTCAAAAAACAAAAAAGAAGCATACTATGGGACATTGGCAGCAAGAAAATAAGACAGACGAACATCCAACAGTTAAGGTTAATAGCTGCAGTGCTTCTTGTTATCCAAGATCCGAGTATCCTAGTCAAAGAACCTTTCATTCATATTGTACATGTATGTTGATTGTCTGCAAAGATCTGCAACGTAAACTTCACAACTCTCTAGAGTCTTAAAGATACAAACAACACCAAACATGACATTCTCACATACCAGTAAATGGTCAAATCAGAGACTCGAAAAGATCACCTCTAAAAGCTAAATGAAGGAGAATATAATCGATTATTTCCAGGATCAGAAAAACTTACTGGTAAAATAACCCCGTGGTTCTTTATAATGGTCGTCTTTGTGCAAGAAAGTTATCTGATTCATAGAAGATACAGCCACATGATCTGCATGTGAAGATATGAACAATGCTGCATATCTCGTAATTTTGCGATTCTTACCCCCCTTCCATCTCTCCTTAATTTGAGTGATGCCTTCAAGGTAGAGGAAGTAAATAGAAAGCAATCAAGAAACAAGCAAAGCAGTCCCAGAAGAAACTGAAACAAAGCATAACTCGAAACAAGAAGCCAAATGGATAAAGAAGATACAGAACCAAAGTGTGGTAAAGCAGTGAGCTTTGACTCACAACAAGAACCACATCTCTTAAATCTAAGGGGCTCATTTTGTACATTAGAAATTCTTGTACCGTCAAATTAGCATCTCGGCACAATTCAACCATCCAGCTCAAATTCACCTAAGACTAACTCATAACAATTGGTCGTGGCAATAAGCAAAATATGTTTGGCCATACAGATTGCAACACAGCCCTCCAAAGAAAGCCATATTGGAACAAAAGGCTTGAGGTAATAACTTTTCCTATAATATTAAATAAAGAACAGGGCCAAGCCAACTAGTTATAAAGTGTTCTACATCCCCCTTTCTTCATACACCCCTAGGAAAGTCTCAATTCAACCATGCCCAGGGCATCCTCCTATTTCATGTCATGCTTAAACCATATGCCCCTGGCGTCATCCCATTTGATGTACCATATATTTAAACGGACTCCCTCCTGAGTTGGAATCCAGCCACTGTGCCATGACAATTTTTTTGGTTTCTACTTGTATTGCATCTAATGTTCTCCTACAAATGTGCCCAAACCATCTCATTTGTCATTCCCTCGTTTTCTCCTCTACTGGTGCTAGTTACATCTTTCATTTCCTTATGTCTTGGTGCTAATCACACCCATACAGCAAGAACACAAATGCTTCAGTTGTAATATACTATAAGCCTATAAATGCATAGCAGATTAAAAACATTATTCAAGTAGCGAAAACTCTGAGGATCAATTACAGTTCAAATTCTCATAGGCGCGAAAAATAACGAAACACGTTTGAGAGAATCATGCCTACCTCGAGGTGTGAGGTACGACAAAAAGCTCCTCCCACCCCCATCGTTCGACAACTGCTTTAATCATCAAAACCACCAGAAGTAAGCGATTTGTAACCATCACCAATACACTAAGAACATTGGAAGGATTCCGAACTTGAACATAGATTGGGAAAAAAGAAATGAAGTAACTCTGCGGATCAAGTATTAAACGAATAGCTGCGCAGCGCACCTGTTGACGCGACGGAGGGTAATTGGAAGTGTAATTTCCAGAAGCATGCTGCCGTGTTTCGAAAATTACTTCTCCAGAGCTATCCGCCATGACTTAGAAATCGAATTTCCTAGATTTCAACTGGAAAACCGGCGGATTCCTTGAATTTTCTTTCTCTCTTTTTGGTTTTCCTGACCTGAAAAGTGAAGAGAAGAAGAATGAACAACTCGGCATCGAGCGGTCCGCTGTCGAACCGTTGAAGTCGAAGTGGTCCGGGTTTTTCTTTCAGGATTCTTGATCTGGCCCGAGACTGCTTACTATTCCGATCTCACGGTGGGAGCCGGCGTTGTTTCTTCCTTCTCGTCTCAGAGGGCAAACCGGTTTAAGTTTTCCGTAAATTGCAAATGGCGCCCAGTGATTTTGGTAAGTTACAAACGCCGCTTGGAGTTATTGTATTATCCCTTTTGGTTCCTCATCTATGGAACTCAACTCATTTGATCCCTTGATTTTTGAAGTCATATTTCTTTTGAATTTTGATCTCACGTGAAAAAATATAGTATATAAAATGAGAGATAGAATTTTGAACCAAACTTTTATTTTTATAATATTGTATTCATTCAAAAATATTCTCACAACTAATACCAACCAGTTTAATGAGCCATCTTACTTGAAATCCATACCTAACTTGATTCTCTAATACCAAAGCTCACTCACTATTTATCACTGTTTGCTATATTATATTTTTTTTTTCTTGAAAATCTTGTTTATAACTTAAATTGAGCAAGTTTAATAATTCATAAAACCTTTATTTTATATGAAAAGTGAGAGCTGATGTGAGATATAGTTGGATGTGTGAAAAAGATGGTTAATATATTTTTGTAGCTAATTAGAGGATCTACTGTAGTTTGGTGCCTCAATTTGACTTCACAAATAGTGACAAAACATGCACGAAAAAGAATACCACAAGATTAATGGTGATGTGAGATAATCTATCTACTGAACAGAAATCTTTTATATTGATGCATTTTAAAATATGGGTAATGGCTTCAACTATGCACGAACTTTAGCGATGGGGATGAGTTATTTATTCATGAACCTAAAGCGACCGGACCAAGAATAGGATAATATTATAGAAATGAGGAATTACTCGTTGATAATATAAGACCAAATTAACAAAAAGAAGTACTCCACTTAAATAAGTGGAAATGTGATTTATCTCTTTAAATTAAGGGCTAGGCTTTATATTTTTTATTTTATTTTTTGAAACGCTGTTCTTTAATTTGTTGGAGTGCTCATAACTTCATTCGTCCCTAGTAGTACTAGTGATGTCTGGTCGCGCACCCAGTCTATCTGTAAATTTTAGAAATGTTTATATTTGAAAAAAAATAAAATTTTGTATTTGGAGCGATAAATTTTAGAAATGTTTGAAGGATTTAGAAATGTTTTATAAGTGTGATCATAGAAATATTTGTATTTCACAAAAAAAAAAATTGTATTTCGCCATGTATGTTTTAGAAATATTTTATAACTGTTACTTATTAAATATAAATAGACTTAATCGAATATATGTGTTGAAGTAAATGTTAGACAAAATATAAAAGTATCCTAATAAGTTTAAATATTAGTAAGATGATTTATTGATGTTCTCCATTGGTCGTGCCAAATCAATACTTAGTTTTGAAGATTTTTAATAGTTTTGTAGTAAGTTTCATCCGAAGGTACACGCTTAAAATAAAATTGACACTTTATAACAAAAACCTAATTGATCAATTCAATTTAGACTCCATAATTAAGAGAAGAAAACCACTCTAATTGAATAAAGAAAAATTAAAAAAAAAAGTGTCACGTAAAGTGCAAAGGAGGATTTAGTAATTTAGTTATGGTTAGACAAAAGGTCAATTTAATACTTTCCTCATGTCACGTGGCAATCATAGGAGGTGTTTGAAAGGGGGGTTTTTATAGTAATTTAATTATGGTTAGACAAAAAGTCAATTTAGTATTTTCCTCATGTTACGTGACAATCATAGGGGTGTTTGAAAGGAACATCATCCCTTCCCACCCAATACAAACTCATACAAAAATCATACAAAATACTATACAAAAGTGGGATAAAAAAAAAAGAACTCACCACCATATAAATTAGTGCGATCATGGTGCGTAGCCCTATTGTAAAAAGTGGGATAAATTAGTACGACTGTATTGCCGGAAGAGTTTGACCTCAGTACAAAATACTATTACTTCTACTCTAAAAAAAAGAGTGGGCTCTATACAAAATACTATTGTTTTCCGTTCGGTCAAACATCAGCCGATGAAAACATTTCTATTTGGACTGTATTCACTTACTGGACCCTAAGCCCAAAATATTACCCAAAATATTCCGGTATTGGAAGAGTTTTTTTATTTTTTGCCTGACATTGCTGTGTGGCGGACCCTACATCACCATTACCGTAATTTCGCCTAACATTGCTGTGATCGTAAAGCGGCGGCAAACGGTGGAGCTCCGACGAATCAAATTTTCTTGAATTCGCAGTACTGCTTTTGTCGCCGGTGCTACTGCCACGTGGGTGTTGTTGCTGCATAACACTATTGTCAATGGCTCCATGAGTATGCACCAATGTGCCCAAGTACAGAAACTCCGAGCTCGTTTGCGACGGCCTCTGAAGCTTCGGAACTGAGTAATCCATTCCCATACTTGGAAAAGTAACCAAACCGAAAGAAATGAATTGAAAATGGGATTCAATTGAAGAAATCAATGAAAGCTTATGGATTAAGGTAGGATTCAATTGAATTTTGTACAATAGATGCCTATAGAAGGTTTGTTTCCCATTCTATGTTAGAATAGATGGAAAGTGGCGATTCGGGCTCTGGCACGGGAGAAAATGGTTTGCGACAGAGGTGCCCGAGTAAGGCGGGGTGGCGGTGGAAGCGGCGGTTTACCGGCGGTGGACGGCGGTATTTTGATTATGAGAACGTGCAAGATTTTGGAAGAAGAATCGAAAATGAAAGGGGCTGAATAGCAATCTCATCAGTTGTGGAATAAAAAGTAATATAATTTATTCTTTTATACTGTAATGGAGGAGTGAGAATTTGAAAGAGGGAAGAAAACAGAAGAGCACGTGGTGTGCATTCTGAAGGGCATTATGGAAATCTGTTAATTTATTAATACCAATTAATGACAATTAATGAGGTGGAAATGCCACGTGGCAATTGAAGGGGAGCTCTTTGAAGTGTGGTTTTTGTTTCTTATACAGTAAGAGTTATTTGGAATTCTTTGTTTAAAAAAAAAATTAGTGCACAATATGGATTATAGTTTTAGAACGTGAAAACAAAAATTATGAGAATAAAATGCATGGAATTCAATATTACTCCATTTGTCAACAAACAGAACTACTAAAATGAAATGAAAAGATTAATATTAAAGTATATTTATATTCGTCCTGAAAAGAAAAAAAAGATTATCTAACAATTATACTAAAAAAAAAGTAAAAAATTAAAATAATAAAAAATTTAAGACAGAAATAGTATATTTATTTTCGCTTGTTGGCCACCTCCTAAAAAAAAAAGTGCCAATTGATGAATGATGAGCACATCATTAAAAAAATACTATAAACATAAAAAAATTTCACTCAATAAGACAACACAAGCAATATCTTCTCTTCACCTTTTACCCTGTATGAAATAAAAGATTGGACATTATCCAAATATTTTAAGAAAAGCCATCAACAAAAAGATGAAAACGATAACATTGCAATTCCCAGGCGTGTACATGTACTAGGTAATACAAAACCGAAAAGAAATTTTGGTCGTGTGCATGAACAAGGTGCACGAAATGGAAAAAGGTACCTCTGAAAGATTCTACCATTCTTCCAGCTTGTGGACAAAGTTCCATACTTATAACTTAATCAGTGACAAGACCCCAGGAATTCAAGTTAATAATGATGGGTAGCTTTATGGATTTATACGATATGTCGATATCTATGTAATGAACAAATCAACACTTTTGATGTATCCGCATATTTGGTCACATCTTAATTATTTTTCCCGTTCTGAAATAAATCAATAATTATTCAATTTGAATTGTTCATATTTAGTCAAAACTTAATAATAATTATCTGAATGAACTTTGTTTGTTAATAAGTGTATATAACTCATGACCAACTACGCAGAGTGAAACAATGTTCTTCAGTTTATTTACTTATTGTGTATGTGATGTCAATAATCTTTGTTAAATCATGTCAAATAAGACCTGTCACAACTTTTTGCTTATGCTTAATACTCATTGTTAGCTAACCTTTCCCCGTTGTAGCTGTGTTTGCTGATCAGAATCTGTGACAATAGGAGTACTACCTTCCAGCATTGTTATGTTTCGGAAGTTCAAGGTATTTGTGACCTTAATTATCATCCTATGCCTCGCACTTCAAATTGACGCATGGGGAAATCATCTAATACTACAATGGTTAAAACACTTTTTGAAGTTTATTTAGGTTTAGATTCCACTAGTTATTTAATCAAGAAGACTTATCTTTTTTTTTTCTTTTCATATTACAGGGTATTCATTGTTGGCAACAATGACTAATCCCTTCGCTCATGATAAATACATCGATGAGTGGGAAAGTTGATCCAAAAATTTAAAGTTGCTCTATCTTCTATTTATTGATCATCCAATTAATGTGTCGCAACATGCCTTAGAATAATATTCTTTCATTGAGCGGATGTTTTTTTTTCCCTTGTTAGCATTAATAGTATCAAGTCATAAAATTAAACACTGAAATTGTTAGTAACGAACACGCAGCGCAGGTTCTGTTTTCAAAAGTATGGTAGGGTTTTTGGTCCGACTTATCCAAACAAATCATTGGTGCTGGATTGGACTCCATTAATTAGTTGGATAGGAATATGACCAAGCTTAGGGTAAAGATCTAAAGGTCTCCTTCTAATACTAGCAAAAGCAAAGGAAGTGGACGCAAAAGCTAAAAGAACTTCATTAAAAATATAAAGCACATGAATACACGATGTCCACTGATTTATTTGTTTTTAATTACACCAATTTCTTCATCAATGGTTGGTGTAAAGTTTATGTCCACTCCTTTTTTTTAATCATAATATATATTCTATTTAATCTTTAGTATGATTGGAAATGATCCCTCCACCTGCTTCACCATTTTACTGTAATTAGGTTCAAAACTTTCAAACTAAAGAGTATTGGGTTCCCGTACGGCTGGGATACCAATAATAACAACGATCGTAAGCTTTTTTTTTTTTTTTTGGATAAAAACGATCATATGCTTGATTAAACAAAAGGAACAAAAAACAGCCCGAGTCTAGGAACATTTTTACCAAAAAGGCTAGCTAGGTTAGCTAGAATATAGGAATATGAATGTTTTGCTTTGTCTACAAACAGTTTCATTTTAGAATGTAATTCATGACGGTATCTGATGAACATTTCTCGATTAATATAATTCACATATCTAAGGTTAAATTACGTGAAAGTCACTTTCAAAAGTAAGTTTTACCAATTCAATATATTCACCTTTAAAATATGCGGTACTAAATGATAATTAACCACTTATAATCGGTTTAACGTAATGATAAAATATCGTAGTCATTGTAAAGGCATATATATAATAATGATTCCAGTTTTGTTTTTGTTAGTCGATGCTTAAAAATTTGATCAGATTGATTGTATCTGTGATATTTCTTCGCAGCATAGCTTGATTAGATTGTTAGGTCATGTTTTTTATTGCCGAAAGTAAGCTTAATATATGATTGTTCTTAATTTTTTACTACGAAATAATAATATTGTGTGTTATGCGACAATTTAGGCATGAGGTGGCAACAAAACCATACAAAAACGGATTGTGAATTTTCTAAAGATCCTCCACTACGTAACGATGTCCGTTTCCTAGAAAGGTGAATTGGGAGTGGATTTCTCAGTCCTTATTACATGATCATTTTGTACTTTATACTACTCCACCTATAACGAGCAATTAAGAATCATGATGACTAAAACTATTAACATTAAATTCTATCTGGTCTTAATTATAAGACACGAATTAACATTAAAACCAGTAAAAATTTTCCGTTATAGTCCACAAGAAGTTTAATTTTCACAAGTACCCACAAGAAGATATCAATTAACTACATATATACATGGACTGGTTAAATATCTTCTCCATGTGCAATTTAATTTCTTGTCACCATTTAATATCACAAACTGTGTTGCCAACAAGGCTTGATCATGCAATAGTGATGCTTTAAGGATGACATAGTGTTAAAGTTCAATTTTGAAAGGGTATTTTCGCAAGAGTTAAAAGTCTAAGTTTAGCTGTTTGGACATCCTCACGTCATGCGACTTTGCCATCAGAAACAATTTTCTATGTTTCCAAAGAAATAAAACAAAAGACAAAGTAACAAATACTGTAGTAGTAGTCCACAACCCATGTTGGCTTCTTTTTTTTCAGATTATATTTTAGTTAATCCCTCCCCACTTTTGGTTGCAGGAATGAGGAAACCGTATTCGTACGTGAAGGCTTGAACTACCCAACCGCATTTCACTGCCGAGGAATTCAAACTTTTAAAAACCCCAACCCGGATTGGGTTAATTATTTTTAGTGATTTGACAGCCCTTTCATTATTTTGCCACCAGCTGTCTCTGCCTTCCTCTCCCCCTAGTCCCCTATATAAAGAGGGAAGGTGTCAAAGAGTGGATACCATAAATCCAGATGATATAACATTACACATATATAGATTCATGGGAGAAGTAGACAAGGTGTGATATTGGTTGCGGCTCACGATCATTAATTCTTCTGTTATAATTTGATCAAGAATTCAACCCCCCAAGATTTGAAGATCATGAGCCGAACCAATATCACTCTTGTATGTTTCGCCAAGTTCAAGAGCTAATTGATCTTCTCAGTGAATATTGACTCTCATAACCACCGTCGGACGCCATTGATCTCCGCTACTAGCTGATTGACTCCGTAAGTGAACGTACATAACACCCATTTTCATAACCATCGTTGACAAATATATTCATTTTGGAGCTATTGAGGCACTTTGTAATTTATTCGCAATTTCTTGCATAGTCGGTTTGATTAGGTGGGGATGATGATCTTGTAACATTTTTGCAGTTCCAACACAGAGTGTTGTGTGCCACGCGACAGCTGGATTTCAGCTCAAGGGGTACCACTTGTGACATTTAAGTGCTCCATTGACCATTTAGTTTTTCATCATTTTGTGTTTCGCAGGTTAATTTGCTTCTGCTACATGACTTCTTAACCGATCGGAATTTCCCATGAAGCCAGGAAGTCAACTTACATATGGCCGGACGTGGGTTCAATTCAGTCCTGTAATCATTTTCGTTTCTTGGGAATTTTCAGACTTTCGGATCGAATCAGATGATCCTTGACTTGGTTAAAAAAAAAGGTGAAGTTATGTCGTTTTAGAGACTAGTTCAATCTGTGGAATGCTTCCTAGATCATGAAAAGATATTATAAATCATCATAACAGCCTAGTTTAATTGTCTTTTTTTGGTTATAAATAGGTTTGTACTAAATAATATAATTTATGTCCAAACATTTGTATAATTGAAGTCAGACGAATGATATCATGAGAGATCGTAAGACGAATAAGAAAAAGTTATATAGTGTCGTTTAGTGACAACGTCAATGTAGAATTCCAGGTCGAAGTGAACAAGACATTTCTTTTCTTTCTTTCTTTTGGGTGTAGATACGGAGTAGTATCCCCGGGCCCTTATAACTAAAACTAAAACTAAAATGAGCAAGCAACTGGAAATTGTATTGGTGCCTTCTCTGGCTTAAAAATATTAATGATTGCCCAACTTGACTATCTAAAAGGAAAAAAGAAAAGAACCTTGCAGATACCTACAATCTGTGAAGAAGGAAACTGAAATCTACTATCTAATTCCATTCAGAATTCACAAGCCTAACTGACCAACACAAAAATTGGCAAAAAGCAAATGTTAAAATTGGACCTAACCTAGCTAGCTAGGTACTAATTAGCTGAAAACGGGGCAGCCATCTGCGGAAATTCCTTTAGCAGTAGGACAAGAAGCCAAGGGACAACCATCAGGCGAACTTCCCCACCAATTCAAACTCACTGACCCGAAAAAGCTCAGCCCAAAAAACATAGCAATGGTCATAAAAGCCGTCCCGGCATCAAGCGCCCCAGACAGCACATAATTGTAACGCTCCCAAGTCTTAGGCCAATACCTGAAAACCACAAACCCGGACAAGAAAGCCACCAGTATCCAGCTCGTGAAATTCACGGCGCTGGCCGGTGGCATCATGGCGGTGGCGCCCAGAATGACCGGCATGTTAATCCATCTCATCCACGTCTGTTTCGGGAACATCTTCATGGCTAGCCAGGACATCAACGTCACCAGGGTGCCCCCGAGGAAGAACCAGTTCACGTTTGCATACATTCCCAGGTTTCCGAAGATTCTCTGGGGTCCCACCAGTCCCCAGATGATCGAGGCCGTGTAGAATGTGTGGTCCATCGGACAGGTCCACACGCTGTCCGCAGGCAGCTGGGATTTGTCGCACAGGTGCGGAATCGACCCCATTAGCCACCATGCGGTTAATGTGTAGACTATGACGGATACCACCGTGCCCACAACCTGGAAAATTAGATAGTGGTTAATCATATACACTTTCATCTAAAATTATAATCCAGTTTGTATTTTCACTTTTAGTAGTATAATTTTAAACTAAATTAAAAATCTAAACTGGAAAATAATTTTAGGACGGAGGGAGTATATGCCATGAACACAGTCGCTCGAGTAAAAGAGAAATGAATTGCTAATGAAATACGATCAATGTACTAGTACTAGATACATACCTGTGCCATGAACATTGATCTGGGTGGGATTTTCATATAGTGACCCAGTTTGAAATCTAACAGGAAAGTCAAGGCCTGAGTCATGCTGATATATCCATAGACCTTAAAGCACATATTAGCCACAGGGTGGCCTGGATATGCATACCCAATTATGTACTCCGTAATAATGTTCAGCCCTGGCGTCTAACATCATCAAATTACACCACCCAAAAACACAGATTAGTCTTGCTTCATTAAGAGTTCAAATTAACATCCCTACATATCTCAAGATTATCGTAAATTACCTGATTAGTAGTGGCAGTAATGACTCCGACAGGAAGGGTGTAAATGAGAGCAATGGCGCAAGCTAACAAGACACCCCACCATGGCAATTGAAGCATGTCATTGTAATACATACACGCAAACAGTGTAGCACCAAGGCTCAATGCTAGTATTATTAGGAACCACCACAGCGGCACCTGCTTGTATACCTTCATTAGCTTTGTGTGTATATCCATCTTTCTCTTTTCATTGAACGCATTCTTGGTTTCCTTCCATATTTCCCTGCACATATTATAATCAGCATTCATTTATGACTTGAAAAAGTAATTTTGTTTAATGATGACATAAGAAAAAAATCAAATTTTAATTACCTGCCATTATAGAGCATGAGATGGACGATGATATAAGAAACAATCAAATTTTAATTACCTGCCATTATAGAGCAAGACATGGACGAGGGTAGCCGGAAGAGCAGCGAATCCGAAACCATACATAATCGCAAAGAAAGTGCTCATATAAAGTCGTCCATGTTTCTGATACGCATCTTTATCCAGGTTAAAATTAGGGCCCAGAATGGAATTTGTATTGTAAGGGGAACCATCCAGATGAAAGGTATCCATGGAATAAAGGGGGAAATTCTTGGCATTGTAAAGGTTGAGCCAGTAACAAAGTGGGGTAACCACATACATTATGAACACGAACCCAACGATAACGTTGGCAGTTGCGAACCACGGACTGACTAAAGGAGTTCCCAGGTAAGCTGAGATGGCTGACCAGTCCAACGCGAAGCTTCCGATCCCAATCCCGTTGAGTCCAGATCCGAGTTGGTTCACTAGCACGGATTTGGGTGCGATCCAGCAGACCCAAGATATGGCGGTTATCATGGGGAAGAGGAATCCAGGGATGATGTAGTAGGAGAATGCGCATGTTAGTGCGATCAGGAAAAACTGGGTTCGGGTTACTCCTCCTCTCGGTCTTTTCTCCTTTACGTGAAGTGCTCTGCAACAACCAACGAATATAGCGTTCAACCAGCTGATTGCATAAATATTCCTTTCCGAACCAAATAATCTTATTCCTTGAAGAACTAAAACAGGTAATATGATTGGGACTTCTTTTTTATTATTGTTTGTTTCGGGAAATGAACAGGTGATATGATCATGGATCATTGACAGTTATATTCATTATCACATTTGAAAGAATCAAATAAGATCGACCATTCATTCAATCAGAGGTATTGCAACAATTTCCAATTGCAAGATTTGACGTAAGATAAAAGTAAAAATATTGTTATCACCTGAATAACGAGACTTGAACTAAAGTTGATGGCCACCACATTCCTCCAGGCTCAACCAGCTGTTTCCTGAAAATTCCGGCCCACCCATATCCTATCAGCTATTATGACAACCAAAAAAAAAAACGCAACAGTCGAATCCATATCAAAAATAATGATCAAATTTATCAACCAAGAGAAAAAAAATCCACCCAAACTTCTTTCAGGAGAAACAAAAAACACAAAAGAAAGAGAATAATTAACTAACCTGAGTAGTAAGCATGAGAATGAAGGAAGGTATGAAGGTGAGCTCCCTCTTATAAAAGAGCTTGACAGAACTCAAAATATGAGTTGCATAAACTGTACCAGCACCGGCATTAGCAAATATGGTGATCAAGACGTGTTCCTTGATATTAAAGGGCCCTGGATTCATCGAGAATTCAAGTTTAGTCCCCTGAAAGAATACCCTTTTCGGTAAGACCCTGGCCATTAATTTCCCAAGCGGAAGCACCGCAATCTGGGCGGATATGGAGGTCACCATCAACGGCTGTTTCCGGTACCAGTAGAACTGGTTGACGAACGACAATAGGATACAGAAGAGTAGCCCCAAAACCCACATCCGAAACGTCACCACCGGCATGTTCGGGTCGTCGGTCTTGGGTACCGTGAGATCCACTTGTTTGATGGGGCATTCATCTGAGTCTTCTTCCATGGCGTTGTTACCACCACCGTCCTTGGCCATCAGGATCCTTACAAATATTTACTCAGGAATAGGACCAAGTTATATAACTCAGAAGGATAACAAGGAATATTTAATGGAGTAGGGAGTCAAATGAAATCTGAGTTTGTTTCCGAAATTGTAGGAAAATATAGATGTAGATTCAGATTACAATAAAAAAGACTCAAACTTCTCGCTTATCGTAAACCCAAGATTCCGGTGTCTCTCTACTTCTTTCGGCATCAAGATTCAAGAATATTATTTCAAATACAACTCTCTCCGTCCCCTCTCGATTAATAAAAATATATAGTTTTTCGGGACAGAGGGAGTCGTGTGTAACTATATTGATGTAATGAAAAAGAAATACAGATTATTAGCGTAACAAATTATTTGACCTTTCGGCCTTAGACCGAAAGAGGAACAAAAACGTTTAGGGTCCATATTACAGCGACCATGATGTCCCAAATCGAATGTCAAACGAGCTGTACATGCACGTACCATTACCAATTTACTACCATACATGCCAAAACACAAGTTTCAAACTTTCAAAACCGGAGTTTCGAACTTATTGAGTTGTGTGCCAACTGTTGACATGTTTGGTGAATATAGAGTAGCACGTTTCAACATTACCAAGAAGGCAACAACAGCACAATTAGACCATGGTTTATTAGGCGGTCCAATAAAATTAATGGGATACTCATTATCATATCATTGAGGTAATTGAATCGTTATTATCCCGATTTTTGGTAATTTGGTATTTTTCTTTTTTTACAAAAAAAAAAAGAGTTTGACATTTTATAAATAAGAATTTATAACTGGCATATAAAATTCATTTTTAGTTTGATATCCATTTTCCACATGAAATCCTTAATTAAATCTGCATGAAGAAAAGACGTTTGAGCACATGGTCGTTGATATGAGAACCATATAACACAAAAGTAAGGAGAAAAAAACATGTAGTCAAGGTCACAACCTTACATCAAACGATGTCTCAGGACAAATAACTAAACCCATCTATCTCATCATCCAATCCTTAATCCAAAAGGCCAACAGACCAGATTTTACACCCACAATCATCTCCCCCCGCATTCTCTCTCCCACTCACCCAACACTCCAAAAGAAAAAAAGGAACACGCACACACAAAAAAAAAGAAAAAAAAAGGTTCGTTTCTGTTTGGGTAACCACCCCTAAATTTACCCCCGAACTTGCCTGGTCAATTTTTTTTCTTACCTCTCGGTTGGGAGACAGAGGTGGGAGAGGGAAAAAGAATAATCTTTTACAGCTTCCTCCCAATCCCCGGCAACCTCCCCTGATCTCTCTCTCCGGCCGCCATCCACCACCGCCAACATTCCTCATTTCAAAACATTATGCAATTCCAGGCCCTGTCCCAAATTATTATCATTACTAATATCAATATCAATACGACATTAATAGGACAACCATCAGTTGTTACGCAACCACCGCCGAGAGGTCGGCCCCCCTCAACCCAAATTCTATGAGAAAATTGCTCCTTGATTTGTCGGATGTTTCCGATGGCATTCTCTCCCCACGACCCTCATTGATATCATTGCCACCTTCTCCTTCTCCTTCCCCTTCCCCTTCCCCTTCTTATGATTATTATCAGCCGGATCCTTCCCGTCATCATATTGTTGTATTCCCTTCTTTACCCTTCGTCGACAGCGGCTTTGATTTAGCCTCCTTCGTCGCCGTCGGGAGCCTCGTCCTCCTGTCTCTGCTCTCATTCTTTCTAGTGCTCCATCTCCGGGTAAGATCCCGGCGCTGGTGTCATTTGCAGCACTTCAATTACCTCTGGGCCGTCCGGTTGCTCCTCATCGCCTTGGCTTCCCTCTGGGCCGTCAACGAACTCCTCCGGCTTCCCTCTCTCCGGCGTGATTACCTCTTCCCGTTCCTCCCCTCCCTGACGCTAACTCAACAGGCGGATCTCTGCAAAGTCCACGTGGTTCTGTCCCTGGGATTATTCCAGCCGGGCTTCCTCGTCACCCTCCTCTTCTTAGTCAACGTCTCCATCAAGAAACGCCGGCCACGTCGGCTGTGGGCGTTGACCACCTCCGTCTGCGTCTCCTGCACTCCGGTGTTGCTGCTACAGGGGATATTCGTGTTCTACGCGCCGTTTGAGGAACAGCTGCCGAAACTCATGCACGGGAGCTCGGTCCTGCTGACAGATATGTACGGGAAGAGGAGCGTGCTGTGCACGTACCCGTTCTTCAGCTGCGTCATATTCGGTGCCTTCGCCATTGTCTACTCGCTGGCGTTCCTGCTGTCGTTTTGGCGACTGGTGGCGCTGGTGATCAACAAGGGAATCAGGGCCCGGATCAACTTCCTGGTGTCCACCCTGATGGTGACGCTGCCCATCCAGATATTGGGCCTGGCCTTGTCGTTTCTTTGGTCCCCGGAAGAGGTGGCCTACTGCGTCGTGGTGCTGGGGGTGTTTCTGTCGGTGGCCTGGTTGATCGCCGTGGGATCGTTCATTCTGGTGATTAAGCCCATCACGGAGGCACTCGCTGCTGGGATGGCCTGCCGAAGTAGTAGTTCTAGTACTACTAGAGATCAGCGGCCCGTCGTGGAAATGATCATCAGAGAGGAAGATTACAGATCCTAATAATATACTTGCATTTAATGGAGTAACCCCCGCCGGCCCGCACATCAGACTAAATGTGGTTAATTTGCGCCGGTCCAGGTTGCAGTGACAATGGAAAAGGCAGCAAATTAAAAAGGGCATGCAGCTCGGTCCATATCCAGCTAAGTTGTGCAATTTTGAGAAGTCTGGTTGGCTCAATATATTGTGTAACTATATGTAAAAACTATTGCGAAAAAAATGATTGAAGAAGGAAATCACAAGTTGTGGAAGTTGATTTGGCTGAGAGTTCTTGATTATATCTCATCAACTCATTTTTTTTTCCATCAAAAGGCGTGGAAAGGGAAAGGGTGTTTCCTTTCAAATTAAGGTTTGGGAGGAGAAGTGCGGACGGAAAACAGAAGAAGAAGGGAGCAGGACTGGCCACTAAGGAGTGATGAATTTTGATTATCAAGATGTCCCTGTTAATTGATTACTTGATGAGATTTGACTTGTACATCTTGATAAACCTTTGACTTTTTAGATTCTTTTAACTTCTCGTTTGCAGTTATCATCATCCTTTTTGTTTGTTTTGTGTTCTGTTCTCTATTGTTTTTTAAAACAACGGTAACTGGGGTGGAGATCTGCATTTCTACCTCTGCTAAGACTCAAACCTCTCAACTCTATGTTCCGAGCGGTGGCGTACGTGTAGCACCGCGGTTGCAAAGGGTAAGATTGAACTCTGCTGCTGAAAATATATTTACCATTGTCCCAAAAAATACAGTTCACGTTAAATTTGGAGTTTTGTAACTTTTTTGAGACAGAGGGACTAAAGTTGGTTATAAATCATGCTAAACAAACCATGATCTTATTGTATTTAGAGGAAACAGATCGATGTAATCATAGAATCTGATTCAGGGTTGGGTATGTTATTGACATGTGAAAACTTGACTGCAAATAATTTCAAAATCTTACAGATTCAAATAAGGTTACATTTTTGGTAACTTATAGCAGTAAATAAATAACTTGTGTTTTCTCTTAAACATGACAAATTATTTTGGGCATACAAAGTAGACACCATTGAAATCGAATACCAAGATTTTAATAGACTTTGAATATCTTGGCCTTCTCAAGTATAAACCTGCCTTCCTTGTATACCTGTGATGGATCATAAGCTCGGATGTATTTCCACCCCAACCCTTCACCACATTTGCTGCAGTAGATGTCTGCTGTCTCAAATTTTCCTGTCAATAGTTGTCTGTCTTCTGTTTTCCCCAACACAATGTTCTTTGCATTTCTGAACAAAAATGCTCCTCCAGATTTCGCCTATAAAGATTCAACTAATCCCACAATTAGCGACATCCTTGATTAAGCTCGGTGTAAATTACATGTATCTAAAACAATCAAATTCCACATTACCCAATAGGCTATACAACGAACAACCTAAACCACAATTTTATTTTGAGAATGCTGGTATCTAGAAAAGCAGTCAAACAACTTCCACAAAATGTTACAGGAGATTCATTGCAATCAACTCTGTAGTATTCAAAGTTGTCCAAAAGTTAGGCAATTTCAACTCCTTCAGATCCATCACAGTTTCTAATGATGAATTTTACCCAACGGTTTCAAACCAATTTCAAATCACAAGACTAAAACAGAATTCTAAATACATTAGAATCGATTTCCCCAAAGATATAGTAGTACTTTTTTGGTACTTGGCCACTTGTAGTTCAGTATCAAGAACTAAAAGTTCATTCAGAGAGTATTTTGCCAGTGATCATATATGTGTTTAAGGCTCTATTTTGAAACAAACTGAAGGTCAACCCCAATAAAAAAAGAAATACTCGTAAAAATAAAAACGGCAACTGAATTAGGGATGATCTGAGAAAATAAAAGTGAGTAGTAGTAAATCAGTCACCACAAAAGATTTGGAGAGCAGGTCGTCACGAAGAGCAAGAGGGCTTCGACACTTCCGGCAGCTGTAGAATGGATTCCCAGTGGCTGCAAACCCCTCCATTAATTCGTCTGCAAAAAAAGAAATTAAGATGAATTTGATAAAAATTCTGGAGGGTACACGTTTTAATTAGTAGAAGAAGGAAAATTTAGTGGCTGCTGATCTGATGAACTGATTAAATTTCAGAGACAACAGGACTTACGTTGGACGATAAAGAAGATGCACAATTATTGGATTTGGACTACGTTGACCAGCTTGCTGAACGAAGAGTGTGATAAGAAGGCACTTTGTCCACCCGTTAACAGCAAATTTTCTCTTGGCCCCTAAATCTTGGAACTCGATATTTTGAGTCTATCAATCTAGAAACAGTAAAATACCATCAAATTTGACACCTTTGACCTCCGTAATCTTAATGTTTTACCTTTTTTTTTTTGATACAAAGATAATTTCGTTAATTTAAATGTTACTATACTTTGAGTTGACTTTGATGGGAGATTACAGTGAAAATTTATAATTGTTCACAACTTATTATATTTGTGTTTTTAAATACATGTAGTAAACGATTATTTTCACCGCATTTAGACCGTTGTAGGTCTAGCTATATATAGAAAGGGGAAAAAATTCTTCGGGAGAAACATATAATGCACTAATTTTGATATTAAATATGTCACATATCTCTTAGTAAAAGCTCTAAAACTGAAGAAATATTTTTTGAATACCTACGAACAACGACTACACATAACAAATTTAACATACAATTACTCAAATCATTTCCGAATGGAAGAGTAAAATCAAACAGTTACAGTGGGAGGCTTTCAAAAATTGAATCTCCAAAGAACTGATTTGGTACAAAAGAAAGCATGAATTTCTACGAGGGTTCATGGTTTTTTTTGTTAAAAAAAAAAAAAAAAACGATTTCAGGGGGAAAGTTCAATATCCAGCGATTTTCCAGAAGGATATTCCCAGTATTATATATGCACATATTAAGACATGAACGACTAATCAGGATACAATTGTTAAGCATGTTTTGAAATTTTATTAGAATATTGGAAGTTAATTTGCCTAAGAATAAGGATGTGATGAAGGTAAGCCCGCATGGTAGGATAAATTGACGTGGGCATAAAAATCAAATTTATCACCAATCCTTAGCCCTATAGCGCTAGCCGCTTGATTGTGAAAGCAATGCACAGTAGAAATGAATCAGCTAATTGTCAACAAGAATATTGTATTCTGTGAGAACTGAGAATATTCCGGTTGCCTAATTCAGCCCCTTGCTTGATTTAGGCATCAAAGGATAAGAGCCAGAGCGGGGTATATATATGGATCACTGAAGCTTAAACAAAAACACGCACAGAAACACTTGAAAAAAAAAAAAAAGAAGAGAAAAAGAGCTTAAACATATAATGAGTTATCATCATCTCAATGCCGAATCGTTTGCGCTTTTCTTTTCAATCTTATGCTTGGTAATTCCACATTCAGCCAACCATGCAGAATCTACTGCACTGGGAAAGCCTGAAAAGTACTCAGGGTACCATGATGATCATCATAACCCACAGTCTGGTACTCCTTATTATTTTGACGTCTATATTAGGTCTGCTCTTCCAGACGACAACAATCTGCTGCTGGTGCACTGCTTTTCCGGTGACGACGAGTTGGGGTGGCACAACTTGCACGCCGGAGAAGAGCTCCACTGGGGTTTTTACGAGCATTTTCTGATGAGGACGGAATACTTCTGCTCCTTCAACTGGACAACCTACACCAGGCAGTTTGATGTGTTTAATAGTAGGATAGCTGTCACAGATTGTGCGGACCCTTTATCTCAACAACAAGATTTAGTTTGCTATTGGGAAGTTCGAGCCGATGGCTTTTACTTGTCCAATCTCTATAATCCTGATCCCAATACCATACCAAAGGTAAATTGGTGGATCAACAAATCATAGATTGATGTAAATTGTTTATTTGTGCAACCATTATTAATTTGTTTTTAGTTCTTTTCGTTATAAAACGATGGCCATTTACATTTGTACGTAAAATTCTATTCTCTGTTAATGAAGTTCTCCGGAAATAAGGATTTATTAGAGTGTGGATGGTTAATAAGAAAAGAAAGGCAGAATATAAGATGAACCACAAGAAAGGATTATTTAAGGAAATTTAGAGAAAGATATAGTAAGAATTTAGGGTTTCATCGCATTGTTTAAAGGATTACTCAATTGTTGGACTCTGTCTCAAACATTGCGCAATGTAATGTGATATTTATATAAGGAGGTATTCCAGCCCTAAATCCTCCGTTGAAGTGGCGGGTCTCGATCGGATTATGGCATTATGCCCACTCACAACAACAATAATTAAGACTTGAAAAAGAAAATATGCAACTCTCCCATCTTTTTTTCTGTACATACATACATACATAGTGAAACCCCGAAACTTAAGTTTTTTTTTTTTTTGCATTAAAAAAAATCCAACTCTCGCGTCAACTCTCATTAAGTTTTTTTTTTTTTATGTCGACATGAAATTAAGATTGTAAAAAAACAACTCTCACGTTTTTGAGCTTATTAGGAGAGTACGAATGGCAGACTGATTATGGGCTAAAATGCTCTGGGCTTGTAACGCATTTGAAAAGGCCATCTCAATAATTAACGACCGTCCAAACAAAAATGGAATGTCTGAATTTGAAGTCCGGGTCTGAGTTGTGGGTCATTTGTTTGCTAATTAGCCAGTTTTCCGAACACACTAAAGCTATATTTTCCCATAACGATATGTCTTTTATCGGTTTATCCTTCACACTTGGCTGCATGACTTTCTCTACTTAATTATATACTTCCTCTGTCCCATAATTATTGTCCTGTTTGAATTTTTATTTCTAGTTCAAATTGTACTAAAAGTAAAATTTCAAACTGGACAATCATTTTAAAACAAAGAGAGTATATGTTTGCATGACTTTTATCGGTTTAGAAATAAATCATATGTGTGATTTAGCATTCGTTAGTTGCTACGATGGAAGTATAAATACGATTAATAAAAATTAATAATAAACTAATGAGGACAAAAAGCACATTTTTTATTTTTTTTTTATTTTTACTTCATAGAGGCAAACATAAACTTTAGAACTCCTTTCATTATAGAAAAAGAGTTCACATTAAAATTTGAGATTTAACATAAATCTCAAAACTCAATGTTGACTACTATGTTTTATCATTATGTTAAATTATTCATCAAGTTGAAAAAGTAAATATTATTCGCTTGTCCTATCTCAGTGAGTAATTATCTGAGTTTACTAGAGTATTATTCATTGTCTATCTCAAGTAGTAATTCGTTGTCCTAAAATATTCTATTATTTTTTATATTATGTTTTCTAAAAATAGAATTGTTATATTTCTTGAATTTGAAATTATAATAAAAAAATATTTTTTTTATGACAAAAAGGGGATAAATCGTGTAGCAAAGCTTTAGAAGCATTCTTTTTTCCGTACTTATTATGATGGATAAACTTTGATGACAATTGTACTAGGATAAACTTTAGCCATATAGACGGTTTCATTTTATTTTGTTTTTTTCCGGTACAATAGACGGTTTCATTTTGATGCAATCTCCCATTTCCTTTGCTGGCTAGTTCGTTAATTACATCCGACAAGGCAACCAAAAAACTGTCTTTGCTCAAAGTCATGTTCCAATCTTGTTCCAGTTGCGAGTCAAACAATAAAACAAAACAATCATAATTTCCTTACTACTGCATGACATGACTATTAGGCTTAATATTAAGCGTCTGTTCGATAAAGTAGTACTTGATATTAATTAAAAATGTTGAATTTTTAAACAGTTACAGAATAAATAATAAATTAACTTTAATTTTTTATATTTTGTACTATAGTTTCAGCATCACTTAATTCATTAATGGATTTATTTCAAATATGTTAAAATAAAATATAATTAATTAAATAATTTTAAACAGTAAATGTTATTTTTAAATAGTTCTTAATACAATTCCTTTCCGTGGAAATGCAAAATCTCATCATAAAAACAGACACCATGAGAAAAGCGAGTTAATTGCAAGTGTTTGCTTCGAATTTGTCATATATCAAGACATTCCCTAATGCTCAAAGATTCTAAAATTCAACCCCTCCAACGGCGACGGAGCCCTAAGTTTTAGAAAGGACGGGTGAAATTTCAAAAAATAATTATGGGTTAAATGAAATTAATGACAAATCAAAAATATCTTATAATAATAATCGAAAGGAATTTTTTTTTTTTAGTATAATGAATGAGACGGCATGCATAAAACATTAAATTAAACACATTGTGTGTGGAAATCACTAGTAACATTTTGAACTGTGATGTGTCCACAATTTCACCATGTCTAGTGGGTCATACAATCAAATCAATATAGATGTTCATATATGGTAATGTGTTCTCAAAACATAATTAGTACTACTAAACATATGTCAATACTTTTTTTTAATGGAACTTATAAACTAAGAAATATTTTTGACTAAACTATTTAACTAACAAAAAAACGAGGCAATTGATTAAAAAAGAAGAGGAAATCAATATAACGTTACTTGCAATGCAAAAGTTTTAGGGGAGCTTTGAAAAGGTGGAAGAATATTTCCAAGAGAAAATAAAAGGGGGGAAAGAGAAAAGGATAAAGTAAAGCAGAAATGATGGTCACAAATTTGAAGGGGCAAAGAAAGCACATGATTCCTAATGGGTCACGCAACCACGAAAATGATCGCACGCAACCCAACAATTTGATGACCCACTAAGTTAAGCCAGCCAGTCCTCAGCGAGCAAAACCTTCCCATTTTTCCTCTGATAAAAGGCAGGTATCTTGTTCTTGTGGAGCAAAATCCGGCTCCGGCACCCCTAACGGACCATGGTCCCCACCTCCCCTTATCCCCCGTTAGAGCGGCCGTGATTGAAGCAATCCTTCCATTTTCCAATTTAAATTATTGTGCATTTCTAAAACTAAAAGTTACTAATAACATTCTGTATTTGGGGTTTTTTTTTTTTTGCATGATTTGTTAATACAGTAGTATGAAACTTATACTATGATTTATTATTATTTT